CCGTTTGGTCTCCCCAACTGCGACGCAGTCCACACACTGGGGATCTGCACTGAGCATTTTCTAGGCAAAGAAGAAGACAGTCTTCACGAAGCGAATAAGGCGCCTTGATAGCTCATCTGGGAGAGCGTAGCACTGAAGATGCTAAGGTAGCGTGTTCGATCCACGCTCGAGGCACTCCTTTTTGCATCTTAACGTGGCTCTGGTTTTTGAGAGAGGTTGATGCCCCGCCATTAGCGCAGTCAATGCATCGCAACAAATTGTCGATTCTTTCCTTCTCTATGAACTCGAACATGCGTTGAATTGATGCTTTGTACGTAGTAATTCTACATGATGAAGGAGTCAGTTTTCTGGGTGGAAGACTAAGTTGAGAAGTACTAGAATATATCAAGATAAAGACATTAGATCGAAAAAGATTTCCTGTCGTGGGTTCTTACCGTGGGTTGAGCTTTTGTTAAGCTCTGTAATGTTTTATCAAATGTGAGGTGTAAGAATGAGAGATTAGGATCCTAGCAAGGCTGGTTTCCCTAGACCAAGACATGTAGTAACCCACTTAAACACTGAATTGGACTCTGGAAATCTGAATTGGACGCTGGACATACTTGGAAGCCTCTCTCGACGCTATAAGGCCTACTTGCGTGCTTTTGCAAAGTAAGTAGTTTCGAGCCGAGGTTGTGCTTGACTTCAATGCAATGGTTGAGAAGTGGGATTCATCAGCTCTAATATACATATTTTTATAGTATAAAGATGCATACTTTGCTGTGAATGTATCAGGTGTGTTTCTGCAGTGCGAGGAAGGAAATGGGCGTTCAGGAGCATAGGAAGGATGTTTGCTATAGAGAGAGACATGGACAAGCCCATCTCAAGGATGTAATGGGATTTAGCGATATCTGCAAGGCTCTCTCGACGCTAGAAGACTTGTTTGCGTGCTTTTGCACAGTAGCTAATAAGCCTCACCGACAAACCGCCGGAGTGGTGGTGGTCGCTTAGTGAGTGCATAACTTCGATGTAGTGGTTGAAAAGTGGCATATATCAGCTAGGAGATACAAGTGTATTGTACATGGATGCGTTTTTGCTAAGAATGTACAAGCGCAGTGCTCACGTTTTGGATGTTTGGTCTCCTGACGATAACTGTGATTTGGTGTTTCAAGTAGAGACAGTTGCGCGCTATATACCTTACATCTACAAAACATAAACAGTCTACCGTCTTTACTTCAGGCTTTGAGCTTTAGATCACAACATGCGGATCGATGCTCCAAAAATCCTTCAAACGTCGTAGTTGGAGTCTCTACGAGTTCTAAGAGGTTGCATACATGATCTAGTCTTTATGGTTTGGATGATTACAGTTTCTTGCTCAATAACACGCCAAATTATTTGTTTTATGGTCATGTAGAACTGCAAAACCCCAACTTGGTATAGTGGAAGGAAGAACAAGCAGGTAAGAGCATAAAGGGGCACATTGCACACTGGTATATACTCAAAGTATTTCGTGTTTAATACGTTTTACTCTGATTTCATCAGGTGCAAGTAAGGTCGTCTTCGCCACCTTGGAAAGGGAATGCTTGCACTCTCTCTTGTCCTTGGACCAGAGTGATTTAAGTTGGAATCTTTCCATTTCAAATAATAATAACATTCTCGTTATCGTGACTTCTCGAAATATCTCTCTTGGACGGCCATCATCCTGGACATCAACAATTTAACATCAACAGTACAAGACCCTCCTCTTTCTATGACCATCTCAGGTCAGGCGTCAACAAAATCCATCCTACAAGGAGCCTGTGGATCAATTGAGTGGTAGGAATCGTAAAGGCCCGTTGGCCTGGACAGGAGGATGTCGTTTTGCATAGTTTTCGCACTTCAAATGCATCTAAATCAAACCGCAGTTTCTGGTGGCATATGTCTGGTGGAGCTGGATGCTATAGTAAAGAGTCGCGGGCAAGGAGGTAGGAAGATTGAAGGTCCCTTTGCCGTTTCTTTCCATGAGCGTGCCTTGTAACAGTACTGACTTGGATAATCTGTATGTAGGAACCAGCGAATCGAACCCAATTCAGCTTCGATAATGTTTTCAGTAAGATCCTCCATCAAGATGCCATTCCGTCGACGAATGTTCACGTCTGGAAAGCTGTACTTTCAAAATTGAAACCCGTCCACGTGATACCCCCGAATTTGAGTACTAAATTGTACTTTGCACCGTATATTTCATGCTTTGTATTTAGCTGTAACTTCACAATAAACAAAACATGGCCAGAACATCCAAACACGAATTTTGATACGAAACATGTCGATTAACTTACTAGCAGGATATGGATCTGACGATGACGAGGATCAAGATCAGCCAATCGCCCCGACAAAGCCTACTTCTGCTACTAAACCTGTCATTGCACCATCCTCGTCAACAAGCAACAAGCTTCAGTTGCCACCACCAAGTAATAGCAGCAGTGCAAATATGGGATCGACAACATCTTCTAGCAGCAGCAATACATCGATTGCACCAGGAAATGCCAAGAAGAAGATACAAATATTCGTGCCTGACGTTGGACATCAACTCAACAACGACGAAGATGAACAAAGGAAGAAGAAACCCAAAGTGGCTCCAAACACATTTGGAGGATCAGGATTATTCTCATTTCTACCAGCGCCAAAGAATATATCAGTCAAAACGGAGACTGCTGCAGCTCCAATACCCTTTCAACCTAGAGGAATGGGCAAGAAGAAGGAAGAGTCTAAGGCTATAGAGACTGATTTCTTCACATTGGGTGAGTTCGCACGCATCATTCGCGCTTGCTACGCACTGGTACTGACTATCCCTTGTACGGTAGAGGTCGAACGCCCAAAACCCATTGACGAACCAGTGAGAAGCACAACCACCAAGCCTGTAGATTTGAATCCCGATATGGAGATTTACGTACCAGCTTCAAATCAATATCGAATGGATCAATACGAGTATGGTAATCAGCCACAACAGGAATACCATTATGGTCAAGAGTTACAGAATCCTGTTGATCCTGAGGCTGTAAGTGTCTCCTTATGAGTGTGTGTGATGCTGCCTCGCACTATGCTGAACACTCATATGAATCTTAGATGCGGATGTTATCTGGTCGCTCCAAACACGAAGGGCCAATACAACTCAAGGAAGTCTCGTTAGCCGAACAGATTGGTGATAAATGGCAGTATGAGGCTCTTAAAGAGGCATCAAAGGAGAAGAAGGAGTCCATGAATAGTTACATGGTAAGCCTCACTTCCCATTATCCTTTCTTAAACCCCGTTTTTTTTTGTTCCTTGCACTTCTAACCACTTGTGTTCTTTCCCTTTAGCACATGGCACCTAACTCGACGCAAAAGCGTAAACACAATATCATGTCTCTGGCGTTTGAAGCAAAACAGAGACAGTCTGAGTTGCAAGAGATGGCAGCTCATCGTAAGGCCAGCAAGAAAGCCAGTAGTTCCAAATATGGTATGGTAGAGCAGTCCCCGATTGGTACCTCGATTTGTGCTGACATTTCGCATCACCTTCTAGGATTCTGAATGTGGTCTGATATAAACTAGGACCGTTCTTGGCTGTTCTCATCGTTTTTTTGCCCACACTCTTATGTATAGTTCGAAATTGCGTGATGTAAATAGAACACTCATTTTGCATTCTTAAATCGCGTATATGTGTCGGTTCGAAGCCTGTAGCATCTCCCTTCACTCACTCCAAAATTTCCAAACTCACCTTTCGACTTTTCACTTCCCAACAAAACGAGCAACTATGAGTTCGTTTGAAGAGGCAAGTCTAATAAGTAATGGCACTTCCAACATAACGATCTAATATAATTATCTACATCTAGAACGAGGACCGTGATGGAGTCCGTCTGTCATGGAATGTTTGGCCATCATCAAGAATTGAAGCGACGCGAATGGTGGTGCCTATCGCTGCTCTATATACGCCATTAAAGGAGAGAGAAGGCATACTGCCCGTCCAGGCGGAACCAGTCACTTGTAAACCACCTTGTCGCGCAGTCCTCAATCCATATTGGTAAAAATGACATCCTGACATTATAACTTGTTGGGTTGCCATCAAGCGTTGATAAAGCAAAGTGCATCGTAACTAACACTTCTCTTAAAATAGTCAAATCGACGTACGAGGAAAACTATGGATTTGTCCATTCTGCCTACAACGAAACCAGTTTCCTCCCCACTACAAGGATATCTCAAACAACTACCTCCCACCCGAACTATTAGGCCAATACACCACCATAGAATACGTCCTGCTCTCGCGTCCACCCGCTCAACCCCCGATATTCGTATATGTCGTAGACACCTGCTTGGACGAATCGGATCTAAAGGCACTCAAAGACTCGCTCGTCGTGTCACTCTCGCTCTTGCCTCCTCAAGCTCTTGTGGGACTGATTACCTATGGGACGATGGCTCAAGTGCACGAGTTGGGATATAGTGAATGTCCGAAATCGTATGTGTTTAGAGGGAGTAAAGAATATAGCTCAAAGCAGATTCAGGATATGCTGGGGATGGGTGGGATGACTGCTGCTAGGCCACAGCCTAATGTGAGGCCTGGCCAGCCTGGTGCACCGCCTGGAACTGTTGGAGCTTCAAGGTATACTATCGCTTGTTGTTGAGACTGACTATGGTGCATGAATGACACGTGGTGGTCTTCGGACGTGCTGGAGAGACTTCATTTTTTGCCTCACGATTCTTAGCGTCGATTTGTTTCATTAAGTTTTATAACGTCCAAACAACTCAACCCAATTCTTCCGACTTGATTGTAGATTCTTGCTGCCAGTTGCTCAATGTGAATTCCAATTGACTGCCATTCTGGAACAGCTACAACGTGATCCATGGCCTGTCGCCAGTGATCGACGTCCACTTCGATGCACAGGTGTTGCTTTATCTGTTGCTCTTGGTTTGTTGGAGGTGAGAGCTCGACAGAATGTTTCAAAGTTGATATTCTTCCTGGCTCCTGGATTCTTTTTTGCCCACATTCCAACATTTCATACCCCAACAGTCAAGCTTCCAACAAGCAGGAGCACGAATCATGCTCTTCTCTGGCGGTGCATGCACAGAAGGTCCTGGTCTCATAGTAGGACCCGAACTACGTGAACCAATCAGAACTCATCACGATCTCGACAAGGATACAGCCAAACACGCCAAAAAAGCATCCAAATTCTATGAAGCGCTATCGAAACGAGCTGCTGATAAAGGTTTTATAGTTGATGTCTTTGTTGGATCGCTTGATCAGATTGGGTTGATGGAAATCAAGTCATTGCCCAATTATACGAATGGTGTTATGGTCTTGAGTGATGCATTCCATATGACTATATTCAAGGAGTCGTTCATTCGGATGTTTACAAAGGATGCTGATGGTGCTTTGACTATGGGATTCAATGCTTTACTTGATGTTCAGGTATAGATTGGAGGAGTGTCGCCTGTTTTGCTGCACGGAACTCAGTGTCGCCTGTTTTGCTGCACGGAACTCACACTAACCACTTCGTTCGAATAGACAACCCGCGAATTGAAAGTATGTGGTCTTATTGGACCTGCTACTTCTGCCAATAAGAAGGGTCCGGTGGTCGGAGAAACTGTAAGCGTGAAGATTGGTGTCTGCGCACATCATGTCAGCGGGTTTGACTCTGGGTTTTTTTTTGCTTTCGCACAGGAAATTGGAATAGCAGGAACCAGTGCATGGAAGTTATGTGGCATAACACCCAAAACGTCCGTGGCAATATACTTTGAGGTCGCATCTCCTCAGCAAGCAACAATCCAACCTGGAAGTCGTGGGCTGATTCAATTCACTACGAGTTATCAACATGCTAATGGGCAGTATCGATTGAGGGTTACTACTATTGCGAGAAAGTACGCCTTTAGAGCAAAAAAACGCGACGTGAATGGATTATGTCTAACTTGACTCCTCTTAGTTGGACTGATCCAAACTCGAATGAAATACCACAATCATTCGATCAAGAAGCTGCAGCTGTGCTCATGGCGCGTATCGGTACCTTCAAGGCTGAGATTGATGATGGTCCTGACGTATTGAGGTGGCTTGACAGAATGTTGATTCGTTTGGTAAGCCTGTGGTCGCTTTTTTTTCTTGCTGAATGAGTGAGCGGATGACTAATATTAAACCTGCTTTTTGCATCAACTAGTGTCAGAAGTTTGCAGATTATCGGAAGGATGACCCATCTTCCTTCCGTCTGTCTGAAAACTTTTTGATCTATCCTCAATTCATGTTCCATTTGAGGAGGAGTCAATTCTTGCAGGTGTTTAATAATTCACCTGATGAGACTGCATATTACAGGTAAGGTTGTTGGTTGCTATGGATGTCTTAACGCTGGGTCGAGGCGACGATGCAAAAACAGTCATATGCAGTACAAGGATTGACTTGCGCCGACACTCATGCACTTTACTCAACACTTTAGACACTGCTTGAACAAGGAAGACTTGAATAATTCCTTGATCATGATCCAACCAACACTAATGTCATATAGTTTTACAGGTCCACCACAACCCGTATTACTAGACTCCATCTCTATAAAACCTGACGTAATTCTCCTCCTCGACACCTTCTTCCAAATCCTAATCTGGCACGGCGAAACCATCGTCGCATGGCGTAAAGCCCGATACCAAGAACTACCCGACTATGCCAACTTTAAGGATTTACTAGAAGCACCAAACACAGACGCCCGAGATTTACTAGCTGAGCGATTCCCAATCCCGCGATTTGTGGTTACCGATGCTAAAGGATCTCAAGCTAGGTTTTTATTATTCAAAGTAAATCCGTCTACGACCCATACCACTGCTGCAGCTGCTAATTTTGGTGGGTATGGTGCTGCTGGAGGTGCTAATCAGCAACAGGGGCAGGCTATACCTACTGATGATGTGTCGTTGCAGGTGTTTATGGAGCATTTGAGGAAGTTGGCTGTGCAGAACTCGTCGTAGGAAGATGTGGAAAGGAAGGGATATGGGTTTGTATATTGTTATAGAGGTCTATTGTTGTGGTAGTGTGTTTGCACCAAACCATATATAAAATCATTTCCAAGTGAAAGTTATCGCTGTTGCGAGAGAGTGAGTCGGAATCCAAAAGAGTACCATGTGGATGAGCTTTCTATGACCCGATCTCGTTTAGCTGGACTGATCCGACTCCGAATGAAAGACCACAATCATTCGAACAAGAAGCTGTCTTTGGTTTTTGTTTGCTTTCGCATAGGAAATCTGTAGAGGTACACCTTTAGGCTGCATCCTTTTGCTAGCAACATCTCAACCCGGAAGGCATGGATTAATTTAAATCACCACGAGTTATCAGCATCATATTGGGCAAAGCTTATTGAGGGCTCGTACTATTGTGTGAGAAAGTGATTGTCTTGTCGGCAAAAAACCGGCAAGAGCAGGGCTTGGATGACCTGACCTCTTTGGTTTGACGGATTTCAACTCGAATGAAAGTGACATTCAGTTGATCAACAACCTGCTGTTGTACTGAATTGGGGGCTGAAATTGAGGGTGGTACTGATGCGTTGAGGTGAGCTTGACGGAATGTTCATTCGTCCAGTGGGTGCTCGGTTTTTTTGTTGACCTCGTTGTGTTAAAGTAACTTCTTGTTAATTTCCATAGTGTCAAATCCTTGCACATTGTTAAGACGATTACCCCTTCCATCTACCTGAAACCCCTTTTTTGTTTATCCTCCCTCAACTCACGTTTCCATGAGAGAAGGAGTCAATTCTTGCAAGTGTTTGATACTCCACCTGATGAGAATGCATATGACATCTACGAGTCCAAGTTTGAACGAATGACAGCTGAAGCCTTTGGTTGAGACGACCATGTAAAAATTAGACAAAGTACCTCAAAACGTCAAAACTCACTTTATCATGTCATTCACACGTTAGGCACAACCAGGCTTAAAAAAGCCTTGACCATGAACCAACCAACGCTTAATGCGTTGCGACTACTGATCGTGTGTCGTTCACAGTGTTTATGGACCATGTGAGGAAGTTAGCTGTGTGTAGAACTCCTCACAAACAAGGAACAAGATACACTGTGTTTGAGGATTGAGGTTCAGTTGTATATTTGTCATAGAGGTCTATCGTGTTCTTTGTGCAAGTGTCATAAGCAAAATCCATTATATAAAGCAACATGCTTTCTAATTACTAATGAGTCGTGCGTGTTTTTGTGTTTGGTGAAGGCTTTTACATTTGACTTTTCGAAATCTTATCTTCTCATTGGAGCATTTGGGTTTGGTTTAGTGCTTGCTTTACTAGCACCGCCACGTTTGCCAGGTGGTCCATTCGGTTTATGTACTGTCTTTGCACATATAGGTTCATGACGTTCCAAAGACGCGACAGCGAATTTGCGACTACAGTGAGGACATTCGACACCATTGTTCTTGGCTGGTTCTGGAGGTGGGAGGTCAGAGGCTTTACCACCGGCAGCGAGATGGTTTTGGAGGCCTTTTGCTGCTCGGAGGGCTTTTATCAGTTCGTCTGTTGAAGGAAATACATAGTGGTTAGTGATGACCAAAAAAGCGGACTTTGATAGGAGATTATCAAGTCACATACCATGCTTATCACGCCAGCTACTTTCACCACCTTTAGCTTCAATAGGTCGTTCAGCAGCAGCAGACTTTTTGGCACCCATACTATTCTTTTTTTTCAATCCACTATTTCCACTACTACCAGCATACTCTTCCAGTTCGGTACCCTTAGCCCTCATAGCTCTCGGATCAAAGACCTTTCTCTTTTTATTCGTGGCAGGTTTACCACATATCGATTCATGCTTCTCGATTCTGTCTGGTGCGAATGATCGTCCACATGCTCTACATTCTTCGAAATGTAGATTCCTGGCTGGTGCTACTGCTTCTGGACCAAATGGATTCGGGTTGTTTGATGGTGCTATGGGGTATTCGTCGAAACTGTTGATGGCGCCGGCAGGTTTCTTTTGGAGAGTTGGGATTGGTGGTGACGATGATCTGAATTCAGTATGTCGGATTGCGTCTTGTGCGTCTTTTTGTTGTTGTTGGGTAGCAGCTGGTGGCGACTTGTTTTGTCGTCTGATGGCAGGTTTGCGTACTAGCGTTGGCGTAGATGGTTCTTCGTATTCTTGACGTGTCGGTGAATTTGAATTTGACGAGTTTCCTTGTTGTTGTCGTGTTGGTGATTTAGGCTCCACATTGTTATACGTATCAAAGTCTGCTCCACCACCACCAGATTTCTTGGCGGCACTCTTTTCACAAATAACTTGATGTTTTTGTAATCTGTCACCAGCAAATCTACGATGGCATACATGACATGGTACTCGACCATCGTTGATGTTGTCGTCGAGTGTGGATGGTGATGTGGGTGCTGATATGCTTGTATCGAAATCAGTCTTGACTTGTGGTGGCCTCCTACTTGATTTTGATTTTGGTGCTGGTGATTCTACAACAGGTTCGTCATACGAGTCTTCAACACGAGGAGGTCGAGACTTTGAAGACTTTGACCGCGCAAGTTTCTGCATTGCTGATGGAGCTAATGTACTAGCACTTGACTCTACATTGTCATCACGCAGTGTATCAACTGCTAGCCCCATCGACCCTGAATACGATGCTACTTCTTCAGCTGCCTTGTTGTTGTGTAGTGATGTATGTCTTTTGACTGTTGCCGTTGACTTTTTCTCAGGTCTATGAGATTCAGCAGCCTCCATAAAATTCGTTGCTGGTGGTATAATTGCTGAAACTGACTCATTAACTAATGGAGCGCGTTGGCTATTCGGTGTGACATGCGACTTGGTCCTCCTAACAGGCTTTCCATCTGGACCCAGTTTATGCCCATTAGCATCCCATTTAACTGGTGGTGGTGTATGATTATTACTCGTGTTATTGAGAGGAGCAGATCTAGCAGGTCGAGTAGCAAATGCGTCTCGTGGTGCTGCTGAAGTTACCGGACTCCACGGTGCTCCACGCGAAGGAGCAGTTTGTGGAGACGGTATCATAGAACCCCGTGGTCCATATGGATCTGGAATACTACGATTTGCTGGAGAGTGTGACTGTGATGATGGTGATTGTATAACTTGTTGGTGCTGTTGTTGAATAGCAGATCCAGATTCAACACCACCCCAAATACTGGTAACTCTTGGACGAGCAACACCAACTGATCTTGATGTTGGGTTTGATGAGAATTCACGGATTGGTTTATCGTTCCCTATGTAACTGTCTCTCTTTCCTGGCTGAGTTGACTGTTGTTGATTTGACGATGCTGTTGTTTTAGATGAAAAGGAAGGCATAGGAGGAGCCTCTTCACCATTCGCTAGTCGTTGTCTGACTTCCGCAAAAAAGGCACGTAGAGTTCCTCTTCTTGTCACTAGATCATTTTCTGGATAATCTGGCTGCTGTTGCATCTGTTGTTGCATCGACGTGAAATCGTTTCCAGAAGCATACTCAGACACTTGTCCTCTACTTGAATAAGTCACTGCAGCAGGTTTCATAGTAGAGTGATCAAATTCACGAGATAAACTTCCTTGTTTTCTAGCCTCCATTAATTTGTTTTGTAGCTGCGATTGATATTTCCCACGAAGATCATCCATGACACTTGGAGTGTGTATTGAGGTAGCTCTCGTTGGGATCTTTGTTGGAGACATGGGAGAAGGTGATGGGAGGCCTGTGGTTCGAGGAGATGATTTGGATAGAGAATGTGGTTGCGACGATTGTGGTCCCCGTTGAACTGTTGCCATCGCCATTTATTGCCACTAGATCTGATCAAATATATCTCCTAAACTGATAATAGATTGATTTTGAGATTAGCCTGTGGTAGTTTGAAGAAAAAGAACTGGGCAGCAAATCTTCCGCGACCGTCACCAACAGAAATTAAGGAACAAGAAACAAGAACTTAAGGGCGTTCACCTGTTACTCACCGAGCAGCGTTAAGATCCCTTATGAAATTAATATGCTTTAGATGCACACGAGGTTCCGTAATACCGTTGGGATTAGCGACTGTCTATGTTATTTTTGTAGGAGAATTTCACATTCTTATGGAGAAGTTTGGCCAACATTTCTCGTGTATTTGACGTGTTTTATTAAAAGCTATGCGACTGTGAACAACATAAAGAAATAAATTCGATTCGTTACTCGTTCTATTGATCTTCTAATGCCGACTTCCTCGTCTTCTCGTTACCAATCACACCGAAACTTGAAGTGCAAAGAAAACTAAATTAATTCACCAGCACACGTCGAGACCAAAATGATCACAATAATCCTATTATCAATATTGCTGAGTCTTGCAGACGGTGCTAGACCCATACCAGCTTGTGAGTGCCTTTCGTTTTGTTGATAATCTATGAAACTGCCGCTCATCATAAACTCTACATCAATTCGAATCAATTCAGACCCTGCTAATGGGAGCCTCGACTCTCCAACCATTGCTGTGCTAGTTCTTAGCCTTGTCGTCGTCGCTGCTTTCATTGGGTTGGGTTTGAGAGAGATTTGTGCATTTGATTAAACTCGGAGGCTAATCACGCCCAAACAAATTAGATGGGTGGCGTATATGAATAGGACCAGAAACCTGAAATATACTCAACAAATGGCTGATTAAAGCCAAATCACTCTCGGACCCGATTCCTCCATATTCTCACATATTTCACAAAGGACAAAATCCACCAACAGTCACTATTTACGTCAGATTCTTCAGTCATTCCTTGAAAAGAAGTAATAATAAACGCAACTGACATACCCAAGTCAATGAGACTTCTTGAATCAAGTGTTTCGTACAGCTAGTAAACACCTTCCTGAAATTAGGAGACAGGATGATTCTTTGACTGGCCTTTACGCCAAGCTACCAGGGCCCTATTGTGCCAGCGTAAGATCTGGAACAGGGTGTCGGAGAGGGTGAGAGCTTCCGGATCGATAGCGATTGAGCCTAGTACGAGTGGTGGACAGATCGCTGGAGCGTTGCTTAGATCATGATCAGAGTAGGATTCCCGTCTTGTTTGTTGTTTGTTCAAACAAGGTCTAAAGAGGGAAAAATCAGCTCATGTCTGACTGTCGCTCTATTAGTACTGGGTGAGTTCAGCCAGAAAAAGTCTATATGACTTGTTGATATGAAACAACCGCATACTACAAATCGGCTTCCATATATCGTTGTAAACACCCTCGTTTCCAGACTCTTGAAGCAGACGTATGAAATGGATTCCTTCTGCTATTGCTCATAACAGTCTGCTCCTTTGCCCTGATTGCCTGTGTACATGGAACGTGCAGCAGATGGGATATCCGCTTCGATACTGTACTAAAATGAAAGAAGACTGACAATGAGGAACATGCAAGGCGAGAAAAGCCGGTGTGACAAAACTTGAATCAACACGATTAGCTCATTGAACAACTCAGATACACTCCTTGCAACCCTGAGGGAACGTCATACCTGTGCTGGTTAGAGCTACTTGTGGGTCTGTTATTGATAGTCCGGATGGTGATATCAACGAGGGATTGTGATTCCGATGCTTCTGTTGATCCACCGGTTTGAATTGGATGGATTCTCTCGACGCTCGACCTGAGTTGGATATAGGAAACCTCATGCTGAACGGGCTCTTGCACGGTTGATGTTCAATTTGTTGATGTCAGGGATGATGGCCGTCCAAGAGAGACCTTTCGAGATCGCATGATAACGAGAATGACAATTTTACTTGAAAATGCAAGGCTTTCAACAATCATACTGGGAAAGGGCCAAGAGAACTTGCGAGCATTCTTTTTCAAGATGGCGACGATGCTCTGACTTGCACCTGATGAGTAGAGTAGAATGAGTACCAAATAAGAAACATTTAGCAAATATGATAGTGTGCCAAGTGTCATTTGATGCTCTTACTTGGTTTCTTTTCTCTGTTGGGGTTTTGCATCGTTTCGAATTTTGGTGAGCAGCCGCCTTCCATGACCTTAAAGCAAATAATTTGGCGTGTTATGGAGCAAGAAACTGTCATAACCTCAACCAGAAAGACTACATCATGTATGCAAACTCGTGGAGACTCCAAGTTTAAGCGGCTGCATGCATGTCGGCGCTTCAAGGATTTTCATTTCCATGTGATCTGAAACTCAAAGCGTAAAGCCATGACGGCAGATTCCTTATGTCCTATCATTGTATAGTATACAGAGCGCGACTACTTCCTACTTGAAGCAGCAAATCAAAGTTATCGTCAGGAGACCAAACATACGAAACGAGCCCATTGTGAGCACTACGCTAGTACATACGTAGCAAAAGAAGCATCAAAATGCGATTGGATGTGTAGTAGAGCTGATATATGCCCTTTATCAACCTTTTCCTTGAAGTTAAGCACTCGCTAAACGACCACCACATCCTCGGTATGAGGCTTATTACTGTCCAAAGGCACGCCAACAGGTCTTAGAGCGTCGAGATTTGCGAATATCGCTAGCACCCAGTACATTCTCTACATACGCTTTTTCAAGTCTCTTTATATGGAGAACAACCTTCCTATGCTCCTCAACGCCCATTCTTCCTCCGCACACTGCAAAAACATAACCGAGCTTTCCAAAAGCTCAAGAACAGGTAAGAACCTACAATGGCAGACGTTTTTCAATTCAGTACCACTGTTTTGTTATATTCCTGTCTTTGTCTCACTCGTTTACGGCTAAAACTGACTTCTATTCTCCTCTTTAAAACCCACAAACGGAAAGGCACGATACCAGTTGGCAGTGGGCTGCGTATCGGGGCCAGGACTGGAAGCACAGCTTCGTTAAGGTATTTTCATACATAGACCCCACCTACTTTGCGCAATGGCCCTCGAATCTTGGACGTTCGTTCAACATTTAAATTGCTAGATTTTCAAACATTTTGTTACAGAAAAGCTCACCTTTTCCTATTTCTCTTCAAAAGCAGAGTTACAAGCATTATTAGCATGGAAGAAGAACTTGTGTTTGACTCTAGTGATCGATTGCCGGCATTCTTGTCCATTTTGGTAAGTGTTGGATCACTTTCTGGTTGTTGGTCTGAACATCCCAACTTGCTTTCTGGAGTTTGGAGTTCTGCCTTTTCGTTTGCGCTTGTATCTTACAGGGCTTAATCGAAGCACTAATTCTCTTTAACATTTTAATTTAGGACTCTATCACACATATACTTCATAGCGTATCCGATGTCATGAGTGATGGTAGAAGGTCCACATCTTCTCTCCATTCACTATTTGATGCTATTGAAAAATTTACTGGCCTAGATTTGGTCTCCTTATTGTCAGACATGTCCCTTGCTTCAATCTCTACAATGGTGTCTGACATGTCGCCTGCTTCAATTTCTGAAATGTTTGAGAGCTTGTCGGGATCAAAAGTCATAGAAATGCCTTCTCCATTCTCATTTGCAGGTCCTGCTGCTGTCGCGGAGGTCGCAAGACGTCATACAGTCTCATTGCTTTCCGATGACTCGCCTTTCGACGCATCTCCTATTCCAGAAGCTGTGGACTTGATGGCAACAAGCACCATCTCAAGTATATTTTCCGAACCTCTAGAATTTCCCGTGCCGATGCGCTCCACTGCTTCGGTTCTCAAGAAGGAAGATTATGTACGTGGCTTACGCCTTCCTCATTGTTATGTCGCTTTGATAGTGCTTTGACCTGAAACCACCACAATTTATAGATTCTGGGTGCTCGTATAGGAAAAGGAACTTTCGGTTCTGTGTGGATGTGAGTGCTCCTTTTTGTTGACTTTCCAAGAACAAGCATTGGGTTTTACTAACGATTGTTCGGTTATTAGCGCCACACACACATCCACTGGAGAAAAGTTTGCTGTCAAGTTGGTGAATTCTGTTGATGAGGGCATGGTAAGATCACTGCTCACTTGTCACGTTTCATCATCTCACGCTTTAATTCCATTCTGTAGAGAGAATTCACCTTTATACGCTCCTTTGACCATCAAAACATCATAAAGTGCTTGGGGTATTGGATTGACGGGTCTGAATTTTGCATGGTGCTCGAGTGAGTGGATGCTAATACTTTTGTCCATTGTTGCTATTTACGACTGACATTGTACTTGTTGGAATTAGATATGGGCAGTACGGTTCAGCTGCGTCTGCTATGGCTAGAATCGGACTGTGGACAGAAGCCGATTGCGCAATCATCATTGAGGGTGTCTTGAAGGGGCTGCATTGCATGCACGCTGCCGGAGCTTGCCACTTGGATATTAAAGTAAGGATTAAACTCGATGGGTTTGTTCTGAGTTGGAACTCATCCACCATCATCTCTCATTAGGCCGCCAATATTATCATCACGGGTGATGGCATTCCCAAAATTTGCGACTTTGGATTGTGTGATATGGAAGCCGACTCGAAAGCTTCACCCTGTATCTGTGGTAAGCTCAAAAGTTTCTTATGTTGTTTACTGGGAGATCTGAAGCTCACTATGTATCATTATCTCATAACAGGAACACCGGGCTTTATTGCCCCTGAGATATTTGAAAATAAGGGTGGAGAGTGTGCTAGTGATATTTGGGCGCTGGGCCAAACAATCTTGGAGATGGTTACAGGCAGCACGCCATACTCCAACCTTAAAGTTCGCCAAGGTGCTATGAAAACTCTCAAAGGTCAGTCTTGAGCTTGCGATATTTCGATGTCATCTCTCAACTTTTACAAATTTTATCCGTTTTTCTCAAAACTAGATGAAACAGTGCCTCTACCACCAGGACTCTCTCCTGTAATTGTTGTTGTAGTGTAGCCCCCTGATACACAGCACTAGTCTAACCTTCACATTCCGTAGCTCTTGGTAGATTTCTTAGATGGTTGCTTCGACAAAGACCCGTACTTCCGAGCCTCAGCCGATGAGCTGTTAGGACATCCCTGGCTCTCTGAGGACACTCCTGTATCACCGACGTTGGAAGCTGCTGCTGCTACTACTACCGGCATATCGTCTGTCGTGTCATCACCTACAGCACCACCTCGTGATATGGAAAGGTTCAGCACAGCTGCTCTCCATACAGACGAAGAAGCACCCGTGAAACTCAGCTCTGATACCGCCGAATCGTCACACCGAGCAGCACCAGAACTTGAATCATACATTTCGATTATAGCTATCGTTGAGGCTGGAGATGACGCCTTTTCTATGGGACCAGATGGTATCACTCTTGTATCGGTTTCGTCGTATAATAGCACTGCCATCTCGTCTTCGACTCAGATGGAAGTGGCGTCTGTATCAACAATAACATCACCAATTCCTGTAGCCATTCCAAAGGGCCCCAAATCATATAAAAAGTCCATTCGAGTTTCCAGAGCATCCTCAATTACAACCACATCAACCGTCTCCTCAATTGGTACGATTGAATCTGTAGAGTCAGATTCGAACGCCAAATCAAGCTGTAAGCATAAGAGCAGTAAAAAGCAATGGAATGGAATAGGTTGGATGTCGCTATTGAAGGGTCGTGTTGGTAAAAAGCCAGTCAAAACACCCGGACCATCTATATCACCTCCGCCATGGTACCGTGTACAACATCGTAAGGAAGCTACCGCAGTACCATCAGCACCGTCGACTTCACCAGCACCATTTGTAAGCAGGATGTACAATTTGTGTCGTCGAAGAAATCCTAAAGACTTGATTGATGTTGGATCAGACGGCGAAAGGAAACCACCACACCGATTTATGTTTCTCAAATGGTTTAAAGTTAGTTCGTAATTTAGACATACACTTTTGCTTGTGGACTTTTGTCATAATTAGGACGGTCACTTGGTGTCTTCATACCTCGTCCTCCATATATCATAACTTGTAAAGAGGTTGAGGTCCTTTTTGTTAAATAGTGTGTGTTTTGCTGTTGTTACAATATAGAGAAAGCATATTTGACCACAAAACCATCACATATTGGAGCAGTATTGTTTTCTTGACCACTACATTCCAAATCTTTTTTTCAATCTTTTATTCAATCAATGGAAGATGGATACTTGAATACCACCCTAATAAAAGTGTAGAGGTTAATTCAAAAGGTGGCGTCAGAAATCCGACTGGAAAACGAGAATTCATACTTGTCAAGTACAAGACAAACACTTCCAAACATTACAACTTCACCAGAAACTTCAGTCCTCATACCGCATAACCCTTTCATCATTCAACCTCATCCAAACAGTAAATATGTCCATTTCTTAACGATAAATCATCATCCTGGGAAGTGGCAAATTCCGTAAAGACAATTATCTGATCAACAGGCCCCTGCACCGGTTATTATTGGTGAATCAGACACCTGCTGCTTCTGCTGCAAAGAGATCATAGACTTCGTGTACACATGTTGCTGTTGAGTAGCAACAGGAGATCCAGACGTCGTGCTACTTGTAGTCCCATACTCGTACTGTGACTCCTCTTGTGCTGTACTCCATGTTTCTCCCGAGTCTCGAGGTGTTGATACGGTGTGCGTGTCTAATTGTGCAGGTGGAGGATGAAATTGGATTCGATGCTGGGATGGGAGTAGTGGTAACGGTTGTGTAAGTGGGATTTGTGAAGACGTCGTCTTGTTCTAATGTATGGCTGGGTGTAGATAATCCACATCGTTATTGAATATAGTTTGCGAGAAGTTGTCGATGCGGAGCTGTTGAGCCACCGTCTTCAAACCGGTGCGTATCCAGACAAGGATCATGAGTCTGCTGTCCAGATTGTGGTATTTTGAAGGATGGAGCCAACCTTACCTCTGTCTCAGCAGCGCTATCATTTGGCCTCAACATTCCAAGTGGTGATTCGATTCAACGAAAGCCACCAACAAACATACAAATCAAAGCGATTTCAGATAGATGGATGGGACCATCCTTCGATAATCAGCAAACTTTTGAAACTAGAAAAAGTGTCAACAAAAATTGTTCAGCGTCATTGCATTGCACAATTATCGAATAGAGTCATAACAAACCTCTGCAAACGAATCATCATTCGATCACTCCACTATCATGCGGTTTGACATAAAGACACACCACTAGCACCATTTGATCCCTTCACCAGTAAGTCTCATTACGGTTCTAGCAATTGCCATTAAACTGCGAGTTCTCCTTCAATGAAACACGAATTCAGAAGTATATCCAAATGTGAGCAATTCAAACAAGAAACACCCGATATTATCAAAGGAAATCCCTCTTTATTATACAATAGCCACGTTCAAAAACTATCCACCCTCCTCAATATCAACAAGAAGGATTCATATCATGCATGCAACATATATGGATGTGTGTGTGCGTGTTTCTACTCTACTTTTTTGCTGCTAAAGCGTTTGTCTTGGCCACTACAAATAAAGAAACGAATGAGTACACAGCATACAGATATTTAACACATGACTGTACATACACAGAGAACCCTTCTTTGCAAATCGCTGGTTTCGTAAGAATTTGGGGTCGACACCTTTGAGCGATGGACTCCTTTGCGAGACGGGCCTCTTGATACCGTTTCGATGGGCCTTGAAGCTTTGGTTGTGGTTTGTGTGATTCTTTGATTTGGCCTGTATGTGGAATGTATGGAGTTAGATGTTGGTTGATGTTGGTGATGTTGGGTGATGACGCGAAGGGTTGATGACAATGAAGTAATCAAAGTAGCTGATTCCAATAAACAAAGAATGGATGTATCTGTATAGCTGCTGTTCTCTTCACGTAATTGCTGTCTCGACAGCACATGATGACATTGCTCTCAAACCAAAGTTACTCGTCACATCTCTGGTATTAAGATGCAATCTATATCATCTTCAACATTATGATAATGAGTCCCGGTACGTACCATGGTGCTTTTCCCTTTCGAATTGGATGGATGCGAGAGTTGTCCAAGTCGATTGTTTGAATGTGCGACAGAGAGCTCACCCGGAAATCAAACCCGAACCAAGAGACAGTTTGCAATAAGGTAGGACGTCATTTTATCGCGTATTTTTTCATTTTGGGCTTCAATTACAATAAATAGCTGGTGATCGCATTTCAAGTTGAACTTTTCAAATTTTGCTGATTCTACAGACGAATTGTCCCGTGTTTTAAATAGTATCGTGACGGTGAGACTGTAATGTCAGTCAATACATTCGTACCAGTCCCTCAAACAGTCTGCGATCGATACATTTCTCGCCGCGATACGTCCTGATTGACGTTGCAGCTCACCCCTAAAAATAGAAATCCATCATTCATTCGAGTGCAGGCAGCCACCAGAGACACCACAGAGAACCGATCTGGATGCTTTACATCACGGCCATGCATCTCTGATCTGTCTTCTTCAGACTCTTGGCCTTTACGGTTTGCCAGAATTCAATCTCCGACTGTACGGCCAAGCTTTTGCTACCAAGAATCAAACTTGACTCATTGTACAGCAGGAAATGAACGGATTCGACAAGCTCCAATACGAAGAACACCGTCTCAAAGAATGGCATTCCCTACCACACTCCGCCAACCGCAGACCACCAACATCCTACTCTCCAGAGCACACAATCCCACCACCAACACACTCTTACGAACTATCCACTCTCGACAAACCAAATACCAAACGTAACCGGTTTATACTCATACTAGCCATATCGGCTATCGTAGTGCTGGGTGTTGTGGCCGTTATATCGGTAGGCACAGTCAAGAAATGGTGGGGGAATACCAGCAGTCAGTCAAATATACAGCCTGATCCGGCATGGGTGGTTTCTGCGATACCGAATACCAGGACGTATAATTTCGTGGTGTCGAGTATCACGGGATCGCAGGATGGAGTTGTCAAGCAAATGCTTGTTGTTAATGGTGAGAAAAGTCGAGTGATCTTGGGACTCCAGTTGACTTACTCGCATTTTCGAATTAGGACAATACCCAGGCCCTCTGATAGAAGCCAATATGGGAGATCGCATTATCGTCAATGTGCAAAATAATCTGGTTAATGGGACTGCTTTACATTGGGTAGGGCACCAAAAACGAGGCATGCAATCAGCGTGGATGTCATGTACTGATGGAATTCTCGTTCTCTTCTCGTACACAGCATGGATTACATCAGAATGGATCTAACTGGATGGACGGTACTGTCGCAGTAACGCAATGTCCTATACCGCCTGGTGGCAATTTCACGTATGATTTCACGGTTCCGGATCAGTATGGTACCTTTTGGTGAGTCTTCGTAACTTGCAATTTGTCTGGATGCGCTGAGTAGAGACTGTGTGCAGAATGTTTGTTGCAAAAGTCAAAGCAACCTAATTCCACATCTGGGGACTGTTTTTTTTCCGACCTCAAAACAAATTCCTTGTTTGTTAAAACACAAACTTTTGTTTCCAGGTGGCATGCACACGCCAGCACCCAATACAACGACGGCATAGTCGGCCCCCTCATAATCCACTCCCCCTCCGACCCACTCCAAAACACATACGACAAGGACGTCGTAATCCTCCTCACAGACTGGTACCACGATTTCTCTCAATCGCTCGTCGCTACTTACCTCACAACCGGCCTCCCAAACAACCCATCCGCCGAACCAGTACCCGACAATGGTCTTATTAACGGACAAAACATATTCAACTGCTCGAGTAATCTAGCGAGAACGTGTAACGGTGGTGGAAGTCGCGCGGCATTTAATTTCTTACCGGGGTTGAAATATCGGCTGAGGTTGATTAACGTGGGAGCGTTTGCGGATTTCATGTTTAGTGTTGATGGACACGAGTTGAGTGTTGTGGAGGCTGATTCGACCGTTGTGAATCCAGTTGTGGTGCATCGGGTGCCGATACATGTTGCGCAGAGGTATTCGGTACGTTGTCATTTGCTGCTTTGCTTCAAGTATCGCCAAGAAATTCCTGCATCAACTGAAACAAGATAATTTACAATCATTTTTCTTTCTCTCACAGGTAATTCTAACAACAAACCAGCCCTCTTCTGCCTACTGGATCCGCGCATCCATGACCCAATCCTGCTTCAAATACACCCCGTCATGGCTAAACCCAAACATCCTCGCCATACTCCGGTACTCGACAGTCGACTCCTCCACCACACCAACATCCCTCGACTGGAACGACGATACGTCGTCTCAACCATCATCGTGTATAGACCTCTCACCATCCATGCTGGTCCCCACAATCCCGAAAACACCGCCGGTAGCTACATCGCGGTATAATCTCAGTATCTCGTTTACGAATGCGGGTAATGGAGCAACCACAAACAGGGGTTTCATAAATGGGATGACGTGGACGCCTTATATGAATACGAGTAGTCTGGCGCTTGCGAATGTGGGTGGATTGGTTAGTACGAGTACGAGTTATGTCGAGACTGTGGGGAATGTGACTGTTGCTGATCTCGTGTTGAATAATCTTGATGTTGGTACGTCGTTCGTTGAATATAATATCCGGTTTTTTTTGTTTGTTGTGTGTCTTGCATTTCTAACACATATTTTCGCATTTTAGGTGCCCACCCATTCCACATGCACGGCCTCCCGCTCTACATCCTCGCCATGGGATCCGGCCTCTTCACAGGCGCGACACCAACCAATATCACTAACCCGTTGCGGCGCGACACGGTAGTGCTTCCATCTAACGGGTACGCGATTGTGCGAATCATATTCGACAACCCGGGGATATGGACGCTGCATTGTCATATCTCGTGGCATATGAGTGCTGGCTTGCTGATGCAGTGGCAGGTGCTGCCGAGTGTTGTGAGGGGGTGGAGCATTCCGAGTGCGGTTGGTGCGTTGTGTAAGAGCGCTGGGGTTGGAGGTGCGCTTACGGGATAAAAGGGTGTATAGGTTTTGGAGGGAATGGCCTCATAATGTGTGTTATATATTCTGGTAGTAGTTTAGTCATATAAAGTTAAATGATACACCTCAAAACACTGTACATTGCCAGTTTTAGAAATGGTTGAAAACAATGATCTCGAAAGAACACAGTTTGTGATTAACAGTATGTATAAAATAGTCTAATAGTGGTCAATAATAAATTACACCTCTCGCGTTGCTATGGATACACCTGCCGCACATTAATATTAATCCTCGAATTCTGTATATACCTCCCAACATCCGCATCCTCCCACTTGTCCACACCCAGATACTCTGGCAGCGTGCCCTGCATCACCCTCGGAACTAAAAAACAGACAAGTAAGCGAAAATCACAACAAGAGTTGTTCCAACGCAACTAACCACCATGAAAGCTCCTCCGACACTCGCCACTCATAACAAGGCAATCCCCGCTCCTCAGCAGCAACGGCACAGGCACCGTATCCCTCGACTCGCTTCCAATAAGAAACACACATGACAGACCAAGCGAGATACTCACGAGTGGGGACGTGTTGTCGGGCTCAGACCGGTCTTGGTGTGCCATGAGCGTGTCTTTGATGTAAGAAAAGAAGTGAGTGACTTGTTACTGAAGATGCTGCAAGGGGTTGGTACCTTTGGGTGTGTAAAAGTTTATGATGCCTGCTTCGGGTGAGTATGTGGTGCCCAGGAATGAAGTTAAAGGAGACGATAGCTGCACGATTGATTTGGATAAGCCGTGGACTAAGGGCGGGAACGGTGACAGGCGTTCGTAGTGGTAGTCCTTTGTTGCCCTATACACAAAAAATGTTCAGTCAATGCCGGTAAAAACAGCGTGTTTTCGCACCAATGATATTGTAATCCAACAGACACCCATCTCCACCGATACGTAGCCTCCGTCGCAGGTATCTTCTTAACATGGGTCACGTAGTGCGTCGGTGGATCTACCAACACATCATCGTCTCTACTACTTTCAGCACCTCGTGAATCATGGTATGATTTACTTGCTGCGTCTGGATCAACGTCGGAGGCAGTTACGGGGAGCTCGTCGCGTGGAGTTAGGTAGTAGGCTTCGTTGTCAGCATGCAGTGTGTTTGACCATATGCGGGTTGCGAGTGCCCAGAGGCCCGGGTTTGTGGGGACGTTGTAGTGGGTGTCTAGGTTTGAGATGTTTGGTCTGCATGTGTATTCGGTGAGGCATTTGGTTATTAGGAGTCTAGTAGGATGGAGTGTGAGTGGGTTTTTGGCGCACAAAAAAACACAATGTCGTGGCTGAAGTAATTGATTCAACACGATCGACAACCGCACAGTACACATATATGTACCTCTGGGCATCATCATTCAGCAGATCCGGTATAACAACCAGTCCATTAATCCCCGTTACAGTAACCAACCTCGTCTTTCCATCTACAGCACTCTTAAACAATGGATCCACGCTAGAAGCATCCAGATCCACGATATGGGACTGTAGTCTCACATCAGGCAGCGATTCAATGGTATGCGATGTGTCACGGCAGTGTAGTACATGTTCTGAGAGTACTGCTGGCAAATGTTTGAAATATCGTTCGATGACACGGAAGGGAGTAAAGTTTGTTGGTTGCTGCTGCGGCTTTTTCGGCTTTTTGGCCATTGTATGGGTGAGGGATCTAGAAATTGGAAAGCTTTGTCGAAGTTAGGAAGATGATAGTAGCTTTTTTTTGTATCAGAAAGCAACGTCAATTGGAATCCCATCACAGACCAAAGCATCGCAAACTTACCCCGATCTAATAGATCTAGTGACTCGCAGCCGAATTAGCCGTCTACCACCCAAAACCAAAAGATAAAAGATGTGTTTCTTACGTCCTGCGCCGTTTGCACGATTTGATGTTAACGGCTGGGGCTGGTCAAGAGTAAAAGCAAGCAGATTTACCCTATTCAGAGCTCTCTCTATATGCTACAGTTTACGATCAGGTTGGATCAACTGCAAAACACGTTCAAATCAAATCGCTTTTGATGTTCGGAATTCAAGATTGCCTGCTGGAGTCGGGACACGCTCCTTTCGTGTCATTTCATTAATTTCTGAGTAAATTATATCAATAAATAAAAATACAATCATTCGACACGTTCACCTTCACCGCAGCCTCCACAAAGCTTGATTCATCTCTCACCAAAGCTTGACAGCAAACTCTGATACAAGGACAGCGAGACAGCAACCACAACCATATATAAAAAGTGGCTATAATCCACACCATGCAGGACATATTAAGTCTCCCATCATCGCCATACGCTTTCAACATCCTTCACCGTCATATGGGAGGATATTCATACCACTCACCAACATCCTCCTCATTGCCCATATTTGTATGGAGAGCTGACTCGGATGTCATTCAAGTACGCAGTGCATTGAATGGCGCATTGCTCTTTCTCTGGAAGGCTACTGTCCTCGGAGGTGCAAAGCTGGTATGTTTCAACATTTGGTCATGTTTGGACATTTGAGTTGTTTGAGTCAGAGCTCGGTACAAGCTACAATATTATTGAAATCGTATTAATTTTGCTATTTACTTAATGATAGGCCATATTCCAAGACGTCATCGCCATCCAAATAGGGAGCGTAAACTACCTGCTCGCTCAAATGAGAGACAGTAGTGTTTCGCCCTTGAATCTGCTAGATCCGTATACGGGGAGCGTCATGCCCATATATGCTGATGCTCATGGTCCTATGAATGTGTCGCTGCCCTTTATTGTGGTATGTTGTCGTTGTGAGAATGAAAGTAATCGAGGGCTTGTGGAAAAGATGTAATGTTTCCTTTTGGCTATGCTTTAGAATACAGAAAAAGGATCCGAGTCTGCCCAAATCATTGCTTTGGCTTGTGACATGTCTGTGTCATACAGTCTCATTCTTCCATCTCGAAGATTTGTAGTAAGCATGCACGTGCACTCAACAACAATCAAAAATTATCCAGCGACTCATTCCTTGTATCACTTAGCATGGATTCATCAAACTCCCAATCACCGCCAATGTCACAGCTATATCAACTCTCGTACCATCGCTCAACTCGTCTCCCTTCTTGATTGTCGGTACAAGTCAAGGGCAGATTACAGTATTCGGATTGGATGCTACTGAAGACGCTACACTTCATGAGATTGGAACTTTTGATATGTCGAATAATGGTATGCGGTCATGTTATGATCAAACATGGTTCTGTCATGAGGAGAGTCCTGAAGATTTTTTTGTAGGCCCAATAACACATACCGTCACATGGCCTGCTGCGCCATCGTATCATGGAGATGCACTCGGTCTTTGTGTTATTGGTCAAGGTGGTGAAAGTGATGATGATATGACGTGAGTGTTGAAGGCACTGTCTTCAGCATTACGCAGATTTTCTTACTTTACTTTTGCTAAACTATTATCTATCCCTACTAGAACCAAACCTGATGTCGAAATCTTCATCATCTCAAAGGACGACACTCGACCATTCTATCCAAGAGCAGTTGGTCAGCTTGAATTCCCACCACATAGTACTGGTCGTGTTACTGCTATTGCCATGTCAATTGGTAAGGTTTCTTGGTCTTGCAATCAATTCATTCCGACAATTTCATTTTTTGGTTCTGTTAGACGACGAAGATAAGCACCAAGTCTTCATATCGCTACGCCTAACAAGTGAACACATGGGACAGCGTAACGAGATGCGAGGATGGAAGGTGGATTTGAATCATATACAGGCACATGAAGCGCAAGTCTCTGATATTACTCAGACTGATGATTCTGCCGTCTTGGTAATCAACCTTTCTGTCCATCCCTTTTTTTGGTGTGCAAAGTTATTAACATTTTTTATACGTTCATAGAGTCTGTATCCACGCGGACGAAGTCCTGAGTGTAGTGTCTTGTTCTTGAATCGATTGGCAACCTGGATTGACATGTTAAGGCCGAATGTTCGTGCTGTTGAGGACGAGGTATAATTGCCTTGTTTCCAAATCAGAGGTAGTCCCTTTTTTTCGCTGTAGGCTTACGATCTCTTCTTTCAAATGTATAAGTTGCCGATATTCGAAGACTGGTTTTCAACATTCCCATATCCTCAACCTCTTGCCGATGGTATTCGACAACGACGTGGATTGACTGGAATGCTGTTTATTGATAGGCTGTTAGCTATGTGTCAAGTCGATGGTATGGCATGACTTGAAGAAGCATGCATGCATTTTTTTCACCCACTTTTATCTTATAGGATCACAAGCATATCCACCACAATCCATGAACGATCTACAAACCCTGTACAACAACATTATTGCATCTCAAGTCAACCCCCTGGAAAAGACTTGTTTCATATACTACTTACTGTTGGATACTACTGTGGCTGATGGGATTGATGCCAAGACAGAGAGTTTCCTGTCCTCGTATGGGGTACCAGAAGCTTTTAGGAGGGTTATATTTGGATATTGGTCGCTGGACCATGGAAGTTACCAGGTTAATGACAGGCTGAAGAGTTACTGGCTACGTTGAGATTGCAGACTTCTTTTTTTCGGCTCTTTGCAGCTAATCTATTTTCACTTTTTTGTAGGAGGCAATATCACAATTAACCCATCCATCAATCGAAAACGACTTCCCGTCTGCTGTATTACAGACGTTGTATTTAGCCAATCAACCAAAAGAAGCACTACGCTTCATTAAAATTGTCAACCCTGCATTGACGGATTTTCAGGATGAGAAGATCGTCCTGAAGGTTCTGCTGCAGTGTAGTGGACTGGATGAAGCTTTTACATATCAGCGGAAGAAACAGGATGGAAATGATTGGGAGTTGTTCAAGTGTCTTGTTGAGCAGTGCTTTTCAGGTATTAACTACGCTCGTTTTGTGGTGGTCCTGTAGTTCCCCCTCAAACCTTTACCAAACTTAGGATCATCAACACCTGAACGAGTGAGGCTACTCCTCACATTCCCACTCGAATCAGAAGAAGAAGCCATTCTTCTCTCCTACTGTGCCACTCATCAACATCCCGCTGTACGATCATTTGCTCTCATGTATTATATATACCATGGGCGATACAGTGAAGCTGTTGCTTCGTATATATCCGAACGAGGTCACAAGTCGTTACCTGCTGCTCACGGAGAAGCAGATCGAGAACGACACTTCATCGTTGAGAATCTCAGGATGGTGTTGGGTCGAGTTGCTCGTGAGGCTGTCATGGTTTGGGAGGAGAGTCTTCTTTCTGAGCTGCCAGTGTCTGTGGCGACGAGTAGCAAGGATGTTGGAGTGAAGAGGATGCCGGGTAATCGTCACGGCGTTGAAGGCGTTTAAAGGAAGGGTGGCTTGGTTTACGTGTTAATAATCTCTTTTTTTGACACCTTAGACACGTCTGAAGCCTCTACTTCAAATAAGAGACTACGAGACTCTACATACAAATCAGAGGTACCTGAACGTACTCTGATTCGAGCATTAAAAGAACAATTAAATGCACAGCCCATTCTTCAACCACCATCACCACCTATAATACCTGCTGTCCCAATAGTAGCAGTAGCATCCAGTAGTGATATTCCAGCTGTGCCTTCACTTGCAGCTTCTAGTACCGTATCCTCATCAGCAACTCCAACAGCTCATACACCAAAGGTCCATAATGCTGTATTGGAAGAGGAACAGGTTGAAACGGAGAGTGTTTTGGATGATATGAAGGTGGACCTTGAAGAGGCTGTTGAAGAGGATATGATGATGGTGGATGAAGTCGTGCCCGAAAAGGAAGTTGAGCCAGTGGAGGACCCGGTAAAGCAAGCACCAATAGCTGTCGAGTCTCCCGCAGCTAGTAGTGTCATCCCACAGCAGCCAACACCAATAGCTCTGGAGTCTCCTTCTAACAGTGTCAATCTACAAACGAGGTCTATGCTTCCTCCTTCCTCGCTCTCCTCTGTGAGTGAGATAGTGGCACGTAGATTATCATTGCAGAGTGTTGGTGGCGTGCAAAGTCCATTCATGAAGCCACCATCTACACCAAGATCGCAATCTACTTCTCAAAGGTGGGAATGCGTTCCCAATGAACTTGTTTTTTGGTCTTGTGATCTTACCCAATTCTTTGAATGCAGTGTCGAAACCAAGGAATCTCCAGAAAAGAGAGTGCAAACACGTAAACAGCCAACACCAACATCTCTCTTCGGTGGAAAATCTATCTTGTCTATGCTGCACCCTGCCAGTAAACCCGTAATTGATCAACCTGTGATAGCTCATCCGATACTAGATTCTATTGATGAGTCTATGGAAGCGTCCACAAGTTTTGAAAAGGATGTCGTGAAGGACGATTATGATATTGAAGTGCAGTCGTTGTTGAAGAATCGATCACCATTCTCTGCCGAAGCGCGACAAAGTCGCGAACGAAGTGTAGCATCTGTTATGGCAGCCAATATTATAACAAGTAGTATAGGTGCTAGACGAACGACAGTATCACCACCTAAAAGTATTGTAGCGCCATTGCCACCACCTATGTCATTGGCCGAATTCGAGAAGGAGGTTGTAGAACAACACAGTACTCCAGCAACAGCAACACCTTCTGGAATTACTAGACGAGGAGGACATGACCATGATAGTGATAGTTCGCCTGAATTATCCGATGTGGATGAATATGATAATAGCAGCAGCAATGAGGATGAAGAAGATGATAGTGATACCCCAGGAAGAGCAGGTGGCGATGCTGTATCATATCCAAAGGCTACATTCGAACCCTCGGCTTTGGAAGATGAACCACCGTATACCGCTGTAGAGGAACAACAAGTGAAACCATCACCCAAACCAAAAAAGAAGACAGCTGCCGTCCGCTTCGCTAGCCATTCAGACGCACTACCAGACACACCAGATGTCGATGGTAACCGGGTAGGACGCATCTTACGCAAAACACCAGCACGAACCGCTGCCAACAATAACTTGCTGAAAGGTGTATCGAACTTACCAAATAGGAATCTCATTGGGAAATTATCGGAAGCTGCGTCATTGCAGGGAACTCCTGCTGCAGCTGCCGCTGCTAGACGGGCTGCTAAACCGGTAGTAGCTGCTGCTAAACCTGCAGTTGTTGCTGCCAAGAAGGTTGCGGGAGTTATGGCACCTACTGCTAGTTCTGCTGCCAAGATGGTTGCGAAACCTAAAGGTGGTGGTGCTGTCAAGAGGGCGGCCAGTAGTGGGTTGGAACGTGCGGTGCGTAAATGATGGACGAAGTGGGTATAAATTTTGTTGAGGTTGTATATTATGAAGAATAGGAATAGGATTGATGGATGAACATACATGCGGGACACTTAAAAGGTTTTTTCGCTTGTTCGAACTTAGTTGCTGGAACAGCAAGTCGCTATAGTGTTAAACTGTTATTGTCAGCTACCTTTTCATTGCTTCGGGTGACCGAAGTTCCTGTTTAGAGTTGGAAGACAACGTTCAAGTGTCGTAGTACAGTGAAGCAGTTTAATTAAACGGCATCAACGCGAAGTCTCTCACAGTTTACTGGCTTCTGGTCCCAACACAACAACAACCTCAGCTCTAAAGAAGAGAGAGGACAGTCAACCAGCCAAAACCGTGCCGTAGAATGGAGACGATACGCATTAGACACGGGGTTACAAGTGAGGAATAAGCAGAAGCCATGTCCTCCTTGAGCCATTTTCGTCAGAGACTTGGACTGACTGAGAATATGCATTTGAATACACCAGATGCACCTTGATGCAGCAGCGGCTTGGCGTTGATGATTGTTTTACAGAGTTAATAGTCACCAGACTTGTCAACCTCAATTGTCTTGCATCTAGCTTCCAGCTCCAGTTCAAAAGCATACTTTAGTATTCTGACGGAACGGTCTAGCGGAAGATACCAGTGCGTCCAACTGGGAAGGAAATGGCAGGTCCAAGTAATTTAGTGAGTGATGTCAAAGTGTTTGTTTGTAGATCGGGCAACACCTCATAAGCAACTGCCGGCAGTTCTCGCAGGAGATATAAATGAGTCTAGATAGCTAGTTGACTGAGGGCGTCAACGGCTACCCAAACGTGTCTGACCATTCCTTCACCTCGACGCTTCCAGTTGACTGATCCAGCAGATCCGCGCACTTATAAGTCATGGAAAATCGAAATTGAAATCAAAGTCCCAATTCTACATGTTTGAGTTGCGGCAAATGTTGAGTTATGGAGTAGTGTTCAACGACGAGCCTCCAGATTGGATACGGAATGTCTTGTACTTTAGCTTGCCGTAGTCCTGGGCTGCAGATATCGGTGATCGTGACTAGAGCGACCTTCCTTCTACCTGCTTGTGAGAAACGAGAGACTGTCAGAATGTTGGTATTGTAGCAAGTAAAAAAACAGCAGCTTCAATGGAAGAGCTTGCCTAAGGCCAATTTAAATATCTCACCTCATCACAGCTTGGAGCCTCACTCTCTGCCACGTGCTTCACCAAAACAACATCAAAAGACTTTGACAAAGAGCAGAGGAAGGTGGACACTAGAATTATGCGAAATTGGAGGCCAGATTTCGTATATGTAGGCAACAATGTGAAGAATGACTTGGACGCGGTGAGCATCCGTACTTGGTAACTAACATTAATGTTGGCAACCTGGATTTTTTTAACGATAAGACGCGAGACTGAAAATATCGTGAGAATGACAGTCCATGTCTGAACTGATTAACATCTAAGTTTGCCTTGCTCGAATTCATACTCTGTGATAGGTGACAGACACAGTGCACGTTCTCCTACTAGCTGCTAATTAACTAGCATCTGGATTGCTCAACGCCACAGACAGCCAAACACAAACCCAAAGTCCAAAAGAAGCCAAAACTTTGAGTTTCTACCATCAACTTCGAAACTAAAAGCCCAAATCCAGATACTCCCAATGCAAATTGGTGGTATGGTGTCAATTTTTGTTTTAAACACTGCTTCCACTCCAGATGCACCAAATTCCTCGCATCACAGATGCGCAATGTATCGTGAAATATGCAAATGTCTCCAGAGTGAAGCGAGATGAGGGATCCGAGTGAAAAGGTGAATGTTTCTGAAGCCTCTGGTTCTAAATCTGCGACACTGGAGAATCAACTGCGAAAATTCTAATATCTTTTTCATGGAAAGATGTAAATGCCTCCAGAGTTGACTAAGAGTTTCAACTCTCCTGACGGAGTGCTTACACTTGACGTTAACTGATCGAGTAGAGCAGAGTAATGAGCAGTCGTCCTAAAGAATTCGAAGGCAGAGGTCCAATTCCGATCTTTGGTCACTGATTCAGAACGTGTGGCAATGCCTTGCAGTTGAGATAGTGCTTGACGACACGTCACTATATCAGGCATGGAAGATTCCGTGTCTCAGCTTGCTGCAGTCATTTTAGCTGTAGTTGACGGTGATTAACTGTAATTGGCCCTCCTACTACCTGTTTGTCGTAAAACGAAGACTGTCAAAATGCTGATTTTGTAGGACAGCTTCAACGGGACAAGCTGGCTCGAGACATATGAAAATTAAAGATCTCACCTTGTTACGACTTGAAGGCCCACTCTCTTCCACTTGCTTCACCAACCCAACAACAAAAAGAGGTTGAGAAGGAGTTCAGGAAGGCAGACATTAGCATTATCCACGCATTATGCAAGATAAGAGACCGGATTACGCGTAGGAACGCGGTAGTATAAAGCATGAGCTGGGTGCGATGAGCATTAGACTGCTTTTCTAGAACATTTGAAACCAAATTTTCTCAAAAAGCTCAACGAAAGCAATGCTGGGTCAGAATCAATGTGGGATATATGTAGCTTGATTTAAACTGATTTGACATGTGATATTCGTTTTGATGTCTTGGAGTAGTGGGGGATATATCACTTTCGACCATCGATTTTCATTGAAATCGAACGCATGGATAGTAAGGTGGCTATTTTCAAGTGACTCTGCCCCTCAGCAACCCAACATGGATCTCTGGTCTCTCCCCTAAGGAACTCCCTCTCTCTCAGCGGGTTAATAATCAGTAATGCCGGTGCCCGGTTCCAGAGTGACTTTCCTAGTCGTTAGTGAAATCCTGGCAATGGGAAATCCGTGGGGGCTCAACTCCTGGCTGTGAACTGGAAGGCTTACTTTTTTGGCGAAGAGAGAAGGAGGAGTGAATGTGATTTAGAAACGTCCTATTACTTGTATGGCCTCTCGTTTAGTATTATTTCAATCTCTAACGGAACCTTGGGCTACATCATCTCTCTCGATCAACACCGCCAAGCAACGAATCGTTAGTTGCTTATTGATGGACAGTCTTCTTTGGTGGTTGCAGAATGCACTTTGCTCTATTTGGTGCCAGGCAGAAGCAGTCACCATGTTGAATGTATATGTGACGGAGTTTGCTACAAACACTTGTGAGAGCCGAGAGACTATTAACAGAATGCCGATCAAAGAAGAGCGTATTGTTCTTTGAATTGAAAGCTTGAGATGCTGCAGAGTCAGTGGTGAGGTGCGGTTTCAGCCAACCGTCTTGCTTCTCTCGGTGTTGTGACGACGATGACTTGTTTTGTACAACCATTGTCCGATAGTTTGAGCACTGCACCGATTCTTTTTACACCAAGCAGCACGTGCAAACGAACTTTGCGTCTCGCCTCAGCTCATTGTCTGGCATATGATTCGGTCTATGCTCACTTAATCTCTTCAACGTTTTCTCACAGCCTGCTATCGCTGCAGCTGCTATAAATCAAAACGTATTGGCCAATATAATTGCATCATTGTCAAATCAATTGGATGATTTGACTCTCCATTTTCCGACTGCAAAGGAATTCAAGCCGTAAGTTCGATGTTTCTCACAGGCCTCATTGGTTTGTTGCGTCTGACAATTAATTATCTTATTAAATAGTCATTTTGTGGTGTTCATGGATCGAATTGGATCTGTCGTATCTCTTTTATCCTGGAAATCAATTGCACAATTAACAGGAAACACGTTAAAGGTGTCACAAGCCACGGTTGTCAATCATCACTCTCATGTGTTGCAAGGAGAAGGCGCCTCCTACTTTGTCGAATTGTACAGTGACAGTCCAGAAGTCATCATCTCGTCCATCATCAACAAATCCATCGGAGCCAGGACTCGAGACCGTGCAACATCATATATCACAATTACAAAAAACCAGGATGAGTTGGGTTTAGGTCCGAATTTGACCCAAATCTACCCATCCCCATAGATCCCGTATCATGAGTCATAACCAAAGTATATACATTCGTGCATTTTGCATCAATATAACAAATGCACGAATGTATAGACCAATGTGACAACTCATATGTATCGTATCTTTTGTCTGTTTTGATATATATTGCGAAAACATACCAAACATAACGCGACTACTCTATACAAGCACTGCTGAAACAAGCAATAGCAATAAAGAATCTAGTCTCGATTTGTCCTAGGAAAAAGAAACCATCAGTCCAGTCCATTGCTGTTAAGACCTCCAAACAAAACTGGAGATCTTACTTTGCCCATTCAACCCTCAGGATCAGATTATCATATCCGTATCCATTCAAAGAAGCCATTGCCTTTTCAGCATTATCTTTATCATAATATGTGACAAAAGCAAACCCTTTGCACATGCCAGTACGTTGATCTCGAGCCACTAATGATAAAGTAGATGAGTCGAAATTTTCAATTGTGGATTCTTGCATCAGCACTTTTTTTCGCCTTCTCCAAAAAGACATCACATCTCTGCACCTCTTCTTCAAACACCTCACAGTTCCTCTCCTCATAAGAATGACATGTCACTCCTCCTGAAAACCCATACATACCATAGACACGACTAGTCCCACCAAACCTCGACACCAAATCCTTGACATCCGATTCCGTCGCATCTTCAGACAGATTCGTAATACGAATAGTCGATGCATCGTCCCTGTTTCGAGAGTTCATAGACTCTCCTCCTCGTGATGCTCCAGCTCGCATTGATGGTGGCACATATTTGCCTGATTTCATGCCATCATCTGCACCACCAGCTGGTGTGGTTGGTGTGTTTGGCATCGTGTCTATTAAGAATTAATCCTGTTTGCGATATGTTTTTTTGGCCTTAACATCGATGCAGCAGTCCTCTACCATTTGATTCCTTGTTCTCCATGTCTTGGAATACACCTTCAGAGTCCTTGAATGGACACTTGGAGGTGAAGTGGTCGCCTTTGCAGATACGACACAGGATACGCGTGTTTGAGAGTTTGGCTTTTATCTTAGATAAGCCGTCGTCTGTTTCTGTCACTTCCAGATGCTATCCAGTAGTATGAGGTTAGGTTTTTTTGCATCCTTTGAGTTTCAATGCGTCTTTTATATTACCTTTCCAGAAGTAGACAGCTGGAGCATGACCTTCTCTCCATATGTTGTCGTACTTGGGTCGGGCCCTGGAGCAGTTCCTCGAGCTTCTCCAAACTTTTTCCAGTTCTATAATGAATGAGGAATCGTATCAGCTTAGGTCGTGTCTGAAGCGTTTGAAGTGTCGAGGTGCAATCATAATCGTTTTCTCCTGAAATTCCAGCAACCCGTGTATCCTCTTGACAATACCACCAGCTTCTTCCAACTTATTCAGCGCATTCTGCCAAAATATTTGAGTGGTTTGTTTTTGTGCGCTGAGTCTGATGCGAAATACACCCTTTGACAACAATGATCTTCATACCACAAGAACTGTCCACCTTCGACGGCTTCATTCCCTCACAGCGACATTTAGACAGTCTAAAGAATCTGCATCTCCATCATACACAGCATCTCCTCATGAAGTCAACAGTGCAAAAAATATTTGAGCATCATCAGTCGATGACATTCACCAAAGTCCAAATCCACTCGACACATCTTCTCCAGCCCAATCCAACATCCTCCATCGACGCTACCTATCCCGTTGCTTCTCGTCCTCTCCTCATTATACAAGCAGGCATCTCCTTGTACTAACCTTCCTCTCAGCAACAGCCTTATTAGCATGCACCCTTACGGTCCTGACCTTGACTCTCAGGGTAACTTTGACATGCTTGCCATCCTCGTTAATCCTGTATTCGGTCAGGACCTTTGTGCCGTCCTGCTCGAAATGGACTTTGGCTGGTGGTGGTTGCTCGTTAATGTCGACATGGATGGGTGCTTCTTCTAGCAAATGAATGCGTTGGTAAATATATGTATCGGATATGATGGAATAGGATTGATTTATAGGGGTACCTCCATTGTCTTCAACGTCGTCAGCCCATCGTTTTGGTTGTTCTTCCCTGTAAAGTGAGATTTCGAGTCAGAGCGACAGAGTAGTATAATAATGCGAGATGCAATGCGAATACGAGCTTACGTGAATGCTACAGCTGGAGTCATTCTCCCCTTGTTCGTTCAATAGACTATGTCTTGTTATAAGAAGCTTGGTTTTCTGCAGAGCACGATTTTTTTTCAACACCACAACTCGATATTAGGTTGGTGGACTAGGAGAAGGAGGACGTGGGGGGAGGTCCACTACGTGTATTATAGAGGAATGGACGTGGATGGACGTGTTTTGATGATGGACGTGTTGTGGGTAAGCTCTTCGCTTAAAACGTAGGAGCAAAATAAGCCTGCAAAGTTCATGCACCAGATGCTAACCGTGCCTCATCCATTCTCATCAGATACTGCCTAAACGCAATATAATGGGTGTATCATCTCTTTTGCTAGTACACCATGTTGGATTCAAAACATCAACATTCGTCAGACATGTCATTTGTTTTTTTGCACTTGTTTTTTTGCCATGCTCAAAGTTTGAACCTCATCACACGGCAAGCTTGGTTGATCCCCTTCATAATCCACCATATGGAGGTGAGACTTTCTTCGCTTGCCAAGAAAAAGCAAAACCTCTTCCATTCAGAGAGGGCTCTGGGCAAAGGCATACGCTAGATCTGAGTGGTGCGTGCACTAATCTATGAGCATCCATATCATTAATAACTGAAACCGTTTGTAAAATGTGATTCAATATATGTACAGTGTTATGAAATTACAAAACAAAAATTACTGTTTGCTCCATGTCACGTTCAAGCTCAAACGATATTACTCGTATCTTTGGGCATCACGACACATCTGTTCGGGTATCTCACTCGCAGGCTGTCTTATAGTTGAGGTATACTGCCATACGTTTGCGGATTGGATGCAATCATACCCGTTTGCGCCATCTTGCTTCGAACCAGTTTGTTGAGATTCGTCATGGCCTTGTTTAGTATCCGTTGCTTCTATACAGAGTATATGTGTGAGTAAAGGAGTCACGGTGTCGTTGAGGAAGATATAAGCTTGTCCTCATTCAGCTGTTGAGGAAGGTTTCAAATGCGAAACAAGCCAAGGAAGCTTTTGCACGTACATCATCATTAGCAGGCAAAGCTCCCAATATAGAAAACATTTGAAGAGCTCTTGATCCTATATCCTTGACACGCCTAGCATCCGAGTCGACTTGTCTGAATAGTTTCGGGAAGGCGTCTGGGTGAAAAGAGCAGATGGTAAAAAAATAGATCTTATGATATCGTATATCTGCAGATGACTCCACTTGCAGCAGTCTCCACACCACCAACAATAACAAGTAAGTCTCATATCAAACATACCTTCCAACCGACTCATATGTCCCTGCACAATCACATCACGAAACGCCACCAAACACATTGTCCAAACATCCCCATCAACTCCATTCCCTCCCTTATTCACATTGCCACTCTCTTTAGCCTTCAACCCAGCCCTCACAGGTAGGAACACGGCCTGCAGATACGGCAGCACGGTTCCAAAATAAAACGTCCATATCTCTACGACTCGTAGTGGCAGCGTTTCCTCACTGACGGATACTAGCTTTGTAGATAGGATTGACATACCGCCTTTGAAGAGACGGTCCATGTCGTCTATTACGAGGAGGGCGGTTGTTTCGAGGACCCATTGTCTGTAAGATGGTGGGAAGAGAAAAAAATGTGAATATGGCCTATGTATGTGTTTGAGTGTATACAATTTGGTTTGCTTTAATATTTTAAGATGACTGCAAGTTAAGCAAAAAGCGAGAGAAAAAATCTTTATCGTGTGAAGAATGCATTCAAAGAGACCAACTGTTTACCTAAATTGGGACGAGTAAAGAAGTGAGCCAACAGTTTTGTATGTGCTTGTGGCCACTGCGTTCCAACGACACGATCCAAATCTTAAAGCTCAAATACACTACACTACATTCACTTTCATACACACCTGACAACATCATTCACATCCTCAATCGATCCCTTCACTCCTACATCGAGCCAAAGTCAGCACTATCCGAAAGGTCGCCAACCCACATTCACATACCCTCCCCATTATACAACGGCAAACACGCAGCCGATATACTCCTCCACAACAAATCCCCATGATTCATATCCGACGGTGCAGAATGGTTGAGTGCTTTTGATACATTGTTCAACGACTACCAAAACGCACCAATTGTTAGTTCCAAATGTCAGCATTGTAACAACCAGAAGAGTGGAGAATAACGTACATTGAGACGATGAAAACTCGGTCCAGTAGATGCTGGAGGTGACTTGATTGTTTTGTCTCGATCAAGATCGGATGCTGCTGATCTCTTTGTATCGGGAGATGGGGTGCTTGTTGGTGGTGTTTGAGGTTGAGGGCCAGAGCGTGGGAGTGTGGACATTGGGTTTTATTAATGCGAATATCCGCTTTGGGATCAGTTGGGAGGTTTCTTGTGTAGTTGCGGTTTGGATTTGTTGTAAAGTAGAAAAGACGAATATGGAGAATGGAGAGTGTCAAAACAGCTGCCAATGTGTCTAACGCTAAAATTATAATGATATAAAGTCTATGTAATGATTATGGGGATAACTGGTATTATGGGTTTACTTCTACTTACAAAAAACACGACTACTCAAAACTTCGAGACACTCCTTTCAGTCCTTCCTTCTCTGTCTAGTAACAGGCCTGGTTCCATCAGCAGCAGCTGCCTCTTCACTCCCCGCCGACGAACTCAATCGTTTAATCAACAAGGCGTCCTCTTGAGCTTTCTCTTGTAGCTCCCGAATAAAGTCGTACGCTATCAGTACAAGAGTGTCAGTAACCACCCATTTCAAAGTCCAACCATGCTATTCATACCTGAACGTAATATCTGCACTTTACTTGGATTCTTGTCTGCCATCGGAGGCAACAATTCCTTGACATCATCAAAACACTGTTTCAGTGTATCCCTTCGTTTCTGTTCAGCATTCTTATGAGTGGCCCGTCGCATTTCTACTCCTGCGGTTATCTCGGGACCATAATTTAGGCCAAGATGCCTATGAGAAAAAAGAACATGCAAGTCAGTCTCTGCATTGATTCACTAGCAAACTGCATTTGAGCTTACTCGGTATCACCAGCCAATATATTCTGATAGTTACTCCGTTGCGCGAGCCGTATAGCAGCTTCAGTAACATCATTAGCATTCGGCAGTATTGGTTTGAGAAGTGGTGACATGATTGTAGCAGGTGTAGCTGGTTTTGGGAGTAGCAGGACTTGATGATTATTTGAATTCGTTATAGTTGGTATTGTCATGACAGCACCGGTACTGCTACTACTGGTTTCCGAAGCTGGGAGAGTCATATTATTACTGTTATGCATCTGCGGATGCAAGACAGGCGATGGCATAAGAGACGGCGACATGTGTGGGTATAACGCGTTGGGACTGTATACTGAGGATTGCACACTCCCGGACGAAGATGTAGATGAGCCGCCCGTTGACGGACATTCAGGCGAAGTACGGATCTGTTGTTGCTGCTGTTTCTTGGCTAGCGAAGTTGATCGTTTGGATGCTGGTGGTGGGTATGGTGACTGTGGTAGTACTGCTCTTCTACTCCTCCTTGTACTAACACCTGTTGCAGCAGGTATACTATTGTTGGGTATCGGCGACATGTTACGGTCGTCGGATAGTGGAGACATGCTATTGTTGGTATTGTTGCTCATATACGATGGAGGCAATGGTGGTATGTTGTCCACCATTACATGATGAGATGCATTCAGGAAGGGTGACCGATTGCTACTGTTGAGCATGCTCATTCCCGAAAAGTTTAGAGATGGAGTCATGATGGCCGGAGACAGTAGTGGCGATAATGGCTGTACAAATGGTTGGTAGAGTGATGTAAGGTTAGATCATGAAAATGCAAGTTACTGTCAAAGTAAATTGGCTTCACCAACACTCGGGTCCTTACATCTTCATCATCCGCATCGATCAGGGATTGCGTATCCGGATGCAATAAGGGTGAATTCCAATCGTTATTGCTTTGCTGCATTCGTTGAAATGCATTGGAATTTGATGCCGGTGTTGCATCGTCCTCGACATTAGATTCATTTTGGCCAGGCGGAGTACTAGTATCGGTGCCACTGGTACTGCTGGATGCTACAGTGACTCCTTCGTGATGAAGCCAGTCGTCCTCCCACATAAAGTCTGATGGCTGTTGCATTTCTTTGCTTCTAAAAGATGAAGACTGTATATAGATTCGGAGCGTAAAGTTGAATATGGTCTAGTGTCAGTTCGGGTATCGTCCTTCTGGTTCTCTTCCTTTGACATTCAAGGCCTCATCGTCTCTGACGCTTTGTAGGTACGCTTTTTGGAGCAAAAAAAGTGTTCATTAAACATTCTTCTTAGGCAGCAAGAGTCGGTCAACGCGTTTGCTTTTGTGAGTAGATTCAGTTCAGCTATTGCTGTCGCGTCCGCTTTTCAAAACTCTCTCAGGACAAGTTTCCAGCATTCAAAACTTTCTTGAACTGAAAAGGTGAAAGCAAAAGTACACACTACAGTGTACTACTATAACCCTCAAACCGCGTCCCCCTTCCTCATGCGTGCTGTTAGCTGCAGCCCAACACCCTTCATAGATAATATACAAGTGATGGATCATTGAAGTGGTCCATAGATATGACAAGCTTCACATAATCGCGCTTTATCTCTTCGAAAGACATGTATTACTACTGTTAAGTGCTAAATTTATAACATCATATCTGTAATTCTTATACCTTAAATCTGTCCCACGGTTTCTCCTGATGGAGTTATCCAGCGGTTATAATAAATTCTTAAAAAAACATCTCGAATTCGAAGTTAAACATTGCCGGAAGGCCTAAAACACGTCCGATTTACGTGATTTGACCATGTAAATAATCAATGTTGCCCTCTTCAACTGCTTGTTTATATTGATCTCATTGAGCTTACCGTCATTTTTCATTCTCAAAACATAGAGTTTGGACAAGAACATTCAAAGTCATGCCACCAAAGAAGAGTGCTGCTTCGAGCGGGTAAAAATCTGCTGCATTATACTTTAGATCTTGATTCATTGTTTCATTTGACTCAAAGATCGATGTTTCTGACTTTTCTCCTCAACATCAACCAAATTCAGACGAGCTCAAGAAATGCTGTGGTCAAGTGCAAGCTCATCTGGCACTGCTTTCGGAGCTGCTGTACCGACAGACGATCTAGATCAATTGGATGCTGAAATCAAGGTGGGATCAACCAGTTGCTAATAACAAACGACACGGAAACTGAACGTTGGTTTGTCACATAGGTCTTGTTCAAGAAATTACAAAAGAGAGAGCCAGTTACCAAAGTCAAGGCTCTTGAAGACTTGTCTGTGTATATCAGTCAGCAGGAATCGGATCAGGCGGCGAAGATCTTGTCGTCTTGGGTATCGTGTTGAAAGGTTTCGTATCATTAGCCGTACCGTTGATCTTTTTTCCGCATCATAGCCAAAAGTATACACAAAACTGAGCACTGATGCCGATCGCAAGGTGCGGGAAACCACAAACGCAGTACATCTTGCGATCGTGAAGAAAGTCGGCAAAAAGCTGGCTACGATACTCAAGGAGATTACAGGAAGCTGGTTGTGTTGCTTGTATGATTCGAGCAAGGAGGTTGTGAGGGTTGCCAATGAGGCTTTGCAGGTATGATTGCGGTCTGCGTAAACGTGACGTGTCAACAGGGCTGCATCAAACTTTTTTGTTGGCTAGACTGCCTTCCCAAATCCAGCAAAGAGAACGGAACTGTTAATATATGCTCAGAAGGACATACTGCAGTATATATCGGAGAATGTGTTGGAGGAGACTGCTGAGACTATGAGTAAGTATAGCACATAAATCAGGATGCTGCTCTATGGAAAGCACTGTCCAGAGACCATAGAGAGCCATAGGAGATAATGATTTCTGTTGAATGAGGGATCGTCACTGCGTACCTGTTTAGCAGTGGATGAAGGTTCATGTAGTAGCATATATTCTCCTAATTGCGTACATTTTTTGCCTGGAATAGGTGATCCAAGGTACACGTCACCTGAAGATATGGCTTCTAAATACGCAAGAGTTGTATCAGGCTGCAATCTAGTGCTTTGCATGCTTGTTGGTAAGTGAATGATTTCAAATTTTTGCATGATGACAAGTAGACTTACTTTTCTTTGGTTCTTAGAGTCTCTTTCTGCAGAAGAGCAACTCAAAGCCCAAGAACTATATAGTGGCATACTAGGAAATCCTAAATTTTGGGCCTTGTCGCATCATGAAGCGTCACAGATAAGGAAGTCAGTGTATATTGTGGTCAAGACATTAGTCAAGTGTGCACCAGGTAATCATATCATAATGCAACCCCTTTCTTTGATTCAAGTGCACTAACTTGCGATTGTTCTTAGGCATGCTCGAATCTCGGATATCTCTCATATCCACTTCATATCTTTCCTACGCATTCACAGACTCAGATGCATCGACGCATTCAGAAATGTGGGAGTCTGTCTTGGTATTCACCAAGCTATTCCCATCTTCATGGACTGAACCAACGCTTAAAAAACCTATCGTGAAACGATTATATACGTTTTTGGATCATGCCTCGTATGGATCGGTAAATATTTCGTATCCTACGCTGTTACCGTTGTTGTCTGTGCTATCCTCTGATGTAAGCCCCAGCATTGCTTTACAGTCAGGGATTTTTTGCGCTGACCGTCATGTCCTGTAGGTATTGCAAGGCAACTTTGCCAAAGACTTTTGCTCTCATTTTTGGAATGGATTGAAGAGTGGAGTTATAGATAGGATGAATAGTGGAATCTTCTTTTCGTCATTCCTGGAATGTATCATGTACCTTCTGATACGTAACAGGTAAAACACAGGGCTAGTAGTTAGTATCGAATATTGTCACTAACTTTGACTCTTTGAAATAGCAATGATGCAAGTTTGCAGCACAATTTGATTGATGTGGAATTCTTCAAGCCTATAGAGGCGTATCTGAAGCCTTCGAAGGCACGTTCTCAATTTGCATAACTCATAATTCTGGATTGTATCTGACAATTTCTTCGCTGCTTAGTCTCCCGAGACCAAAGGGAAATACAGTCCTCCTGAAATGAGCCGGACACTAGCTGATTCGTTGTACAGATTGAGCGCGAGTTCGCAAATACCAGGTAAGCAAACCAAAACCAATTCTCGGGATCTGTGAATTTACTAAATCTCGATGCTCTTCTTTAGACTCGTTGTCAAGGTTGTTAATCTCAAAAGTCTTCTCAGTAGCAACCGATGAGATAACAACTTCAGATATACCCGATTTCGATACATTCACAACTCGATTCTCTCAACTGCTGCTCGATCTAAACTCTAAAGTAATCGCATCTTCTAATCCAAACATGCAAGACACACTGACAGTATCTGCACGAGATTTGTGTAATGTCTTGCTTCCATCATGCGCGCCAAACCCAGGATTAGTACAACGAGCAAGTCTGTTAGCTATTTTAACAGCTCTTCCGATCTGGAATGAGACTCTTGCGTCTCAAATCAAGACATTCTTGACACGCAAAGAGTTTGGTGAAATGTTGGACTATTCAAAGGATACTGCCATGTCGTTTTTCGATGTTGTTGTGGCATATACTAGTCAAGAGGGGTCAGATGCTAGTGTTTGGCAACATGTGGTGGGGTTGGTTGTTAATAAAGATAAATCAAGAGCGTTGGTGTTGTTCGATGAGCTGATTCGCAAGGTACAAAGTCTTGAACCTGTACATAGAAACGCCCCTTCTCACCTTTTTTTGCTTCGTTAGACCCAAACTGTAAAAGGCCTAGTAGCATCTTCATCCATTGAAGATTTCGTAAGGGATTTATTGGCATTTGATTCCATGCCTGCTAATGATTGTGGTGTTGCTGAACGAGTGTTGTGGAGTGTGGTTAATACTGGTAAGAACCAAAAATAATCTAATTTCCGAAATTCCGTTAGGTTAAACTCATCGTGTTTAGACTCCCACTGGCTAACCAAATCCAGTAAAACAACCCTCATATCTTCCATAATGGAAGACGTTATTGAATACACATCGAAGCTAATATTTGACGCGTCTCCTCACATATCGGCATTAAGTGCTACACATATGATCAAGGTCATGACACCGAAAAAGGACTATTCTCATCTGATACATAATGCTCTGTTGGGGAAATTTGTATCAAGTATATTGGATTTAGTAGCTTTTGCATCATCACTGAAGGATGTGAGAGATGCTGCTGTCGGCAGTTGGAATGGGCTGAAGGGGATGGTCAGTAGTGATGCTTCGATTGACTTGTATGATGAGTTGATAGGAATGTGGCAGAAGGATGTGTTGGATGGTGACCATATTGGAAGGTATGGTTCTGCGAGATCCGATGTTTTTTGTTTTTGTCGTCGCGATATCGTTTGCTCACTTCACTTTTCTTGTAGTTCCGACCAATTCGGAATAAAGGCTTCCAAGCTTTTGGATGTAACTCCAATGTCGCTACAGTCGCACGTCCTAGACGGTTTGATTCTTAATCAAACGCAATGGCAGCATCTATCAAAGCCGTTCCAACATCCCCTCCCTGGATTGGCAATCACTAATTCCGCAACAGTGCTTGAAACGTCATCGTCGTCGTCATCTCTTTCAACCAGTGACGACCTGGTAATATACATACGACTAGGTCTCATAACAACAGGAATAATCAACTCTCAATCCACCTCCACATTGTTCAACGATTCCAGAATGTGGAATATGATTGAATTATTATATTTATCATGCCTCCTTGACGATTTACATACCGGCACGAATCAAGATACCGAAGACGATGGTACGACGGGTGAATTCGCTATCGAGACTAGACGTATCTTGGAAGAGGTGTTACGGCCATGTCGAGACCTTGACGGTGATATGACGGCATGGCATACTGGTCTTGTTGGTAGACTAGCCAAGAAAGAGAGTGGTGTTGTTAGTAGTGGAGAGACGAGGATGATTGAGACTGCGTTTGTGTTGTCGAATGAGAAGGAAGGAAGGTACTCGAGAGTTCTAGGGACTATTTTGGGCAAGTTGTTTGGGATGACGCAGATACGGGGTGGCGAAGCTGGGATTTGGTTTGAGCTTATAGAAGAGTGTCATCGTTCAGGTATGTGCAAGGCATGTGGTGGTTGGTTAGCTAAAAAAACAGATTTTCATCCGTGCAATAGGTCATACTGGAACAACGATAGCTCTACTTTCCTCTCTGCGGCCACATTTAGACCTGTCACAAAAACTAAAGGACTTTATCCACACCATCGCAATTGGAATCTCAAAAGCAGCAACCGACGAATCGCTACCGAGTCAACTGGCGGTATTGATCTCTTGTATTCGACTAGACGCCATTCAAGAATCGACGCCAGATGTTTTGCAAAAGATGTCGACAAATTTCATGGCTGTTGTACGTCGGCTTCGAAAATACCATTCGAGTACTGGTGCGAAGGTAGAGGCTATTGATGTACTCATGATGGATGTCTTGAGAGAGTTTATTGATCTCAAGAGTAGTTATGATTTGAATTCGGCTGGGTTTGTCGTGGATTTGGATGCTGCGTTCTCTCAGGTGACTGACATATACGACAATTGTAGAGATGTTTTTTTGCTGAACTGTGTTGTCTATGTAGTCTTCAAATGGAGTATTGCAGTACTATGCACTGCGTCTCTTCGAATCGTTGCTATCGGGCTTCAGACGAGATCCCGGAACGTGGGGTGTGGTTGACAAACAGCATGTGGTCTTGTATAGGAGGTGTTTGGCATTGTTGATTGAACAGAAAGGTGAACTATGGTGGTGGCGGGTTTGGTGCAAAAAACGTCAATCTGACATGGCGTTTCCTCTGATAGATTGCGTAAATCCTACAAAAGCTCAAGCTAGCCTACAAAACATTATTGCTAAACTGTGTCGAGAGTTGCCAGAGGAAATTCTCTTTGAGAGTAAACCGTTTGATGAGGTAAAGCTCTGAATACTCGAGTATCCGTACCTGGTGGGTTGACTGCTTATGTCCTTTTTTCGCTGTAGATGTGTCCGCTCTTGTTTGTGCACAATGAAGAAATCCAGAAATGTGCGGGAATCTTGTTGCATCGCCTCACCGCTGAGCATGTACAAGCTACTTCGTTGCGGGTTGAGATGAGACCGAGAGAGCAAGGTTTGTCTGAAGCCTTCAACATTTCCTTTAATTGTATCGCTTAATGTTTTTTTTCTGTAGCTGAAGATGTAGTATCATCACCAGAACCGGAAGAGAAGCTTGCCAAGAGTCTTGTTGATGCTTTGGGACAAGTTCCTTCTCAGTTGGAGAGTGGGGTTGTGCCAGAGAATGATCTGGTATTCTATTCGATCGTGGATATGTTTGTTGCCTTATACTGACGTTTGATGATTTATAAGGCGTCCAATGAAGCATTTGGATATATAATGGCATGGATGGCTTACTTTGATCATTTACATGATGCTGTAAGTCCTCGAACGTGTTATGCAAAAGCAGGACAAAGATCTAATTACGATTGTTTGTTAGACGTTCGCTCTTAAAACTGCATACGTATCCCAAATTAAGCAAGCTGAAGCTACATGGTCCTCATTCATGGAATTCTTGTTTGCTACTCTTGGATTGGGTATACAAGGCAAACCATTTGACTTGTCTAAATGGGACATTCAGGAGTTTGATATTCGAGGTGTGTATCATCATTCATACGATTCGCTCGGACGTTTATTTTTCTCATTGCAATTGTTCTTGCAGAATTCGATTTCTCGTCAGAAGTTGCGTTTCCTTTGGCAACAGCTCATCTATATTGGCTTGCTTTGAGGACTACACCTTCTTTGGTCAGGACGTGGTGGTCGGAGAGTAAGAAGAGACAGTTGACGCTTGCTGTTGAAATGTAAGCATTGAGGATTCATTTTCACTCGTTTTGCTGATGCAAGACACAATCAACTGACACTGTAACCTCGAGTTTAGGTATACTGAAAAGTACTTCAGCCCACTCCTCATAAGCCGGGAAATCTCAACAATAACAAGATCCGACAAGTCCCTTTTTGAGAACTTAGCGATCAAAGCATCCACCAAGTCGTCCGAAGTTTCAGCAACATACACAATCGAGGAATCTGGTCTTGAAATGATTATCAGATTACCATCATCGTTTCCACTTAAGCAAGTTGAAGTGGATTCTGGACCAAGTGGACGAGCTGGAGTCACTGATGCGAGATGGAGAGCGTGGTTATTGAGTGCTAGTGCTGTCATGTTTGCACAGAATGGGAGTGTGCTGGATGCTGTTATGGTGTTTAAGAAGAATATTAGTGCTCATTTTGAGGGTATGTAGAATCAGTTATCAATCGGTTTTGCTGTTGAGAGCTGTTTACACGTTTTCCTTATACTTTTTTCTTTCGAATTTTCGTAGGTATTGAAGATTGTGCTATCTGTAAGTGCTTGCTCGAAACCATTTGATGGTTGAAGGCGATGAGATTATAATCGCACTCATCAATGTTGATCAACTTAGGCTACTCGCTTATTGGACCTCTTGATCGAACGTTACCATCTAAAAAATGTCGGACGTGTAAACATGTGTTTCATGCTTCATGTCTCTTCAAGGTATCGAAAGTTGTGGTTGGTTTGAGAAAAGCACCTTTCATAATACGAAGCTAGACCACTCGTTTTTTTCCCCGCAGTGGTTCAAGACTAGCACACAGAGCACATGTCCGTTGTGCAGAAGTTTGTTTTAGGAACTGTTACTTGTGTATTGTGGTGGACGAAACTGCTGGGACCATTACTGGTTTGCTACGTCAAACCCTTGTCAACAGACTTGGGAGCTTCATTTCTATTTGCATTGTTTGACAGGTCTTACGCAATATACTAAATACATGTACATGTAGACACGTCAAACTATCGAATCTTTGGTCTCCTTATTTTGCTTAGATCTTGTCCAAGAACAAAATGGAGAACCAACTACTCACGTCAACAGCGGTTGTGATCTGTATATTAGTCAACAGGAGTCTGGGCAACTTGTCTGAACACAGTCGTTTCAGTCTTTCATAGTCTGACTCTGTATCTTAACCGGTAAGAATCTGACCTCATAGGTGAAATTTCAGGAAGAAGAAAAAGCCAAGATCAACCTATAATCGCGACAATACACTCCAACCTTGCTATTACTCGCTTTCTCAAGAGGGACGTTCTATTGAACTCTTGTTTTGCATTCCTTGACATTTGTACGTTTTGAAGAGAAAGACACGCGTAGCGAATACAATTGGACATTTATGTGATGCTTCTACATGCAAAAAATGCTGCATTCTTCCTACCAGTGGGAAGATCTGTAGGAAGCACTCTCTCCTTCTCACACAACCCACACATAATCAACATATAAAACCATGTCCATGTTCCGAGGCATCATTGGAGCTGGTGAGAACGGCATACGTCGTAGCCAAGTAGTGCACCGAATGTACTGGCAGGTATGTATCATAACGACAGAATCCAACTTTTTTTAGGAGGTGGAAACTGTCGGAAGCAAATAAAGTCAACCAAACCAGAGGAAGAAGTTGGAAGGAGCATATATATCAAGCCTTGATAACATGATTCAAAGGATGCGGCCTCTGTTCCTTGCACTCTACTTACTCAAATACGCAAGACACCAAACTAATATGACATATTTTTCACTGTTATAATAGCGAGATGGAGACAGACCAACATACATACGAGGAAGCGGTGATAGCGCTACATTCTTCTTGGCTGTCGCTGGAGTCCTTGGATTGATTGGTATCTCAGCCACTCATTTGTCGTCCTTGATCAAGGGCGTAAGTTGCATGTATCTGACTCACGTTGCAAGTTTGTCGAATCTAACATGGATCTACATAGAAATAATTTGTGCTGTAACGATACCCAATTGGACTATTCTAAAGTTCGAAATCTATATGAAAATGGGGAAGCAAAGATATTACGTCGAACCAAAACTTGTCAAATTCCTTGGCCAAAATATATGCAAAATGATACTACAATCTATACTATGGGATTATTAGTCTATGATAGGAGTGGAAGTATGCTTCCTTTTCTTCTTCTTGATAGGCTGCTCGTCTGGTATAACAGGTTCTGTAGGAGGGGCTTCAGATGGTTCTTGATCGCTCCGCTTCTTTTTGCTCTTCTTTATCCTTTCGACCTTCTCGTCAGCAGCCTGTAGTCCTTGCTCTATGACTGGCTCTGGTATAACACGTTCTATAGGAGCTTCAGACGGTTTTTGATGGCTCCGCTTCTTCTTGCTCTTCTTTATCTTTTCGACCTTCCCATCAGCAGCATCTACTACTTGCTCTATGACTGCCTCTTCTTCTATGACGGGCTCTATAACTTGCTCTTCTTCACTCTTCTCCACGTGTTTCCTCTTCTTCTTGTTTGTTTGAACCTTTATCTCGTCCGTATTCAGAGTTTCTGTGACAGTGCTGCGAGAAGCACCATCTATAGCGACTATTGCACTACTCAGGGGCTGTCCAACTCGAAAAGCTTTGCCGACTTGGTCGACTCGAGCACCTTTTCGTGCAGTTCGTCCTTCACAGGCAGCAAAGAGTTCCTCATCGGTGACTTTCATTTCATAGCTCTTGTCTTCATCTTCTGCTTCCGTTCTAACAAAGGTTTGAGGTCGTGCGTTAGATATCTTGTCATAGATGACTTTTTCTTTGCCTGTACATACGTCGAGCTCTTGACAAAAGACCCGTAAAGGACAGGCTTTTTGGCAACAATTGCAGTCTTGGAGCTTTGTATAGTGACCTCCTATTGTAAGATGATAGCACCATTGGCGACAAACAAGTGATCTAAAGCAATATCATCACGTACACCCGAAATGTCCTTTTCGACCTTGATGACAGACGTAGCCTTGTTATATACATGATCCCACCATTGAGCGTTCCAGTCTCCACCAGTTCCGACCTAGTATACGCGTTGTAGAAGTGGTTAGTTTGATGTCAGTTATCGTCTCATCATCTTCTTGTTGTTTTCAAACTTACACCGTTCGTATTGTTCTTTACAGACACAGTAACGGCACGAATTCGACCATCTTCGTTGGCACCGAGTCCTTGACCCTTCTTCCAACCGTATTTGGTGAGCTGATTACGGGCAAAGTCGTCCTTGCTCATTGTCGATTGGTTGTGACAGATTGTAGTCGGGAGTGGATTTTTCTGCTATATTTGAACTAGGAGAAATGGAGCCGGTGAGTATGGAATTTTCAACGGTACAATTCATTGTTATGTTTGAAAGACACTGTCCATCTTTTCTATATTGCTGTCATTGCCTTCAACCCTCGCAAACTGCACATTTTTTCATCCAAACATAAAAACACATCATCCAATATTGAACAAGACAAACAAGATGATGAGACTACGTGAACGAAATGAAGATTTATCAGCAAAGTGGTCAGAGAATGACGACTCTTCTAGCGACGATTCTTTTGACGATGAAGAGTTTGTTCCAGATGGAGGAAATGATGATGATGATGATGATGATGTCCCTAACGACCTTGTCATTGACCAGGAAGACGAAGAAGCTCATGCTGGAGGCAATAATAAGGCTATTATAATCGAAGATAATGGCTCTGATGACGATGTCAGTAGTAAAAAGAAGAACAAGAAGAAACCTGTCAAATCAAAGACATCAAATATAGCTACTTCCAGAGACGAAAGCAAGGAACTCGATGAACTGGAATCAGAAACAGGATCAGCCAAAAACAAAAAGGACGACAATATAATACGTAAAGCCCATCCTGCCTATATAGCTCTATTGGCCAAAGTAAAGGACGCTCTTGACACCATGACAGTACCCCTTACCGACGACCTCATAGATTCTCTACGAACCAACCCTTCTGGAGCTCCATATAGTCGGAAAGGACCTCGAGTTGATCATCGTGTCTCCAAATGGAATCGACGATCGCGATCAAAGTCACGTTCGCGATCGGTCGACCCTGATGAGAAAATAGATGACGGTGCTGATGATGCAGATTGGGGTATAGATTCCAGGCGTCCTGCTCAACGAAGTGCTGCTACTCCTTCGGATGATGGTAGCCATCGTGGCACTCCTACTGCCAGTAGTAATAAGAGTGGCAATAAACGTAAACGAGCTGCTGATGATGGCCAAGGAGATGCAGATGGTGATGATGAAAAGAGCGATGATGAAGGAGATGTACCAGCTTCACAGAATCCTCCTGACTCTGATGTTGAAATGACTCCTGCTGTCGCCAAGAACGACAATGACATACAAGTATCTGAAACACCAAAACGCCGTGGTCGACCACCAAAGCATAAGGCAGGAGCTAAGGAATCATCTGCCAAACCTGCATCACCTCTATCCAAGGCCCCATCACCTACAAAGCCAACATCACCTGTAAAGCCATCATCTCTATCTACATCAACAACACCAGTACTACCCGATAAATCAAATACGAGTAAAGATCCCACTACTTCTGATGACGATGATGACGGCGGAGACGAAGAAGGAAGTCGCAGTCGCTTCTCCTTCTTCTTCGCTCGAGCTCCTACACAAACATCAACACCAGCAGTATCTCAACCGCCGACACCAGTAGCTGACGAAGAAGAGGAAGTGCCACGCGGCTCGCGCGGTAGAGCCTCTCGTAAAGCTAGTTTGACCGCCGCTTCCAAAACATCCAAAACAACTGCTCGTGGTCGTCGTAAAACTCGCCAAGATGACGATGATGAAGCCGAAGCTGCAGAAGCTGAGATTGCGAAAGCTGTCGAATCCGAAAAGGATGAAGTTGCTTCTGATAAGGATGAAGGTGAAGCCGACAAATCATATAAAAGGAAGGCTCCTGCTTCTAAGAAGAAGGGTGCTGCAGCTGCCAAGAAGAACACACCTAGAGGAAAGTCCAAGGACGCTGCTGCTGGAAATGACAATGACGAATCTATGCCGCCGCCACCTAAAAAGAAGAGTAAAAAGGACAATGGTGACGCTAAACATGTGGCTTCGCCCAACAAAAGTAAAGCTAGCGGTGGTAAATCTGGCAAGCAGCCCGTAGTCGAAGTACTGATGGAATTCGAAGAATCTGATAGTCCTGCTCCTGCCTCTTCTTCCAAAGAAAAAGGGAAAGAGAGAGCAGAGACTCCTCCTATCAAGAAATCCAAACCAGCTGGAGATGTTGAGAAGGTTATGGTTGTCAGACAAGTACTTGTTGAAGGTGGTGATATGCGATATCGAGTAAGTGATTCGCAGTGGGTTGTGCCCTGAACACAAACGATTGAGAATGCGATTCTGGTCCGAATGCTGACTTTTTTTGTCATCGCAACTAGTGTGTGCTTCCATGCTGTGATAAAGACTTTCTCAATGTCGGTGGTCTCAAATATCATCTTCTCCACCACACACACGAAATCCTCGAATTCTTGGCATGGGCCTATCCACCAGGTGAAAATGCACCTATCGGTTCTGGTGAAACCGTATACAAATATAAAAGAAACGACGTAGCCTATACATTCCTTATGGAAGAACGTATCAGTCCGGAAATACTTGAAATGTATCGAGATCTACCTGTCGATCATTTTCCTATAACTTTGGAGGGCTATCATATCTTCTTTCCTGGTCTTACCAACCCTTCGCATCATGATATTATGATTGGATGGGATAAGACACGGAAGGCTGCTCATGATAAGAGGATGAGTAAGCTTGGAACTAGGAAGTTTGGAGCCAGTAAGTTATTGTTCTGGATTTTAGGCATTTTTTTGTCGCATTTATGTTGCATGCTTTTGATCGGCATGGCCGCATTGAGTTTATATCTTATCTTTGTGTTTTCGTTTCTTTAGATGATGGTGACGAAGAAGAAGAAATCAAACCTCGAAAGGCTTCGGTAAAGAAACCCAGAGTATTAACACTTGGAAGTAGCTCTGATGTTCCAGATACTGCAGCTCGCATGTTTGGCCAAGACTTTTCGAAAAGGTCTATGGAGCCAAAGCCTCACTCTGGACAGACTGAACCTTTATTGGTTACTGATTGGACGAATCGATTGGTTTATGAAGAGCTTCGACCAAGGGTCAATCATTATGTGAAGTTGACTGCTGAGTAAGTATTACATGGCGACTCTTGATATCAGTTTTTTTCTCGCCAACACACTTTTCTTGAACATTTTTCTAGGGAAGCTGCATTGTATGTTCCTCCCGATTCACAAGAATATAATGTTGCTTGTGCAAGGAATGGACTCTCTGGAGAACCCGAGTCTTTGGGATTGTTTGAGACGCACTTCTTTGGTGAGTGTCATGTCAGAAGTCGGGCAGACCTCAATTCTAGGAAACATCGACGTTTGTTTTGCCTCAATACTGACTCAGTGTTTACAATCAACGGATAGCACCTGGGTCACAAGACCCAAGGAAACAAGGATTCTACGCAATTAATGTCGGATGTGCTGTTTGGGGAATGGGCTGGGCTCCTGGTATCGAAACCAACGAAGGCAAGCACACAAGAAAAAATTTGCGCTCGGTACAATATTTAGTCATCTTACTCGGACCCTTGTTCTCAGATCCACAATACTTGGCAATTGCTGGCTATCGTGGAACCATGAATGCCCATCACATACTAGGTCGAAAACAAGAACCGCAAGTCCCCAACGACGTCAACATGAAGGGTATCATACAATTCTGGAGTCTGGGCAGCCGGGTCACAGATTTCACACCATCGACTGAATTATCACGAGAACCCAAGCTCGAATTATGCATCGCACATGACTTTGGAGATGTGTTTGATTTGGAGTGGTGTCCTTACGGTGGTTATGAGAGTGAGGCAATGTTTACTTCCAAGGTTTGGCATTTTATATCATTGTGCAATTTTCTTCGCTGTTGATTCAGATTTTCTTAAACAGGCAAGTGGACAAAACTTACGACGTCTTGGACTCTTGGCAGTCAGTTTTGGTAATGGAAGTACTCGAGTCTTGAGTATTCCTGAACCACGAGCTTTACGACGAGCATTGAATGTTGATGAGGATGATGAGAGTCCACTCTATGGTAAGGTTGTGATGGTCAAGCAAAAAAGAAAGATGATCTGATGGTTACAACTAAATTTAATTTCAAAACATAGTTCATTGTAATCACTTTGTCTTGGAATTGACTCTACCAAACGCCATGTTGTGGAAGTTGAGCTGGGGTGGGCATTCACGACTTGCTAGTGGTACTACTCATGGTAAAGACACAGTTCCGTCATTATAATTGCAGCGGGGTTGTTTTTTGTCATTCTAATGATCTTTCTTCTCCTAGGCGCCATTTTGATTTGGAGTATGGATGAAGCTGTTGATCAATACAAGAAGGTGTTGGATGGTCAGATTGAGAATGTTGGTGAGTGATTGCTGCTCTGAGCATGGTCCCTTTGCCGTCCTTCCTTTTTTTCGACTAAACACTTCCCACATTTAGAAATCGAGCCACTCAGCTATGCCTTCTGTCACGATGGATGTGTCACAGCTCTATCATTCCGTGATGAACTATCCCGTATCTATGATTCTGAATGGCGAAGTCGCGGAACCTTCGATGGAAGCATCCCAAAACCAACTCAAATCATATCTGCTGGTACTGATGGACGAGTACTCTTCCATGATACTCGGATGATGTCTCTTCATGTGCAAATTGCTCGTTTTCGAAGTAAGCGTTGCGTTTTGTCTTTGCACTGACCTGATATCCTCATCTGTTGTCTTTTTAGCATTCTTGTCATCATGCGTATTCACAAGCCACCACAATATGGTCTTGTTTGCAGACAATGAACATGTCGTTCGACAGACATATATGGGCCTTGAAGATCCCAAGACTGCTAAATCCAAGGAGGAAGATGAAGCGGTTATAAATAAGAATTTATCTGCTTGGCTTATGCCGTCCAAAGGATTTGTCTGGGTACCATATGATCTGTTCAATTTCATGATTTTTTTCGTCGTGCTTGCTAACAATCATTCACCGTCGACTTTAGAATTTGAACTGCTCAAAGTACCTTCCATTCGTCGCAGCAGCTTCGTCCGATGGTACACTACGTATTGGAAATTTCAATCGAAGTGCCTTGTTACGCTCAACGGTATGTTCCTCGATGAGCTACATTTTTTTGGACTTGAAAACTCACTCGATCGTTTGTTCTTGATACAGAAACCGGTCGTAAATCTAATGTACCGTCTTGAATGGAATGAAGAACAGCAATTGTTTGTGTTTGTTGAAGGACATGAGGTCAGCAGTAAAAAAACTCATATCGCTAAGGGATGATGGCCCTCTTAACTGACTCTGCTTTTATCACGTCTCTAGGAAACCTCACAGGTCAAGGGTAAACCTGACCATGTCATCAAGAGCGTTTTTCCCCAGCATGTGACTATACAAAAGGTATTGTGTCGCTTGATTGACACAGGCTTGGAGTAAATGTGACCTGTCTCTTATGGTTTCTTTCTGCTTAGGCTGCATGGTCTGCAAACAGAGTCTCTGCTTCATGGCTAGCTTCTGGTGGTCGATCAGGACTTGTGCGTCTTGAATCAACTTTTGACATTCGTGCTGTCAAAAAGTAGGGTTTGCGAAAGAGCAAAGAGGAGTGAGGAGGTTATTTGACGCTTGTTATATAAGGTGCTTTTGCATATATGGTTTACGTTGGCTTGTGAAATAGAACCCACATTATTCGCTGTAATTTTTGACAACTCAAGGCGTCTTGCAAGTCAGGTTTTTAAGTGTGTGTTTTGATTAAATAGATTGATAAAAAAACAAGCAATTACTGTACAAAGAAAGAACTTTTTAACAATTTTCTGAGAAGCACCTCCGGTTCTCAAATGCTCTCCTCCTCATCGCATCCCAATCATAATCAAAGATCGCAAACCCATTCCCAGCTTGTAATGATAAAGCTTGCGAATGCCCACAACACGAGAGAGACCAGACTTCCTCCATTCGTTTCAACATCACCTTCTGCATCTCCTTTACCATCATCAGCAGTTGGTATATGTATATTGCCGCTACTCTTATTACCACTGGCAGAAGGTGTTTCAAGACAGCTACCTTCATCCCAAGAAGCAGAAGCAAATGGCTGCGTAACACCTTTTAAATCTATAGTTGAATTGGAAGACTGAGTCAGTATTGAAGCAAAAACAAACCTTCACCAGTAACGTCGACCCGACTTCTGCCATGGTACTCACCAAAGAAGTGCGTCTCAAGCAATCCCACAGACTGAGGCTCTTCAGAGAGTCCATTCCTTGCACAAGCAGCCTTATATTCTTGTGAAGCAGAAGGAACATACAATGCAGCCTCCCTGAGAATCACGTTCAAGAAAAGCGTGTTAGCGAAAAAAGAATACCTCCAACGAATGCGTGTAAGACTTACTCATCAGTCAAATTCATACAAAGACCGACCTTTGCTCGAGACTTCTCATAAAGCAATCGATTCGTCGGCTCAGCAACCAAAAGAGCTTCAGTCTGTCCAGAATAAGATTGGGGCTCCATAGGACTTGTCGCGCAGTCTTGACGAAACATGCCAGAGGCGGTAGCTGGAGCATCAGAGTGGTCTTCAGGTACTGATGGTTTGGGTTTCTTTACCACTGCCTTTCGAGGATTGATTTCTTCTTCTTCATCGCCACCACTAGCTTTACTGTTCTTCGGGGGAGACACCGGTTTAGCGTCACGACTGTCCTTTTCACTCTTGGTTTGAGGTGGCGGAAGCATGGATTCGTCATCTTTGGCGTCAGCAGCAGCATCTTGAGACTTTACTTGAGGTATGTTCTTCTTGGTAGCTGCAGCACCCTCCTTCTTAGAAGCAGGAGTCTTCCTCTTGAATGATTTATTGTCTTCACTTTCATCCTTATCAGTAGCAAGTTCATCCTTTTCGGATTCGATGGCTTTAGCAATCTCAGCGTCAGCAGCTTCCGCTTCATCATCGTCATCTTGACGAGTTTTACGATGACCAAGAGCAGTTATTTTAGATATTTTAGAAGCAGCGGACCAACTATCTTCCTCAGGTACCACTCCATTTCGTGAAATGCTTAGCAATTTCTCTTCCTCTTCAGCTACTGGGGTTGGCGGTTGAGATACTGCTGGTGTTGATGCTTGTGTAGGTGCTCGAGCAAAGAAGAAGGAGAAGGAAGGAGAACGACTGCCGCTTCGTTCTTCGTCTCCACTTTCACCATCGTTATGAGATGTAGTGGGATCTGCACTAGGTTTTGACTCGTCGGGTACTGTCGGTGCTGTTGATGTTGATGTAGATAGAGACGATGAATTTACAGGTGATGGAGGTTCGAGTAAAGGAGATGATGGTTTGGGAGATGATTCTTCAGCTCCTGTACTAATTCTTGGACCACAGCTTGGTATCGGTTTGTTTACCTCGTCCACTCTACTAGTCTTGCTAGAGCTTGCAGCATGAGATTCTTCAGCTTCGACACGGCAGTGTTTAAGGATCCAAGAATGATTTAAAAGCTCTCCTGCTGATGCTCGTTTCGCTGGATCTTTTTCAAAAGATGCTTTCAAAAAATCACGTAATTCCTATTGATTGCAAAACACATCAGCATAAACGCTTTTTAAAACAGATTAGATGTTCAATGCACTTACAGAAGAGAAGGTGTCCGGTATTGGTATTGGTTTGTCTATTGGTTTGAGGTATGAATGATGTTAGTACGTCTTTGTCTAAATACACCGAAGCAGAGAACAACACTCACTCGAACACACGGCAATCTTCGCCTCCTCCTCGGAGAGCTCCCAGTATGGTGGTCTGCCGGCCATTATCTGTAACAAGGTGCATCCGAGACTCCAGATGTCGGATTGTACACATGCACCCCTTTTATTCAATACTTCAGGGGCTATGTGATAGTTTGTTCCTAATGGAAAAGGATTGGTGAGATGCTTGATCAATAGCTGACCGCTGTTCAAAGCAGAACTTACCAACCACATCACACTTGACCTTCAACTCTGCTTCTTTTGCTGCACTGCCAAAATCAGCTAATTTACACCTGCCGTCTGTAAAAGCTAGTAAATTGGCGGCCTAAGTTGATAAAGGAATTTTGTTGAGAATTTCGTTCAAAAACAATCACGCGAACTCAAATTCAGCCAAATTACCTTGATGTCAGCATGTACAATAGATTTGGAGTGTAAGTAATCTAGCCCTTTCAGTACATCATGAATAAATTTCGCTGCTAGGTCCTCAGGAAAGCAACCAAAGTCAATGTACATGTCGAATAGAGAACCGGATTCAGCAATCCTGTTAATGAGTAGCAGTCAGGTTAATAAGCCTATGAGCAAGTATCTTAAACCGTCTAAACAATCATACTCCATCAGCATCAAAATAGTCTCCCCTTCTTCCCAGTATCCAATAACTGACACTATACTGTCATTTTTGAGCTCAGATAAAAGTTTCAGCTCCTTCTAATAAGCAACAGAGCAGAGAGTGTGAATTTTGATCCAGACGCATCTGCAATTGAAAAACAAAGACTTACTAGTCCTTCAGATTTTGACGAGATTTTTATGGCACATGCGGCTCCAGTTTTACGGTTCAAAGCTCTAAAGTGATGATTGTTAGCAAAAGCGGAACTTGTATCAACATTTGCGAAGAGACGAAAACATTCTAACCTTTGGACTTGCCCGTAGGCGCCTTTGCCAATCAGTGTAGATCCTACGAACTAGAATGATGTAACGCGAGAGAGGTAAGAAGGTGTAATCACATAGAAAATGAGACGAAAAAGTACTTACGTAGTCGTCCTTGTTCAAAGTTGGGCATTTCAACTTTAAGCCTTCAGTTAATTGAGCATGAGCTAGAGCAGTGACTGAAGAAGCCTAATGAGTTGATAAGTGGATTTAGCATATATGATAAGGACGGGTGGTGGCAAAGCAGCCAAAATGCCAAACAATGCTGGGCAGAAAATCTCACCGAGGAAGAAGAATCCATTTTGAGAGAACCGAGAGGATTCTTGTTTGCTGGTGCTCTCATTTCAGTGATACTGGCAGTAGGAGTAACATGACGGCTACCATCATCCAAAGAGGGAAGAGCACCTCGTTGAGCAGGACGCCTGGAATTTATATGCCAATCGGCATCATCAGCACCATCATCCATCTTCTCATCAGGATCGACTGATCGGGAACTTGACTTTGATCGCGATCGTCGATTCCATTTGGAGACACGATGATCAACTTGAGGTCCTTTACGACTATATGGAGCTCCAGAAAGGTTGCTTCGTAGGGAATCTATAAGGTCGTCGGTAAGGGGTACTGTCATTGTATCGAGAGCGTCCTTTTCTTTGGCCAATAGAGATATGTAAGCAGGAAGGGTCTCGTGGATTATATTATCGTCCTTCTCGTTTTTGACAGATCCAGTTTCCGACTCGAGTTCGTCGGGTCCCGTACCAACATCGTCATCAGGGTTAATCCACTTAATACCGTCTCCAAATCGAGCTTCGTCTGGCAATTCATTTACAGCAGCGAGCGTAAAAGCAGACTTGTTTCTTGTGATCCATGGATGAACTGAGAGTTGTGATGCTGTTGCCCTTTTAGTCGGATCCTTGACAAAACATAGAGTAAGGAACTGACTCAATTCCTAACGATTGAAGACAACATCAGTATACAGATTCCCAACAGACAAAGGGTTCAATGTCCTTACATCCGAAACGGTGTCTGGCAATGGTATAGCTGAATCTATTATTGTTTCAGATGTGGACAAGGTGAGTACGTGTTTTGCATAAAAACAATTATGCAATTTTCAACACTGACCTGAACAGACGGCGTCTTCAGCATCGTCACGTGGCAAATCATGATATGGTAGTTTACCACACACTATCTCGAGGATAGTACATCCTAAACTCCAAAGATCAGAAGCTCTGCAAGCCCCCCTATAGAACAGAATCTCTGGCGCGATGTACCATGCTGTTCCTAGTATTGTTGAAGATGGAAGTTGGTGAGCTGTTTGATCAATGCCTGACAACGTGTTCAAGCACAGAGCTTACCGATGATACGAGGACTCCGTTTGAAGCTTGTTTCATGGCCTGAGGCACCCGAGTCATATAATTTGTAGAAACCATTATCAGAGATGAGCACATTTGATCCCTAAGGCGATGAGCGAGATTAGTTTATACCCCAATCATTCAAGCTCAGATGTCTTCCAACTTACTTTAACGTCACCGTATACAATCCCTTGAGCATGCATATCCACGAGCGATTTCAAAACACCAGACATGTACTTAGCAGCCATTTCCTCAGACAAGAGACCACTTGTCGATGCAAGCATTCCCAGTGAATTGCACTCTGCCATTCTGGTGGAAAGAAAAAGTACCTGTGAATTAGAATGTGTTTTACAAGCCATGCCCGACCTTCATTGTTCAAAACATTTGTTGCCAAATGTTGGAGAGATGTCCATGACTTGATAACCAATAAGGAAATTGCGCAACGTCAGCCTCTAGACATACCTTTGAATGACTTCTAGCTAGTGCTTGTAGATATAACGGTTTGTTGCTGCTGTATAATCCTATTGCTTTTAACAATTTTTGTAATTAGAAAATTGAGGTGGTTTTGGGCAGTAGGCGAGTGAAATAAATACGGAAATATATTCAAAAAATGTTAAAAATCGATTGATGCTTACCGTCGAATCTGTCTCTGCACCTTGAGCCTGTTAAGTCAAGATGTTTTGTTGCAAGTGTTATGGAAGAAAATTGGGAGTGGGAGTGGGAGTACTGGAGCAAAGGAAGGCTTTTTCGTAAGAGGAGAGACGCGAATCAACCAATATCAAGAGTGAAAAGAACGTCAAAGACCTCTCGAAGGCTCTCTCGTCGCTTACAGACTCATTTGCGTGCTTTTACATGGAATTAAACAGTTGTCCCGAGTTGTTGGTAACTTTTGGAAATCACGTTGGCGAGTGCTTTACATGACTGCAGCAGCCAAAAAGTAGTAAATGTCAGTTTGATTCTATATGAACACGATATTTTGGTTCCTTTCTTGCTACGAATGTGCTCCTGTATACTCAGAATGTGCTGGACCGTTGAAGTCTGCGTGTTTGGTCTTGTAACGGTTTCTCTGACTTGCAACTTTGAGAATGGAGAAATCACGATCTAGTTGTCATAAAATGCTGATTTAAAAGTGATGTGCCGTCTCGGAATTGCACTTTCGCCTTCAGGTCTCGACTGACTTCGTGGTCAAAAAGGCAAGAGGTATGAAAGAGGCCAATCTGTAACGCATTCACCAGGATTGAAGCATCCAAATGTTAATTCCTCAGAGAATTTAGATCAATAACGCGTGAACTTTCCCCACAAGCTTGCTTCTCCAAACTTCCAACCATACAAACCCTCAAAATGTACCAAAGTCACCACAACACAGAAAAAAGCAAACCCATACAGACTAAAATTACTTTATTACTACTCTGTCACTTCTCGGCAAGACGTTGCTTAAACAATGAGAACATAAACAGTTCAACGAAACGAATTTCACTATTCCTCAGACAGGGGTCTTAGAGCCTCATACTCGAAGGTCGGTTTAGGTGCTGGGAACCACTCAATCACTTGCCCCAGAAGTAAGCGACAGCCAGCGTCAATGTTACATAGCTGTGGTGATATAATGTTAATTATAACGGTCGGCAAGACTTGGCCACCAAGTGACGTGAAACCTTACCGACAGCAACGTCACCGAAAACGGTATCCACGGCAGCTCAACAATATCAGCATACGCTGACCGGCGTTCTGATGCCGAAACGTTATATGTTGTTTCCATGCTACACGGGCAACACAAGTTAGAAAAGCAAACCACATCTCCAACCCTTTGCGAACTTGTGTACTCACAATTTATGAAACTCAAAATAAATGACTCCCACAGCAAGCAGAAGTACATAGCATATAGCACACATCCACTTCAAACATAGTCCAAGAGATGTGTTTAGCAATGGGCCTCCCCACAACCATATTATTGGGTATCCGAATAAGAAGAAGGGAGCTGATGCTTGCATCATCCAGTATGCTTCAGCGATTTGCAGCACAGCGTTGATTTGTCGAATGCGAAACGTCCAGGATGATACGTTCCACAGGTCGATTGTGCGTTTTAGAGAGTATCCGAATTCCATCATTCCTAAGGGTTGAGCTCAATTAGAAATCACTTAAAAATGGCTTTCCATAGTCTTTTTAGAGCACAAGGTTACCTAGAGAGTGTCGTTTGCCTTGATGATATCGATCATGAATCTGCTTCCACAAAGACGCAGACTCATCAATGGCAGATGATGAGTGGATTGGTACGTATATGGGTATCAGCTCAGAGTCTCCTCCGCTTTCGAATATGACTTTGCAGTACCTGTTTGATCAAAAGTCGTTAGAAATAGCCCATTACTATGTCCAAAGGGGATTGAGTATTTTTCCCTTACATATGCGAATCTTCTGTAATCCCTTTAAAACCAGCATCCCAAAATCCAATTCTTTGAATCAGAGACATGGAGAACGTGTAATTAGACATGATGTACGGTTGGTCTGTTGCCAGCCGAGCTAAAAGATACTGGGTCTACAGAGAGAAACTTTTGTTAGTAGCGAAATATACGGCTTTTCTGCTTTTCAAGCAAATACCATTGTAACATCCAGCACACGAGTGAAGATAGGCGTCGACATGTACTTGTTACAATACAGATTGAATCCCAATAGAAACGCCGATTGCGGTCTTGCAGATTTAGCAAGTGCATGTTCACATTCAGTAATGTACAGCTCTGGAACTCCTGAATCAGCATCCAAAACCGTCACCATTTGTTTTTGGATTGGAATGCCTCTGCTAGTAAGGATTTTCAGCGTCTGCCTTGACGCATAGTTTACTATACCGGTATGGAGGAAAATTAGCATTCTGGCCTTTCAATTAACACGTTAATATGAAGGAAGTAAATACCATTAGCTCCTTTTCCCTTGACTTCTCCTAAAAATTCCAACATCTTAGCAACAAGCACACCAAACTTATCACAACGTTACTTTCTTTTACCTGGAACAAGCTTATGGACCGTGACCAGAATACTCTGAAAGTATCCACTAAACTCGCTGACCAGCGTATCTGCTTTCACCTTATACCCGTCCTCACGTTCTTCCATAGCCAATACAACAGTGTACGATTTCACAGCATATCGATGCATAGCTAATTGTCTCATAGTATACCGAAGGCAATTCAAGTCCTCTTGCCAATTCGGAATAATAAAGATATGACGGTACTGCGTCTTGTCCAAATAGCTGTTTCTGGTGACTGCATCCTTCACACGAGTGCAGGAAACGTTGACATTGAAGATTGCTCTTGCCCAGAATAGCAATTGTAGAATATAATAGCCTAAGTTGTATGGTTTTTCGGAAAACGTTTTAGAATTGGTGAGCAAAAACACGTTCGTGAAAAACATCATCGACGTATCTTCATACCAGCGAGGAAATAAGCATAAGCATCAGGAATTACTACAGGTCCAAAGATCAAGGCTGGCAAGACCAGCGCCGATAGCAATCCGATGCACTTCGTGAAATTTTCTTCAGAAATTATTCTAAACTCCGATATATTAGTTACCCTATTGACCCAGGGGAACTTAGTATCAAGAAAACGTGATAATGAACTACTACTTATAGAATATTTTACCTGGATATCTCTTCCTTCATGGTTGAAGTCACCAAAGCTCTCCACTTCTTGAATTCCTCAGTACGACGCAAATGAGGAATGCTGGATGGCTTTGCTACAAGTCCACTACGAATCTTTGGCGCGTTCAAGCCTCTGTTAGAGAACTATCTATACCTAGTTTGAGCCTCGCTCAATCTCCCTTCGGAAGATTGCCATTCATTCAACGAGTTTAATTCGTTTATTCAAACACAACTTGAGGCCAAACTATACGGATCTCTGACATTAAATTAATACATACTAACATTAAACTGCTACCAACTAGTTCTTACTGATGTGTCAATTATACACCTTAGCTTCAAGTTGGAACCGTGAATGTCTGAGCTTCAACCAACTTGAAGAAAACACCTCCAAGGCGAATCAACTCGGTATACGTTCCAACTTCCACGATCTGGCCCGCCTCAACCACACATATCTGATCACAAGTTTGAATTGTTCTTAGTCTATGCGATATGACGACAGTCGTGATTCCTATGGTTTTCGTGGAATGATATGAGCAACAACAATGAAATGTGACGGACGTAAGGTGTTTTCGCCAACCTTTGGATAACTTGGCCAAAGCTTCTTCGATTGAAGCTTCGCTTTTGGCGTCTAGAGCGCTAGAGAATGAGGAAGAGTTTAAAAGCTGCACTGAAAGATTCAATATTGACATACAACCTCGTAGCCTCGTCGAATATGAAACAAGCCGGCTTCCTAACCAGCGCTCGAGCTATAAAATTAATATGAACATCAGCAAGTCATATTGCTTTCAACGATTGTATTGGAGCATACCCAAGGCTATCCGTTGCTAAAAAACGGAAACAGTTGAGAAAGTGCAATCCACATATCCAAAGTAACAAAACCACTGACCTTTTGACCAGTGGAAAGAAGCGATCCCTATTCCAAAAACCACTCATTAGCATAAACTCTGATGCCAGTCATAATTTCAAACCATACATACCATTTCACCAACTTTTGTATGATAACCATTTGGCAAACTCCTGATGAAATCATGTATACTAGCCGCCTTTGCAGCCTGATAAACGTCCTCAGATTGCGCTTTATCACTCCCACAAATAATGTTTTCGAATATGGAGATGCTAAAACGAAAAATGCGTAAGATCTTGATCCTTTTTTTTGACGAAGCAAATATTTATCAGAAAACATACTTGAAGAGTATAGGCTCCTGACCAACAACACCATAATGCGACCTAAGAGCTCGCAGGTTCCAATTTGGAAGACTGGTGTTGTCCATTTGGATTGATCCTGCTTGGACATCATAAATCCTGGCTAAAAGGAGTGCGATTGTGCTATACATTGCTAAAGGATTAGTTTTTTTGGCTGAAAACAATAATACTTGAATTCCTTCACAAACCTCTTCCCAGCTCCAGAAGCACCCACAATCGCAACCCTCCGTCCATTCGGTATAACCACACTCAGCCGATTCAAGACCTTCGACTGTGTTCTAGAAGGGAACGTAAACACCACATCCTTCAACGAAATATCACACTGTTTAGCAGGCCTTGTTCGTCCACTTGTATCTCGGATATCTAACTGCACTTCAGATTGCAAGATATCTGCAAGTGCTATAGCTGATGCACTACCTTCAGACACGTTTCCGATTCCAATGATTGTGACTCCGACGAAGGAGATTGTGAAGAGTATTACCATGATGACGATACTAATGTCACCAATTGAGGAGAGGTTGCGTGTGATTAGGAAATATGCGAATCCGAATGTGGCGAGGACTACGATGATTAATGATGCTACGTGGACGTGATGAGTTCATCAGATAAATTTCGAATTGATCGTGATGCCAGTATAATAGGATATTTTGCCTTTCCCAGTGCAGTCTGCAATTCTCACTTACTTTGAAAAGCGCCAAACCCAAGTCCAGATATTACTGCCTTCGTCAAGCCCGTACGATATGCAGGCTGTAGTAGATCTTTATAGCGTTCGGTAAACACTTCTGGGTTGCCCAGCATTGTAACTGCCTTGATGTTTCGACACACGTCGGACGCAAAGCTGCTGGAGGCTGCGAATACACGACGTCTGGCTTCATGATACCTAAAAAGGAGTAAGCATGAGCTAAAAAAATCATACGCATTGGGACTATTCGCAACTTTTTACCCCGACATGGCCTTGAGCTCAAACACTACACCAAGCAGCAAGATCGGCGACACAGCCACCATGAAAAGCGCCAACCTCCATCCATAGTACAGCGCAATAATCGTCCCTGCACCAACAGCAACAATAAACGCAATAACCTTCCCAACAAGTCCCACACCAACCGCCTTGACAGTCTCGACATCAGTTGCCAACCGTGTTGCAGTCACATTAGGACTAGTATCTGGCGAATCATAATAATACATATCCTGAGCCATAAGCTTCTGTAGTGTCATATAACGTAGTCGCTTTGACAGATTCTCGCTTGCAATATCGACTCCCCAGTATACCAAAGTATGGCCAATTCCGATAAAGACGGCCAGCGGCAGGAAGAGGAAGGAGTAATAAAAGAGGTTGGGTTCTGTTAGTGATGCGACTTGTGAAAAGCTTCTGAATATGGTTCCGAGTAGTAGAGATTCCAATGGGAATGCCTGATTTGAATGATTGTTGAAGTGAGAGGTTCAGGAGGTAAAACTCAAGAAGGTTTCATGCACACCAGTCCATCAATGACTGATCCAACGAGAGCAACAGATACGTAAAATGGATCCCGTTTACACAGTGAGAAGAGTAATTCATATGGAAACTTTCGTTTAGCCAGGGTTTCCGCCAATTCGTCTCCCTCCTTGCCGTCCACTAGAAGCAAAGGTTCGTTTTCATCATATCGCGAGTTGACAGAACTCGAATTATCGGAGACCTTGGATATGGGAAAACTCCTTATCGATGCATTTCCTGTTTGCATCGATTGAGCGGCATATAGTGCTGCATATGTGCCTTGTCGCTGAAGCAGGTCAAAGTGAGAGCCGGTTTCCACGACTTGTCCACTATTCATGACCTAAATATATGAATACTGTTAGTTAGAAATAGCGCGAAACGAATGATGCTTACAATGATGCAGTCAGCATCCTTTATGGTTGAAAGCCTATGAGCTACGACCAGCGTAATCCTATTCTGAGCTAGTTCCTCTAAAGCTACTTGAACTGCTGCCTCTGATTTACTGTCAAGAGCACTACAAGAACAGCGTTAAAAGATCTGACATCAATACGGTCTCATTCGATTTCATGTACCTCGTAGCTTCATCAAGCAACAATATAGGAGGATTCCTGATGATGGCGCGAGCCAGCGCAATACGTTGTTTCTACATTAACCCACTGTCAGATATCTTGCCTCCATTCTCTTCTTAACTTCGAACAATACTGACTTGACCACCAGAGAGCGTCACTCCACCATTCAGAAAAGTATGGAGCCCATCAGGCAGTTTCGAGACAAATTCGAGAGCATGAGCAGCTGCGAGCGCTGCAGACACGTCTGGTGAATCGATAAATTGACCTTGGGAAGCTCCAAAGGAAACGTTCTCGTATAGAGTTGCGTCAAAGAGAACTGGTTCTTGACTGACTACCCCAATGCACTATTCAGAAACTGGTATTAGAAACTGTCAGAAAATTGCAAAAGTTGACGAGACACACCTGGCGAAGACTCTTCACATTAATGTCTCGAATGCTCACGCCGTCAATAAGAATTTCCCCATTCTCAAACTCGTACATTCGTAAGAGTAGCTGAAGTATTGTACTCTTGGATGCTCCACTTTGCCCAACGAGGGCGATTTTCTGTGATGGTCGAATCGTGAGGTTGAAATCCTGTAGCACTAGCAATTCAGGACGTGATGGGTATCTACAAAATAATCAAATGAGACATTTATGAATACCTTTCAAGAAAACACTCAAAACCGAAGTACCTGAACGTAACATCTCTAAACTCTATCCCAAGAGTGATTTGACTAATAAAATACCCCTCTTCACCATTAACATCTAAATCCGAGGTATGCTCAATAACTTCCACGACCTTCTGAGCAGCCTCGACCGAATTACTTATCGTCTGTATGGTGCTCAGGATATTACCAAAGAAGATTGCTGCAAAAGCAATCTGAAAGAACGTCGACAGCGCATCTCCATACTTTAAATTATTGTTAAGCACAAGACTGCCAGCATAATAAAGTATGGGTGCTCGTAGCCCGAAGAAGAAGATAGTGACGATTAAGACGGAGATTGCTTGTGCTGATATTGTGTTTCGTAACATTCGGTACGTCCTCTTCAGCGGGGCTGCGTATCGATGGATGACGTTCAGCTGAGCGTTAATGTACATGACGGTAGTCATGTTTTGTAAAGCCTCCGTTGCGACGGCTCCAGATTTGGCGGTGGCATCACGTAGTTTCCGAACGTTTCTGTAGAGGTAGCGCCATACAAGCATATATCCAACGACTGGTAGCGGGAGCGTTCCGAGAAGGACTAGAGTAAGTCTCCAGCTTGTGTATAGAGCCAAGCAAAGTGAGATAATTACAGCAGTTGTGCTGTGTATCAATGTGCGAATCTGTTTGTTGCGACAATCTGTGAATTAGCATTGCACCAAGTCTTAGCTTCACTTGTGCACTCACTGTTAAGCCAGTCCCTTCAGCAATCAGATTAACATCCGAAGCACTTCTAGTCGACAATTGTCCCATCTCTTGCTTCTCATACCACGCCATGTCTTGTGAGAGAAGGGAAGCAAAATACAGCTCTCTCCATATCTAGAAAATTCAATCGTTGATTTCCATAGCTTGCCTCAATATCAAGATGGATATCTTCTTACAGCACAACGACGTTCAGCCTGGATAATCCAACAAAATGTTCCAGAGAATCTAACACACGTTCAAGTCAGTGCACGTCAAGACCGTGGCAACCACGTACGGAAATCCTCTCTCACCCAGAAACGAAAGCAAGAACAGCAAGTCCCACCATCTTGAGCGCGAAATCTTGAATGACTTGTTGTATTTGGCCATTCAGCTGGCCAGTTTCGTATGCCACAGAAGAGTTCACTGTGGTTCCAAGCACCTGCACATATAACGGAAACACAGATCCTATTATTCGTGTTGAAATCAGTATAGCGACCGCATGTGATCCACGTCTGAAAATCCAATTTGCAAGGTTTACCTGACAGCATCGCAAATACAACACCCAGCACCAACAAGAAGATATTGACTCCATCCGCATACTTGAACAAGACACCAATGAATGAAATCGCCATCCGCGGAAGTCTCTGGGATACAATTGAAGTTGTGTAAGCTATTTTTTGGAACTTGCGTCTGAGTTTGAATTTGACCTCAATTTCAGGCGGAGTGTCTTTTATGTGATGGCAACGAATCCATATAATAACTGGACAACGCCCTGCCTCGATGGCAGTGCTGGGACCATTATATCTGCTACGAGTTGGTGCGCTGACGGGTTTTACTGTCCTAATGTAAGTTCTTCAAAGTGTGAGGTGCGATTACACCTGCATCGGTGCTCATTCCTGAATTTAGATGACGCTGGGAGAACTACCTGTATCATGTCCACCGAGTCCACGGTGTCTTGTACAGCGATTGCTATCGATTCCATGCAGTATGGTGCGTAAATCACAAATCGTGACATTGACAACCAAAGACGCTGATAAAGGGTGGTTTTTAGCCTCAAGGACGGCTGGAACCGATCATTTGCAAAGCGGGATACTACTGTCCTGATTATTCGAAGCAGACTATATGTCCAGAGGGGTCATATTGTTTGACTGGTACGACAGGAAGTTTGGTTAAACGCTTGGTAGGAACTTTTGACCGATTTTTAAATTGAAATCATGTCAATTTTCTAGGCTCAGTTGCTCCCATACCATGTAACCTTGGATCATGTAAGTCGCATGGCAGTCACTCACTCACACCTTTACCGCCGTTGCCTGACACATATTTTTAATCTACATAGCATGCCCTCAAGGAACCACATCCCAAACCTACTACCTACCGCTCGTGATCTGCGTCTTCCTAGACTTTGGCCTACTCTTAATATGGATTCACGGACGCCTGATCGAACGTCGACGCCAACGTGAATCTAAAGATCTCGCAGATAGTTCATCAACAACATTTAAATTCAATACGAGTCCCGGTCTCGTGTCTGCTTTTCAACGCGGGATGGATGGTCATGTTTTGACTGTTGGTATTGAGTTTCAGGATATTTCGTTGCTGAAAGGTGGCAAGCATATCCTGACGAGGGTGTCTGGAGGTATAAGGAGTGGAAAGTTGACTGCTATTATTGGGCCTTCTGGTGCTGGAAGTAAGATACTTGTCACGTTCACGACTGTTGGGTTGCTGAATTTCTTATTCATTGACCTCGATACAGAAACAACATTTCTCCATGTTCTCATGGGGAAGTTACGGCAAACAAGTGGCGAGATGCGCATTAATGGGAAGGCTACTGAATTACACAAATGTAAAATGTGATTTCAGAGTTGATCAATCTTCCGAGTGCTAACGGCATTTTTTGTCTCCATTAGACCGTCGCATTGTGGGCTACGTACCACAAGAAGATACAATGATACCAGAACTTACCGTCCGCGAAAATATACTGCATTCAGCTCGGATACGTCTACCAAGACGTTGGTCTCGACGTGAAGTGTCTGATTACGTCGATTTGGTTATTGATGTCCTTGGGTATGATTTGCATTCTGATGCTTTAGCGTACTGAGCTCATCCTTTTTCCGTCTGTGCTAGGTTGACCGAAGTAGCCCATTCCCTAATTGGAGACGATATAAAGCGAGGGATTTCTGGCGGACAGAGGAAGCGTGTCAATATCGGGATTGAACTGGCCGCTGTGCCGGTAGTGCTCTTTTTAGGTATCTTGTCATCAAAAACGAAACTTGGAAGCTTTCTGAATGAATATCTGACACGTCTAAATCTTTAGATGAACCCACGACAGGACTCGATTCAACAGCGGCATTAGCCGTTGTAGAGTCTTTGAAAGCTGTTAGCTCCACGTTGGGAATAACGATCGTGTCTGTTATTCATCAGCCTCGTTCTGAAGTAAGTGTGGCCTGTATTTATTTACTGCAGCAGAAGTCTCACTATGACATAAAATTAGATATTCGAGACCTTGGACGACGTCCTGGTTCTAGGACGAAACGGTTTCACGTCATATAACGGACCAGTAGCAGACGCACAACCGTATTATGAATATCTTGGTTATAAAGTGAGTCCTCTCCGAGCAACCTCTGTATCAACCTGAAAGACTGATATCACCCATCAATGATAGTTCGGAAACGGTAACCCAGCAGACACGATACTCGACATTCTCAACGAAAAGCAAGCCCGACCAAGAAACTCCAGATACGAAGACGGTGAAGGACTCGACGGACTGCCTTTGCAAAAAATCATACTAAGTCGAGGCCAAAAGACTTCTCCACCATCTCCACCGCTATCTATACACACTCCCAACGATGGACAGGACGTCCTCCCTCCACGTTCAGATTCTTTGTACTCGCCCCTTCTTCTTAAAGGACCCGAGCTTCAAGGAGAAGATGATGTGGAAGACTTTGACAAGATCGCAACGAGACTGGTGAGGGAACGTGGTGCCAATTTCTTTATGCAGTTGTATTATTGTCATAGTCGGTCGATGCTGCAACAGAAACGGGCTATTATGTCGGTGATATTGGAAGTTGTTGTTGGATCGGTTGCTGGATTGTTGATGGCTGTTGCAGCAGGTAAATGAAAGCTTTGAAACTTGTTAAACGACTTCGAACTTACCTTGAATCTAGGACAATCCGAGCTGTATCGAGCACTCTGGATAACACCATATACAGTAATAAGTCCTTCGACACAGGACTGGGACGTAGCGTTATACGCTCTTCTAGTTGGATCATCGTCTGCATTAGCAGTAAGCTCGTCAACTTTTCACCATCGATTCAAACTTCCTCCCCTCACTCTATCCCAACCATAGGGTGGTCCACCAGGCACACGGGTATTTGGTTTCGAACGCCCCATAATGTGGCGAGAAACCGCATCTGGACATTCACGGCTTGCCTACTTTCTAGCCAAAAACATATCGTTTACATACCGCATGATCCTATCCGCGGCCCATTTCGCGGCAGTGCTACATGTGATGGCAACTCCACCTATAGCATACTCGTCTTTGTTTTTGGTCATAATGGGCAACCTGTTTGGAGTTTATGGGCTGAGTATAATAACATCGCTGTGTTTCAGGATTGAGGATGCTGCGTTGGCGGCTGTTATATTCTCTATGGCTGCTGCTATTATGTGTGGATTTGAACGTAAGTTGTGTCGAGATGTTGAAGGTTGACAACTAACATGCACATCTTTTGTGCTCTTGGTATAACACCCACCATGATCTAATGCATCTTCCATTTCACACTCATAGCTACTCTCCACGACGCCCAATCCTGGAACCTCGAATGGCTGTGGTCTCTAAGCTACAACCGCTGGACGGCAGAAGCAATGGTGTCCGAGTACGCAAATCCATACAACAGTGTCTACATCACAGCATACACCAGCTCAACATACGGATACACATTCAATCGATTTGGGGTTGATATCGGCATAGCAATCGCCATTGGAGTTGGATTTAGATTGATTGCGTTTGTGTTGATGGTCGTTACGAATCGCGAGAAACAACGATAGTTTTAGTAATAAGCGATCGGTATCTGATACTGTAATAATTCATTGTATAATTAATTGAAAAAAGATAATTATCTAGTTGGATTTTTTTGACTGTGGTTGTGCTTCACGCTCCGCTGCGTCGTCGTGACAATCCTTTAACCAAACCTTTGCAAATTGCAAAGTGCCTGTGAAAGTAGCCCCAAAGCCAGAAATTGGAATCGCATACCACTAACCTTACTTGCCGGACGCTCTGAATACCTGGTATCGATTAGGTTCACCAGGATCCACCGGAGCTCAGAGCCTCAATTTGACTAGAACAATCAAAACACACGTCAGGCTCAAGGCTCTGCATCATGAGTGATTTCACGGCATTCTGGATCAATCAGGCCTTCAACTACGCATACAGAGATGTGGAAGTTGATGGCATTTGGAAGTACGCTGTCATCGCAGATCTAGGCATCAGAAAATTGTATCACATCGCATCGCAGCTGACATCGTTGTAATAAAATAGCGTACCTAGCGATGGACCCGTAATCCTATCCGTCGTAATCCACGGCGCATGGTATCTGGACCCCGTACTGATGTATAAGGTGCTGTGGTCGTTGAAAAGACGACATCCAAGATTCGTTGCTGCTGCACAGTATATCCAGACAAAACCCATCTTGAAGTGGTTTTCACAGGGGTTTCGGCCATGTATGTGGTTGTATGTGCTGCTTCGGTTTGCTTGAACACCCGCTGATCATTTTGATGTTAGTGTTTATCGAACGTGGATTCGATCACCCTCAGAGTGCTACTGGCACGATAACTTGTGATGATTTGGAGAGTGAGAGGACGAGAGTTTATGGAATTGGGACACAATTTACGAAGGAGTTGTCCAAGTGAGTATTAGGTGCTGTGCAATTTCTATACCAAGATATCATTCGTTCGCTGACATGTCTTTTGTCTTTTTGTGTTATTAGAGGCATGAACATTTCAATCTACATGTTCTCATTCACTGATGTTGTTGAAGTTGTGTCTGACACTGAACTGGTTGTTGTCAAGTGGACTAGTTTTGATCCTGTAAGGCTGTTTCCCAGGCGTATATTTTTTTCCACGCACCGATTTAAACCAACGCGCCAATTAGGAAAAATTTGCTGAATTAATGAAGACGGGAACCAAATTCCAAGTACACCCCAAATTCGACCAAGCAGGATTTTACGATGAAGCTGTGGATTCGCTGCAACAGGGTGATGCGATTGCTATCTTTCCTGAAGGGTACCCGCATCCTTTTCCTTTCATCAGTAAGGAAAATAGTCTAAACAAAAAAAGTTACGGCAGATCAACTCACTGCTTTTGTATTGTATAGCTGATTTTTTCCCTGGTGGCATCCTAATGGGCCTCTCCGCAATGTCACAATGCGACAACATGAACGTCAAAATAATTCCCGTCGGAATCTCATTCGAAAACCCAGAAGTGTTTCGTTCTTCTGCCATCGTGAAATTCGGAAGTCCCGTCACATTCTCTCCCGACGACGTATCTGCATTCAAGGAGGGTGGAGACAAGAAAAAGGAGCTCATGAATTCCATGATTGACAAGATGAGAAATGAATGTGGCAAATGTATTGTGCAGGCTCCTGATCAGGAGAGTCTGGCTGCTGTTAGAATGATGGCGAAACTTGCTACCGGGAATCCGTATGGGATGAATAAGATTGTTAGGGATCGCGTTGCGAGACATTTTATGGGCAAGCTGGGAGAGAATGCGGAGGATAAAACTGTAGCTGCTGCTCAGGACCGTGTTGGGACGTATATGACGACGCTGCGGACTTACGGCTTTGAGGACTCTGTAGTTTATGAGATGAGTCGCATTGAAGGATCACTCGCAGTCATCAAGTTGATGGCTTCTGTATTGATTACAGCTGTTTTGTTGCTTCTTTCTTCACCAGGGTAACCAAAAAAAAAACATCAATACTTTTGTAACACATATGATTCTAACAAGGCAATTCAATTCCAGGCTTATATTATCTGGACCGTGGAGACTTGTAGCTGAACGATATACGTGGTTTGCACTCGCTGGTAACAAAATCTGATCTCATCCTTCACGAAACATCCTAACCCATTCATTACACCCATACAATAGAAATCCAAAAGAAGATCCCTTTCGTAACACCCAGAGTCCACCGTGGAATGACACGTTTCTTCTTCCTGCTTATAACCTTCCCCTTCATATTCATGCTCTACGGAATACTTGTCGCAGTACTGGCCAACCAGGTCGGATCCATCCCAGCCGGACAAGCAATCGGATACTTTATAGTAACGTTCATAGGGGTATGGACTCTCACGATCTTCACATTCAAGACCATGGACGCATTCTATCTCAGTTGGGCTCGTACGAGGATGCTGTGGTTGCGTAATACAAAACCAAGTATAGCGCAGTCTATACTGAATGAGAGGTTGGAGGCACAGGTTAATGTGGTTGCCTTTGTGAAGGAGTTTAAATTGAGAGTCCCTAATTTGGCTAATGTGGGTGGGACGGAAGTGCCTCAGATTGAGGTACAGAAGGGATTTGTTTGGACGTCGGCGGTGAAGAAGCTGTCTAGGGGTAGACAGCGTCACGATGTGAAGGCGTGAATGAGGTTAGTAGGTATTGGTAGTAATGTCGTAGTAATGTATTGATTTGTCGTGTTCCTTTTGTTGGCTGGAGTAATAAAAGCAAGTAATTTGGTAGTGAAAAGTGGATTTGAGCAAGCGATTGATCGATAGACACGAGATTGTACGTGACCCTCTGTCAAGTTGGTACTAGGACACGTAGTTTGTCTTTCACAACGTCAAAAGTTTGATCAAACACGTCTTGACATCAACACGAGAGGGATTTCAGTATTCCTGTAGGTCGATATCAGGTATCAATTGAGAATCTAAGTATTAAACTAGTCTAGTATAGCATGAATTTGAAATAATTGCTCACACGATTCGATAATTAGAATGCACATATAGATCAAGCAACGGAGGGAAGGATCAGTCAAAGCAGTACGGTCACATAGTACGGAACTATATAAAAGAGCCATTTACCTGTCTTCCAGCCTCTCGTAATCACCTGCAACAATGTCCTCACCAGCAACAGTAATCGAACAGATTTTGAAACTCTCACCGAACGTTCAAGGACAAGCCATATCCACCCGCCCCGCTTTCATACTTGCAGGACCGCCTGGTTCCGACACGTCTGCATTCGCTGAACGATTTGCCAGGGACAATTTCTGTGAATATCTATCACCATGTCATTACATGCATAAACTCATCACTGAAAAGGACAATACGGATCCGCTGAGAAATGAAGTGGCTGGATATCTCTTGTCAGGCCAGGAAGTGCCGAATGAAGTCGTGCTCAAGTGTTTGGATGCCGCTATTAATTCAGAGGAGGCGAAATCTAGAGGTGTCATCTTTGTTGATACTGAAACCGTACATGGAGCAGTAAGTTAACTTGCTTCGGTTCTACAATTAGGATTTGTATTGGAAGGCCTCTCTCAACTTGAAAACGACGGTGACGTGCTCCGGCGTCTGATAGAAAACAGTCTGGCACCAACACACACCGCCATTCTTATCGAACTGCAAATGACTAGAGAGGATTCATCGGTGCGGCTTGTAAACCAGTACACGGATTATGAGACTGGCGTGTCGTACACTGTTACCCAAGTGGAAAAGTCACGGGCGGCGATTGCTAGTCGGCCTGTACCCAAAGACGGTGAAGGTGATGAGGAAGCTGAGGAAGAAGCAGCGGCAGACCCTGAACCTGTAGAGGATGAGATAGCTGAGGATGAAGAACTGGATGAGAATGGAGAACCTATAAGACGATACGTAAAGAAGCAGCCGCCGCTGATACCTCTCACTGTGAATGGGCCGGAACTGGAGTTGTTGTCGCAGGATATTCTGAATAGGTAATGTTACGCATCATCGTATCCTCCTCCGTCTCAACAGCATCAAAAGCTCACGCACTGACACACCCCAAAACAGACTCGTCACAAACCCCCAATTCTCACAACAAGAAGTCGACAAAGATTGGGATTCATACGAGAAATTCCAAATCGGGCTCCGTAGCGTATATAAAACACTTGGAGTCATGCGAACCATCAAGGCCGATGCATCACAGCATCCAGATGTCCTATCCAACGATGTTTTGGACAGGCTCGCAACTGTAGATTGGACATTGTCGCATCGTGCACCGCCATGTATTCGTATTGGGGATGCTACTCTTACAGGTTTGGGATTCCTTCGTGTCATTATCGCATTAAACGAAGTCTGACTGGATTTTTTTGTGTGGTTAGGAGGTCTGAGTATGCCAGAAGCCAAGGCCAAACTCGAAATCTTGGATCTAGTCGAAGGAGAAGCACCACGGGATTGGAGTGACTGGCGACATTTTTGTCCAGTGGCATTTTCAGAAACTGATGAGCTTGTTGCTGGACAGGTTGTCATTACGGCTGTTTACAAGGTACAAGAGCAAAAAAAGCAATATGGAAAATCAATATCGCTCCATACCTCAACCACATCTCGATCATTAGGGATCTTTATACTTCTTCTCAACTGAAGAACGCATCAACAAATTCATAGCAAATCCAGAAAGATATCTCGCTACACCTCCTCGTTTACGTGCAGTCAAGATCTGTATCTTGGGAGGTCCAATGTCTGGTAAAACCACACAAGCAGACTTGCTCTCGAAACTGTATTCAGCAAAACGTATCAATGTGGACTCGATCTTATCTTCTTGGGACTTGAATCGAGATCAGGCTGGTCTGAGGAGCAAGATACCTGTTTACGACAAGGTAAAATGCTATACCGATACTTGAAGCGATTTTTTTGGGCAGAGATTCAAATCTTTTGACTAGATTGTGGTGACATGTCAGAAGGGACAACCAGTCACAACTGAGCAAATGGTGGAAGTTGTGCAATGGGCTATAGCTGAAGAATCACCAACACGGAATGGATGGATTTTGGATGGTTTCCCGTATACTATAGATCAGGCGAATGCTCTTGTTGCTGCTGGTATCAAAGCCGATTTTGTGGTTACTCTTCAAAGTGGTATGCGTTGTCCACTTTACCTTTTTTGCTGATTGCTCCAGAGTCAACTCCATTTACTATATAGACGCCAAGGACGAAAACGTAATCGCCAGAGCCGCCGCCAAACAAATAGATTGGAGAACAGGTCTAGCAAGTAAAGAGATATCAACAGATCCAACAGCCATTGCGGCATATCCAAACCTAGTAGACTTGTATGGATCTGCTGATGTAGAGAATCATGAGATTACAAAGATTCTTGCTGAAAAGTCGTTTTCGGCACCAACTGACGATGTGGTGTCGACTTGTAGTTTTATTCGACGACTTATTGATCCTTTCGTGCCTCAAGCTGGTATGCTCTTCCGATGCAGTACCATTTTTTTGCAAACTGGCATTGTACTGAATCCATTTTCTTGAAATAGTTGTGGCAGCTGAACCAATCCCAGAATTCGCAATTATGGGTCCATCTAAAGATTATTGTCCAGTTCGATTAGCAAAGGACAAGGTCCTTGTGAGAGGAAATAGGAACTTTGGAGTCAAGTGGCAGGTAAAGATGGTGCTGTGATTATGAAAAACTGTCCGTCTGTTGAAGCCACTGAGAATGCTTTTTGCCTAGTCATTATACTTTTACTGCTCGACAAGTCAAGCCCAAAAGGAATTTCTCGCCAATCCAGTGCTGTTTGCTTTTGCACCTTGTACGACACCACCGCCGAGGATTGTGTTTATGGGAGCTCGTGGTTCTGGCAAGGTATGTTTGAACCAAAAAGCAGTGTCCCAGCAAGCCAGAATTAATATGAAGTCTTTTAGAACACCGTCGCATCAGAGTTACTATCACCATTCAAGGTTCCCATCGTATCAATGTCTGATTTAATTAACGAGTACATGCAGTCCCAGACAGAAGAATCAAAAGCCAGGATCACTGAACAAGGAGATCCTCAAGTCGCTCTTCCTACTGCAACCGTTATCGAACTTGTTAGGAATTTGTTTACTTCTGAGGTAACCAGCATTATGCCAGATGCGGTATTTTTCGCGTTGCTGAACTTCATTGTTTTTAGCCCCACCAATCACAAGGCTTTGGTCTTAAAGGCTTTCCCCGAAACAAGGCTGACACGGAAGCCCTCTTCGCAGCAGGCTTATATCCAGATGCGTTCGTCCATTTACGTATTGATGCAGAGACATCAGCACAACGGATGGTGAATGCACGAAGGGGAGAACCGATTATGAGTGCTGATGACGAAGCTGCGTGGAGGGATGAGTTAGTTGCTAGGTATGTGGGTTTAAGTGAAACAAAGTTGACAGACTGAGGATGAAATGACCCCATTGTTTCTCTTGATTTTGTTAGCGCCGACAATGAATTGGCATCTATCGCAGATTCAGTAGCTACCATCGAACCTTATAATGTGTTGGTGATTGATACTGATGGGGGTCGTCCTCTTCGACCGTTGTTGGCTACGTTAAGGAACGAGCTGAGGACGTTCTTGGAATGTGTAAGTTGTTGATAGCCTCGTCGTCGTCTCGTTATGGTCTTGACGTCGTGGTGCTTTTTTAGCGGTCAAGCTTATTGACCAATGTGGTGCCACTGGATTCGGTCATTGCAGAAGGATTCTTGTCTGCAGGATTGAAGAGTTTCAGTCCGTATGGGTATGGGTCGCACTTCACAAAAGCAGGACAGGTGAATTGAGCACTCATTCGTTACGGTGTTTTTGCAATTTAGGCAATACTGTCCTGTCACAATGACCAAGAGTAGAATCGTAACTGCTCAAATCTTTGGTAAAATGCCAGCTATGACTGGAGATTACGTATATTACCTTGCCGATGAGAGTGCATTGCAGGTTCGTAAATCAGGACGATGAAACGATGCCAAATCGATCCTCATTTTTTTTTCAACAACAGGAGTTTTCCATCAACGCCCAAAAGTACATCTCATCACCACCCATAAAACCAGCTGTACGACCAATCATCAGCGTCATTGGCCGTCCGAAGTCCGGCAAGACGGCTTTATCACGTCGCCTAGCAGGTGATTTAGGAATGACATATGTAGACATCCCAGCTGCTGTATCGAGTCTGTTGGAAGACAATCGCCAACCACTGCTAGCGCTCAAAATCAAGGATATCTTATTGTCTGGACAATCTGTGCCGTCTGATTTAGCTGCTCAAGCGATTGTACGTGTCCTCTCACGGATATCATGTCAATCTCATGGTGTAGTGCTAGACAATTTCCCAAGTAGCGTGAAGGAGGCGGAACTGCTGGAAAAGTGTGGTCTAGTGCCGCAAACATTCTTTGAAATGAACGTATCTGAATCCGAAATGATGAACCGCACACGAGCTGATTATGACGTTGAGGTGTCTCAAGAGCCGTTTGCAGGTGCTTCTGTACCAGGGATTGTAAAGGCACAGGATGCGGTAAATCAGTCTAATATGAGTGAACTGAGACAATGGGTTGCAAACTCATATCATGGATGGGAAATCATGGACGGAGCAAGATCTAAATGGGCACTTGCAACAGACGCAACCAAAACAATTGAAAGGGCTATTGAACGACGCCAAGTATATCTCCTTGGCATATACAATCATCGCGCCGTCAGTGTAGATGCTAGTGGTATAGACTCGAAACATATGGATACTCATATGGGTGTATTTGGAGATTTCTGTCCAGTTTGTCTCGTAGATCGTGATGAGCTTGTACCTGGCTCTCACGGTACGAGTAACATGGCAGAGTATGAGGGGTATTATTACAGGATGGCTGGTGCTGATGAGTTGGGAGCGTTTTTGAAGGATCCGACACGGTATACCGAATCGGGCAAGACGCTGCCGGCGTCGCTGCCTGTTAGACGTAGTATAGCTGAAGTGAGGAATCAGTTTCCAAAGCAGGTTGAATTGCAGGGGTATTGTCCTGTTACGCTTACGGAGGGGCCTACAGGGTGAGTTGCAATGTTTGAAATATTGCCAACACGTATGGGTTGAGACGCTAATATGTATTTTTTGCACGCCATTCTTTCTATCTAGACCTGCAAGTGTAGTACCAGGCGAATCAGCATATACCGTCGAATGGAACTCGAAACTCTACCAAATGGCCAACGAATCCCAAACTCTCAAATTCATTAAATCTCCCTGGCGCTACACTTCCGCAACCCTCCCAGCAGTTCTCCCACCGCGTAAAGTCCAAATCCCAGTAACATCCCTTCCTCTCGTCGGATACCTCGAACATACAGTCTCAACAGCTCTAACAGACGCACTCGGAGCAGTCGGCAAACTACGCCCCAAATACCCATTCAAGAGCATGTCTAAATCAGCAAACCAGTACATGGGACTGTACTTAAAAGCACATAATCCGAAATCAAAGGCTTGGGTGCTTGAGAGGCAGATGAAAAAGTTGAAGGTGTTTGAAGGGGAGTGTGCGCTTGTTGAGCAGGTTCGAGGGGGTGTTACGGAGAGTTATAAGGATGCGAGTGGAGAGGTTGAGGTCAAGTTGGACAAGTTTTTTGGATTGAGGAATCATTCGGCTGCTATGTAAAGGTTGATGGTGTAGATAGGTGGTGGATTTAAGTTGTAGATCTGCTTTGTAATGCTTGTAATACTGTACAATAATATTGAAGGCTAGTGTTGAGCGAGTTAAAGTGGGTGTGGATGTTGCGCTTGATGGAGTTCGAAGTGTCGTGATCGTTGATGATGGACGTATTGGTGTTTCACGTCCACCAGCATTTTTAGTCGCCTTCGAATACGGAAATAATTTATTCTTCGTTGAATTGAACATCTTCCTGTGGACTTCCCCTTGTAGAACTCTCACATTCGCAAAAACCATCACAACATTTAAATATCACGACAATGGAGAAAAAGACCTTAAACCAAGAGGGTCTGCTGTCTCTAGAGCAGCCACTAATAAGGGTAATGTGTTCCCCTTCGTGCTTCCCTTTCTCTGCATTCGAAAATCACAACATTTAATGTTAACACCTCCTCACACACCCGCGAATATGATGATAGGTGCCATTAGAGCAATTCCGACGAGCCTTCAAGACATCCCAAAAATATATTGAAAAGGATCTCGCAGCCCTGAATACCGCATCTGTCGAATTAGCCAATCGGGCTGGAATGGGAACTACATTGGCTGATGATGCCTGCAAGAGTCTGGATGCGATGGCAGAGAGGTTGGGAAAGCTGAAGAGAAAGGTATATTAGTGAAACGTTGCAACGTGTTGCATCGTTTGTTTCGTTTTCCCTGGTTTTTTTGCTGAGAGATTCCCCTGCACCACCACCAACACCATAGTTGGAAGAATCCAAGAGTGAAGAACTACTCTACACGCAACGCAGCAAACTACGATTGGATCATCTCATGGAATTGTCGAGTATGACGGCTGCTGACTCAGAAGAGTATGCGAGATGGAGCAAGACGCGATTGGATCGTATTCTTGTCGAGTTTATGTTGAGGCAAGGGTATAGTCGGACTGCTGAGACTATGGCCAAGGAGAGTAATATCAAGGTATGCTATTTTGATGACTATTACATAATATGATGTAGTTATTTTTTGCTGACCTACAATCTACTTTAGGATTTGGTTGATATCGAACTCTTTGTCCAATCCCGTCGAGTCGTAGAAGCTTTAATGAATAAGAGCTGCACGGAGTGTTTGCAGTGGTGTGCTGAGAACAAGTCAAGCTTGCGAAAGATGAAGGTACGTTCGTGTCATGTATCTCCTATACTATCTGTTTTTTTGGCCTCTAACTTTCTTCAATCTGATCAAACAACAGAGCACGCTTGAATTCAATCTCAGACTACAAGAGTACATTGAATTGGTCCGTATAAGAAAGTTGGCTGATGCCATCCTGTATGCACGAAAGCATTTGACGCCATGGGCAGAGACCCATTTGAAGGAAATACAGCAAGCTATGGGGTTGATGGCGTTTACTCCTGATACCACGTGTGAAAACTATCGGGTAGGTTGAGAATGTTGAGGATGCGCAAAAAAACGCGCAACTTTGAGAGATGGATTGCGAGAGAATTTCAACACTCACATCGTCTTCTCTTTCGTCTCCAGGCCATGTTTGATATGGACAGATGGCACCAACTCATCGACCAATTCCAAACCGATAATTACGCACTCAACTCCTTAACGTCTCAGCCACTCCTCTACATGACACTCCAAGCCGGAATGGCAGCTCTCAAAAACCACGCATGCTATCAAGAAGCCAACAGGAATATGAATTGTCCTGTCTGTGCATCTGATACGTTTGGTGTGCTGGCTGAACGATTGCCATCGTCTCATCACTCTAATTCGTGTATTGTGTGTCGGATTACTGGGAATATTGTGAATGAGGATAATCCGCCGATGGTGCTTCCGAATGGTTATGTTTATTCTCTCAAGGTGTGTTGAGTTGTGCTGTCTTGTACAGGCTGTTGCATGAAGTAATCTCACCGTCATTTTTGTTGCTTGGTTGTAGGGATTGACAGAACTCGCAGCAAAGAACAATGGGAATATCAAGTGTCCTCGAACTGGATCCACGTATCATATTTCTCAGCTCCGGAGAGCCTACATTGCCTAACAAAGGAATGCTGGACCGGTATATTATTTGTAACTGCATATCTGTAAAACTGGCATATTATTGTTGGCAAAATACTACACTCTTGTACCTTCTTTCAGTTTGGTATATGATATATCGTATATCCAGTGCTCTGTAGATAGCTCGTTTTGTGCTCTGAGCTGGAACAATGTGCTGTGGTGTTCAAAGACGTGCATATTGTTGTTCCAGCCATGATTCATTGTTTGATATCAAGAATTTTTGATAATATATTTGGCGTTTGAATGGAATCGTGTTTGCGTCTGTTTACGAGTATTCATAATCACAAGGCATTCATTTTTCTCGTGCCAAGGCCAGCAGTATTAGGAGGCAAGATAGGCGCGAGACGATTGGCTCACTTCTGACTGACACATTGTACTTGCATTATTGTCCTTTGCAAGCTTGTATCTCTTGCAACCAAAGCTGGGTGAGTGCACAAGAAAAACCAAACAAGCAAAACGAGCTGATTAAAGGCCAATGCTCCTTCTTTGTATTTGCCTATTTTCAATTCAGATATCTGACAAGTTCTCATCTCGTTTATTAGGGCTCTCATACACGAAATTCCTCTCCTTGCCATCAACATCAACCAAATCTAAACACCTACCATTCTTCAACACAAGCTCCCACAGCAACAATGACACTCAACCTGGAATTCGGGCCTCTCATAGACATTAACGAGGCATACAAACTCGAAGTGCTCGGTACGCTCAAGGCCATGCAACTATAGCTTCTTGCTATTTCGCTTTTTTGCCAAATAACTTCCACCACCACACACATCAGGCTACCCCCCCTCGGAAGCTGCTACCCTTCCCAAAATGACATACCGAAACACGATCGCCCCGCACCTCCAACTAGGAGCCTACCTTCTCCCTTCGAGGCAACTAGTAGGCTTCATCGAAGCAACATCATCATCCGACACACACCTATCGCATGACTCCATGGACGTGCATGTACCAGAGGGAAAGACAATATGTATCCATTCCGTATGCGTGGATCCGCAGTTTAGGAGGCAGGGTGTGGCCTTGCGGTTGTTGAAGGAGTATGTTGGACGGGTCAAGGAGTATGGAGATAGGATTGCGTTGATTTCGCATGAGGAGCTCGCGCCGCTGTATGAGAAGGGCGGATTTGTGATGGTTGGGGAGAGTGGTGTTGTGCATGGTGAGTGATATTGATGTTGACGAAAAAAACAAGACAAAAGGCTGTCGCATTTACTTGAAGCAACTTTTCTAGGACCCGAACCATGGTATGAGTTGCAATTGGAACTCTAATATGCGGTGGTGGTGACTACATTGTGGATGATATTTGGGCATTTGTGGATATCCAACTAGAAAGCAGGAAATTGGCTGAACCGCAAGAATCCTTATGCCTCTTTTTGATTATGTTTTATTAAATTGATACACGCTTGGTGGGAAAATGAACGTGTGATTCGTATATAAGTGGCAGTGACAGAATCTTTGACATCAAGCAACAAAAACGCAGAAGAACTCTTGGTGTTAAGTGTTAATTCATTTTTGGTCACTAATAACGCGTCTCCGTGCTATTATTCCCCTCCATTGGTTGGTAACTTGCTTGTTCTGTCATGTCGACTGCGTTTCGGGTGAGTTGTATGCACGCATGCTGTACATCTCAAACGCATCACACGATCACAATCACCTCATCACGAGCAGCAACTATATTATATTATATAATACACAGATATGAATGGCCGAGTACGCAATCCACAGCCATATCCAGCGCACTATCACGAGATCCTGAAATATGCCTTGCCTTGTGTACAGGAGGACGACGATAGTGGCGATATATCACGAACTGCAAACTCGATCTCGTCACTGATCTCATCCGACGCTACAAAGAAGAAGACCGTCAAGAAGCCAGTCGTTAGAGTTGCTGCAGCACCACGTCCAACCGTTGCTGCTGCTCAAACTGCTCAAACTCCCATTAAAACCACAGAGCCAACAATCAGGGTATAAATATGGAACCGGCAAGAGCAGAAGGCCACGTATTCTAACACTTATATACATGTAGATGGACTTTTCAGACGTCCCAGAGGACGCCCTTCTCCGCTACACATCCACATACATAAAGTCCAAAGTCTCGGCAAAGCAATCGAGAGACGAGCTAGTCGACTTATGCAACAGGCATCACGCATCTACAAAGGACCTCAACGAAACGGACGCAATATCCTTCTTTCTCTACAAGCTTAGGAATCAAGGTACGTGTTGTTGCTTGTAACATTTACAGCGCAAAGCTATTATTACAACTGCTAACACCCTACACTTAGACAATATCCTAAAACTGCCTCCCAAAATGATGGAGCCGGCTAGCATGCATCCATCGAATGGTAAACTCGGGAGGAATAACAGCAACCAGTACTCGCCACAATCACATCACAACCAAGTATATCACCACCACCAACAGCAGCAGCAGCTCCCAGACCTGTATACGCTTTTCAGGCCACAATATTCAGCGTTTGGACATGACGACAGGATTAATTATGAGATACTTGTGGGCGTTATTACGAGTTCACATCTGGGTATGTATTGGCTGCTTGTTGTCGTTCGGTTGTTCTTGCACCTGTGTTACAAACACTCTATTACACAACAGAACAAGCATTCAAACTCTACCTATTGGACGATCTCCCCGCCGCATCAACACATCTTGTATTCTGCCTGAGTGATGAGCGCAACGCTTCACTGCTACGAAAATACTTGGAGGACTCGTATACGCGATTCTTGGCTCGTAGTAACCGGTAACACCGGGCGGAACATATGTGTATATACTTGCTTTAGCTGGGATATTCTTCAACTCTGACTTTGCACTTGTATCTAGTTTGTTTTGTACGCACTAGCACTAAAGTTAGCATCTTGTAGTATAAAAGATATATATAAGACGTCATGTACGTGTAAAATACAGCTCTAATTCTACGTCGCGGTTTGGTGGAAGTCATCAGGGTGGTCAGGAAGACGTTTAAGGCATCGATTCAGTGAAATCCTCAATTTCGGAAGGGGATGTCCTGCGGGTAGGCATCCAGGTGAGCAAACAAGCTGAATTATCGTTTCGCATCGCACATATTGTTTCATATATATTCTGAATCTTGCTCTCTCTACTAGACTGTTGGGAATTGTGTCTGCATTTATCAGACAAAAAACCCAAAACACGCAAATGAGCACTCCAGCTCCACAACCAGCTGAAAATGTCTGCAAGACATCACCTGACTCTACAGACGTCAACGTCAGCGCCTCTGATCTCCCAGCCCTCCCCAAACAGGCATCAAGACCACAAACGGCACGAGCATCAACCACAACTATGGGATCAATGAGCAACCTCGCTTCCACAAACATTGTGGCTGTAACCGCTGAACGTGACGCGCTAGCACGCAGTATTGTGGCCCTTACAGATGAGAAACGGGGACTGGTTGAACGTATGAATTCGAGCGAGAGGGCTATTCAGAGCTTTATGGATTTGTTGAGTAGGGCGGTTGGGGATGCTGATGATGTGAGTTATCATATGCTATCCTGTGTTTGGTTGTGGTTTTGTGGAGCGTCCTTTATTTATTGATGAGTTTCTTTTTGTGGCATTCAAACACTTTTACTGACAACCCCGGTTTTTTGTGTAGACGGCAAACCTACAATCTGTAGCCAAAACTGTAATCCAGTCCGTGCTCGCAATCCTCCCCAACCTAAAAGTCGAAACCCCGTCTACCGACACGTACGCTGCTTCACCGTCGACCCAGGCAATGCAGAATTTCTTATCGACCAATGGTTCCAAAAAGACATTGCCTACGCTGCATGTTGATGGAGGCGCTATTCCAGCTGCTGTGCTGGATATCTTTCCTGTTTTTAGAGGTATGTGTTGATAGCTTGACGTGGTTTCTTTTGCGAGTTTGAGGATTTTTTGGAACTGACACTATCAATTTGAATAGATTTCCCGGCTGAGGTTAGAGAAGATCTTGTATTCGCTGCTTACGAGTTGAGGAGACGACAGGGACAAGGGATTGTGAGGATTGGGGATGTGGGTGCTGAGATGTTTTTTGTTATGCGTGGAGAGGTAAGCAAAATTGAAGATGCAATGTCGTAAGGTGGCGTATTTTGGCTCTTATTTTCAAACTCTTGACTCTCAAAAAAGCAAGCTACCATTGAAGAACAATACTGAACGTAACTCACACCACACACACAAACACATCAGGTCTGCATCATGGACGGCGACTCTGAAGTCTCATCCCTCGGCAGCAACACCTTCTTTGGCGAGCTAGGCGTCCTTTTCAACACCACCCGCACCGCATCCGTCCAAGCCAAAACCGACTGTGTCCTCATCGTACTGACAAAACAAAAAATCGAGCAAGCAGTCTCCAACTACCCCGACCTGCAACAAAAACTCCGTCACATGGCCGACGAGAAGGGAACCTGGTGGACTACTCAAAAATACCGTCCATTCGGCAACAAGTTTGGTGGTGAATTCGTGCTTGATGTCGCACGACGCAATTTACGTAAAGTGTCGCTATTCGCTGATGCCGATGACACGTTTTTGGATAAACTGAGTCTCAAGATGCAGAGTATCGTGTACAAGCCGGCAGATTTGATTATTGAAAAGGATTCCTTGTCGGATGCGATCTTCTTTGTGGTGTCGGGAACAGTCCATGTCCTTGGTGACGATGCGGTTACTGTGCATGCTCAGATGTCGTCTGGGTCCTTCTTTGGAGAGGTCGGTGTGCTGCTACATGTGCGCCGTACGGCTAGTATTGTTGCTAAAGATGAATGCTCGGTGCTCAAGTTGCTGAAGGCGGATGTCGATGAGCTGTGTTTGAGTAATGTGGAGATGAAGAGGCGGATTGAGGAGGTTGCTAATGAGAGATATCATTTGTTTATGGGGAGGAGCCATAGTCAGTTGGATGCTAGTAGTGCTACTGCACGTGCCAATGATGAACAGAGGAGTATCTCGACTAATGGGATACCGGAGCAGTTCCACGTTGAGATGAATATTCAGAATCTTAAAAAGGTATGTTTGGGTTTGTTCGTTGCCGATTTCGTCGCGTCTTGTTAAAAGTACGTTGTTGATCACCTTAACACTCACGTCTTTACACACACACAGCTGGAACTATTCATGGAATGCGAAGAACACATTGTCGACGAGCTCGCCCTCAAAATGACTCAAAAAACCTGGAACGCCAACGACCGCATCATCAACTGTGGCGATAATGCCGACGGAATGTACTTTATCGCCATTGGAGAAATCAACATCATATCAGAGTTTGGCCAGCTGCTAGATTTCGGCAAGATTGAATATGTCGGTGAAGTCGCCATCTTGGAAGATGTGCCCAGAACTGCTACCATTGAAGCTATTACAGAGGTGTCGACTTTCGAATTGAAGAGACAGGATGTCAAGGATTGTATTGCCAAGTACCCAGCATTTGCGAAACATATTGAGGAGACTGCCAGGAAGAGGTTGCAGAGTTATTTGATGCGTAATGTGCTGGCTTAGGATTGGTTTATTGAGGAGTGACAACAAGACGTTTACAGGAAACCACATATATAGTAGAGTCTGCATTGAAATTCGAAAACAAGTGACGAATTAAATAGTAAAACGTAAGAATTGGTTTGTTTGCAAACACGTGTCGAAGATTACATTCGCGTTGAGCAGGACACATCACAAAAGCCAAATCATCAAACCATTACGTAGCAGCTTATGTTTTCCAACTTTAAGCTTAACAAAAACCAAGCGTGGCAACAAGTTTGACCTTCTCCTCGTTCTTGATCTCCCTCCTCCCCTTCACTCACACCAAAAACAACAAAGATGACCCAGTCAGGAGTCGAATTCATGGGCGTCGACCTCAAGGACATCGAGTCCACCTCGATACCCTCACTACCACCGACCTACGACACGCTCACCACCGAACTTGCCTTCATAAAACAAGAAAACGCAATGCTCCTCTCCCGTTCTCGCATCCACGAAGATCTAAGAGCCACACTCGTAACTGCTCTAGAACAGAACGAGCAGAATACGCGGAAATTGAGAGAGTTGGCTTCTCAGGTATGCTCGATCTATTCAAATCTATTCTAGATCAGTTTGGGTGCAAACACATTTTATGTTAGTTATTGGAAGTACTCTCATCAGCAGAAGCATCAAACGCCGTGCTTGTATCGCGGCTGAATACCGCTGTGGCCCCGGCTGTGAAGGTGCAGTCGGTGCATAGCAGTTTCGCGTATCTCGCGTCGGGTGCAAGTACAGTCAATAATCATGCAGTGCATAGTGTTGAGGTGGAGGCACGTGTTGGGGCTGGCAACAGCAAGAGTAGTGCTGGGAATAATAGTATTGGTAGTGGTGGTAGTAGTACGGGACAGGAGAATCAGACATCGCTGACGTCGACTTTGCTGGATTCGTGTGCGCTTGTAAGTGTGTGATGAAGCATTTGTGCGGATTGACAGCGTTGTTTATTGCTTATTATTATATATTACAAACTATGCATATATTAACAAATATCTCTCTCCCTCTTCCCACTACATCTATATCTTATAGCTAGCAGACCTCTCTCAAGACTGCAAAGACCGCATCATAAACGGCTCCTACGAGCTCCGTCGTCGTGCCGGCCAATACATTCTCGAGGAGGGCGACGCAGCAGCCGAAATGTTTTTCGTGCTTGAAGGATCTGTGGTCGTCCTTGCCAAGAACGAGGAAATATCTACACTGTCAAAGGGTACCTTCTTTGGTAAGATTGGATTGCTTCTGTCTTTATGAATTAGTTGGATTTTGATCGAAATGACGAAATAGGTGAAATCGGAATGCTATTTGGCACGCCGCGCACGGCTAGTATACAGGCCAAGACAGACTGTATATTGGTGGTTGTTACAAGACAAAAGGTCGAGGATGCGCTCAGCAAGTACCCAGAGATGAGAGGGCGGGTGCAAGAGTTTACGGAAAAGAAGGCCGAGTGGTGGGAAAAGCAGAAATATCGGGATAGCAATATGAAGTTTGGTGCAGAGTTTTTGGGGGATATATCGAGGAAGGATATTAGAAAGGTATGTGTTGTGGTGGTTTACACCCCCCAAGAAAACACCCAATATTTCGGTATGAATACTGGTTAACCTAGCACTAACACTCTTTATACCTTGTTAGCTGGCCCTCTTCAAAAACGTCGAAGAAGAAATCGTAGACCGCCTCGCAATGACCATGATCCCCGAAGTATACAAGAAATCCGACATTATAATCCAAAAAGATACCGACGCAGACTGTATTTTCTTTATCGTGCGCGGGACCGTCGAAACACTAGGCGAAGACGGATCCGTCGTATCTGAAATGAAGTCTGGACAATTCTTTGGCGAGATTGGTATCCTGCTCGCTGTTAAACGAACCGCTACCGTACGAGCCAAGGAGACTGTCTTTTCGCTGAAACTCAGTAAAGCGAATTTGGATGATGTGTGTAGTGGGTATGAGGATATGAGGCTTGCTATTGAAGCTGTGGCCAAGGAGAGGCAGAATCTGATGACCAAGGCTACGAATGCTACGGGTGAGGCGCTGGATAGCTTTGCGTTGGAGGTTAATACGCAGAATCTTAGGATGGTATGTGTTGCGGGCGAAAAAACAGCATTTCCATAATCACACGTGATGGAATAATACTCACTGCATACCTGTTGCATCATACTAGTTGGAGATATTTAAGGATCTCGAAGAGCCTATACTGCAGGACCTGGCATTGAGCATGAGCTTCGCTGCGTGGAGTCCTGGTGAATACATTATACGGGCTGGTGAAAACGCTTTAGGGTATGTGGCGGTTTGCGAGAGATCTTCAAAGTCGCAATCGGTTGTTCTTCTATATTCTCTGGCTGTTTTGGCTGAAATGCCAGGTCACTAACCCACCAAAACAAACCACAACCTCTTATGACATACAGAATGTACTTTCTCGCAACGGGCCAAATCGAAGTATTCTCCGAATTCGACCAGCTCATCGACACCGCTTCGGGACCTGGAGCTTATTTCGGTGAAGTAGCCATGATTCAGGACGTGCCAAGAACAGCATCAGTTAAAGCAAAGACGAAATGCTGTACATATGATTTGAAGAGGAGTGATGTGCAGAGGGCTATGGGGCTTTATCCGAGTATAAAGGCCAGGATTGAGGAGACCGCGAGGGATCGGTTGCAGGCTTATTTAATGAGGAATGTGCTGGCGTGAGATGAATGTTGGATGGTAGAGAGGTGGAGGTTTTTGATACCTGTAATTTTTGCTGCATTTTTAAAATACATCAAGTGTTATGAGGTTGATGGTGTTTCGTGATGATGCTCGCCCGGAACAAGGAATGGAATCCCACTGGTATTGAAGTTGAGTGCAAAGTCTATAACGGGCAGTTCGAATGCTCTCCAACCGTCCTAGCTACTTGGAGCTCGAGCTCAACTGAGGAAACTGGCAGGAGATTGTAACCACGTCGATTGTGAAAATGTTGGCATTTCATTTTATTTTCCTCCCAACGGCCTCTTTGACCAAGTTTGCGCCCTCGCTAAAGTCGCCACCCCTACAAGCAATGCCATCATTCTGCATTCGTCTTTAAAATGGCTGTTTCTCAAGCAACAAAGGCCACATCAACTGCTGCTGCGTGTATTGCAAAACAATCACGACTGCAACAAGAAGCTGTCTTTTCATTCAGACTAACCAAAGCTATATTAAATGAATTCTTGTAAAAGAGACGAATTAAGACAAGGTTCCGTATCAACCACCATTCAAACAAAGTAACAGAAATACTAAAAGGATGTATAACACTAATTCACGGACGTAGACCCCTCACAGTTCAACCTAGTCTCTTATCGGGCCTTGTAGGTTCGACTGACAAGAATTCCAATATATCCAAGCGTCCAATGAATAACAAAAAATAGGAATGCATATCCATAAGATGTCGCGTTGGCGTTTGGAGAGTTGGGGTTGACATTGTATATAGACTCGATGAATGAGTCTGCTGATGGAACGGCACTACCAAAGAAACTTGTGTAAGATTCCAAGACTTCAGTGGCACCAGCACAAAAAACTCTCTGCCACATCACGTACCAATACGACAAGTCAGGGTATACAGCAAACGGCGCCTTTGCCAATACAGAAGCGCCATCCCATAACCCAATAGCACCAGCATAAGTTACTTGTCCAGTCAATGTAGCTGCACTTGATCCAGCAGGGAGATATGGAAGAGCCTGCACGAATGCCGCACCTTCATTCGTTGCTACTGTTGTGAATACTGAGGCCGGAATGGCACCTGCAGCTACGTATGGAGCTAAGACGGATGTGTTTACGGCACTGAGACTTTGGATGTATCCGAGTTGAGTCTAGTCATAGGTACAATCATTATCAGTATTTTTTTTGGTAGTCTCAACTGCAAAAAAATTCAATGGAAAGGGAGTCTATACCTTGACAAAGGCATAGTTTGTTGCATTAGCTGCTAAGTCTCTTGTTATGGTCGAGTTCAATGAGGCGCCGACACTTGCGTCAATGATCGGGATGATACCGTTCATTGGCAGTGGGATGATGGATGTTGGATCGCAAATCAACACATAGCCTCGTGTAGTTTGGTATAGCAAGTATTGTACCTGTATAAAGTAAGAGCAATTCAGATACAGTCGTGGCAAGGGCTTTTTTCGGGTTCACATTCATGCTCAGACAAAAACTTACAGTCCATCTCCAGTACGAAATGTAGGGTATCCAAGCTAGTACTGGACTCAATTGCTGGTTTCCGGATTGTCCACCTTAGGTTGTAAAGGAGAAAAGAGTCATTCATTGCATCATGATGATGACAATAAATCTCAACAATGACGACCAAGCAATGATGAAGATCCAAAACAAATTCAAAAGCATTACGAGAGAACAGGTATTGCGGTGCTCACCTGAGAACAAGAATAATACCAAGCCGTAGCTTATCAGAGCGGTGTACGCCTGGACCAAAGTCTTTGACCAAGCTGAGATCATTTGAGTTGATGCAGTAGAGATCCATGATTGCATAATCAGCATGGCAATGAAGAGACCTGTAAAGAAAAATTGGTAACAAGTTAGTAACTAATCACGTGATTATGTTCTGAACTACAAACCAGTCGTTCGAAAGGCAATATTTCATGGTTTCATGCAATGCACCTCACCAAAATACGTGGGATTCAATTGTGCCATGTAAAACACAATCGTAGCTTGAATCAAAGTGACCACCATGGTAACCGTGTTTTCGACCAGCGAGTAGGCAAGATAATATGGCATGGGAGAGTAGAAAGCCGAAGCCGTTTCTTGAATATATAAAGCTCTGTCTTCCAAGAATTGTGGAATGGCCGCTCCAGCAGTGAATGCTGGCAAGAAAGCGAGCGCCGACACAAGAGAAGTAGCATTACGAAGTCCACCAATAGAATGATCTGAAGACACCCTCCAGAAGATGGCACCAAAGATGAGGGATATGCAGGAGGATACAAATACACGTCCAAATGAGGTAGATGGATTCCGTCTGTATCGTTGTATAGTTCGGACCAAGTTGAGGTAGAATTGTCTGAATACCGTGGTCTCATACAAGTTGTCTGAGAAGTCGAGCTGTGGCAGAGATTGACCTGAGCTCGCCAAGATGAGATTCTTTAGTGTGGCATCGTTGGCTTGGCCGACTGCTGATGAAGCATAGTAGGAGGCGGAATCTAGCGGTGCAGCTGCGATTACATCCAGATAGTGTTCGATGGCGTTGGTGAGCTCTGGGACTGGGTGGCCCATTGTAGCGTAGAATTCTCTTGCTGCTGGGATAGGACCAAAGTAGCATGTTCTGCCAGCTCCAAGAAGTAGACAAGAGTCGAAGAGGTTGAAGACGGCTTCACTGGGTTGATGACTGATCGATGTGGTGAAAGACTCTGTGAGAAACGTAAATAGAGGGACTAAAAAACAGTGGAAACACTCACATAACAGTGACGACAGTAACGTTCTCGGCCTTTACATATTGCAAGACCAGCTGCATGGTGAATTTTGCACCATCTAAAGTAAATAAAGAGTAAGACAACGCGACAAACTAGATACAAATTGATTGCTTACAATCATCTAGTCCAGACGTCGGCTCGTCCAAGAACATTACTCGTGGCGAAGCAACCATTTCAGTTGCGATTTCCGTACGTTTCTTTTCACCAGTCGAGACACCACGAACCAACTCGTCGCCAATATAAGTATCAGCGATATGGCTCAACCTCAATTGTTGCAGTACTTGATCAACACGGGCTCTATGTTCAGCATCTGTCGTACCGCGAGGCATTCGACAACGAGCAGCAAACAAGACCGTTTCTGAGACAGTCATGGTTGGTACGTGAGCCATGTCGTAAGTGACGTATCCAGCCCTCATTCTGAAGAAACGGTCTGGGCGTTTGCCGTTCACGAGGTATGTTCCGCCTACTTTGCCCACATTTTTGCGTCCAGAGAGAATGTCGACCAAAGTAGTTTTCCCTGCTCCAGATGCTGCCCGAGGACGCGGATAATATTAGTTCCAAGATTCAAACTTCAAGATTCAAACTCTTGGTGGCAACAATGTTTGACGCTTAAATAACGTTTTCAAGGCTTACCACCAAGCACAGCAAGCGACGTCCCTGGTTCGACATACCCAGACGCACTCTCAAGAGCTGCCACAACAGTACGATTGAATATCGAGCCAGAATTTACATGGCACGAGATGTTTTCAAAGGTGAGTGTGTATCTAACGAAAGATGCAAGTTAGTAAAAAACAACCTGGGGCGGATATCAAAAAAAACAAATTTTATGAAAGTATTATAGTTGAAAATCATAATGCGTTAGGATTCGTTGCGTGATGCCTCTCCCCCACGGATCTCCAGACAAAACACACTGAAACACGTGCATTGCAGCAATTCCACCGACAAATTTCAATGAAGCTAGACCCACCCATGAAGCTGTTTAGAAGTCTCTGTAATCCCAATACTCTTCTTTTCTCCCATGATGTTCCTCTTATGCGTGATTAATTATAGTTTTGATTTGATGCCTTCAGGATGGAGTTCAGGCAGATAGTAATTTGGCCTCCAGGATCACACGACGACCAGAGCCATTATCCCTTTGTGTTCCCCTTTGATTGTTCCGAGTGTCACTAAAGTCACTGCTTTTTCCCTTTTGTTGACGTGAGGGAATGGCGATGCAAAATCCCAGACACGAGGTTTCGTTAGCAACATAACAAGGATCAAGAGAATTTAAATTCAAAACAAGGTGAGTAAATTGGGATTCTGTGCTGCGTTCTGTTTAGATCAAAGTCGACGTGATCTGGGTCAGAAAGGTTTGAATTCAGAAAATCATGGGGGATGGTGGAGTGTTTGAGGTCTTTTTCAAAGAATGGCCGACTTAGAGATTGCTCATATCAAGATAGTGTTGTGAGGGTGAAGAAAAAGAGATTCCTTTTGAATTATGTATGTTGTATTCTTCTGATACGCTCAAATCAGAGCGACCGATATCAACTTTACGGTGTTTTTCAGCTTTTCGTGCTTTTTGAAGAAACGTGACAAACCGCATATTTACTGATTTAAACGCATTCAACACCTATAGAAACGAAATCAAGCAATGGCGGAGACGTCAGTCAAGATTAGCTTCATTGAGAAGAATATGCCGGTACGTTATTTATGTTTGTTAATTCCTTCACTTTAAGAGTCAAAACATAATCACTAAATCGCCTTAAACAATAAGTCATATTTTTCATTCAGCAACATAACCGCAGCCGTAAAATACAAGGGTACTCAAAAGGAATTACTTAAAGGTGTTTCTGGGTTCGTAAAGCCTGGAGAGTCACTCGCAATTATGGGTCCTTCTGGCGCAGGAAAGACCACATTACTCGATGTCCTCTCGTATCGTAAATCAGTCGGAACATGGTCTGATGACATACATTTAAACGGTGTTAAGCTCAAGAAGGAGGCTTTCATCAAGAGAGCCGGTTATGTGACATCTGAAGATGTGCAACACCCAGAATTGACTGTGCTCGAGACTTTGAATTTCGCTGCTGCTTTGAGATTGCCGGCTCAGAGCTCTGCAGAGCAAAGAGCACAACGTATTGCTGAGGTTGTTGATGAGATGCATCTTAATGATGTGTTGGGACGTAAAGTTGGGTCGGCGTTGGAACGAGGTTTGTCTACTGGTGAAAGGAAGAGGCTGAATATTGCTTTGGAGTTGATTCCTGTTGCCTCAGTCTTCTTCATGGTAATCCAGACTTCATGATTGGGGATCTGTTGCGTTGGTCGTTGTGAATACTGATCTTATGCCTTCAAATTTCTAGGATGAGCCAACTACTGGTTTAGACTCGAACACCGGTCGTGAAGTCATCTCCTCAATCATGGAGGTTGTCAGAGGTCGTCAACTGGCTTGTATCGCCACAATTCATCAACCCTCGTATTCCATTCTTCGACAATTTGACCGTCTCTTGCTACTCGCTAATGGTGAAGTCGTTTACTTTGGACCGACTGCTGAGGCCATTCCGTACTTTGAGGAACTTAATGTTGCTGTTGTTGGTAACCCAGCAGAGATTTATGCTGAAGTGTGAGTGTTCACCTGCTTGTATCATTCATTACGTTACGATTTTTTTGTGCGTGCAAAACTAATGTAACCAACCTTTCGTGTTTGTCTAGTCTTGCAGCTCAGCCAGACGAATTCATTGCAGCATATGCAAAATCAACCTTGAGAGCATCCAACGAGAAGAAGATTGAAGAAATTCACTCTGGTACAGGTTCAATTGCCAACTTTGTGTCAACCATTGAAGATCCTACTGCTGGTTTCTGGGGATCTCTTGGATTTTGGCAGAATGCTACTGGTTTGAATCAGGCAAGTTCATGTGATTGTGATGACTAAAATGTGTCGCTTTACCAACAATATACCACTCTTGGAAATTTACAGGTCTATCAGCTCATTACACGACAAGTTAAAGTCTACTCTCGTAACCCCATCATGTCATCTGGCCGTTTTATCGGAGGAATTGTCATTGCCTTGTTCTTTGGTGGTGCATTCTTTGGACTCGGAGACAATTACAAGGCATATGGATCCAAGGACTCGTCAATCTTTGCCTTGTCTTTCTTCCCACCATTGTTTGGTGTTGCGTCCATTTCGTACTGTAAGTTGTCGGTGTTGTTGATCCAACAAAACGGCATCATTTCACGTGTTATCGTTGCCCATTCTCAACGATTTCACTTGTTTTCAGGGTTATCAATCCGTAAACTATACTACCAGGAAGTCTCATCAGGCTTTTACAATCCCCTTTTCGCTCATTTTGCCAACTATTTGACTGAGATTGTTTTCATGTCGCTCGTCATTGTATGTGACGACTTTGTGTGTTTTACCTCTGGCATACTCTAGTCTCACTATGGATTTTTTTCCAGACACTCGTTGTCTTTATTCAACTACCAATGGCAAACTTCCATCGCGAGAATTGGGTCTTCATTTGGGGCATGGCTGTTCTGCAAGTGTTTGCTTGCACGGGATACAACATTATGTGCACCAATTTATCGCCTAGTATTCCGTATGCTAACGCCTTCGTGAGTATCCGTCAAAAAAGTCCTCTCGCCATATACTATACTAGACTCAGTCCATATTTTTTGCATTTGATTAAAACTGACTCCCAATCTTCATGCTCACCTAGTTCAACTTGCTGTATTACTACTCTCTAATATTCGATGCATACTATGTCACGGACACGTTTCTATTCAACTCGTGTAGTTCGTGCCAGAACTTTTGGGCTTGGTTGGGCTATGGACGCTCATTATGGTTGGCATCCGTCAGAAAGGAATATGTTGGTACGTGCCTGTGATGATCACTCTCAGTTACAGCTTTTGGTATAAAGCAGCTGAAGAGCAAAAGCGAGCTTGACTGTATCCATTCCATCGATCGCCTTTGTCGTTAACATTCTTCACAACTCAACCCAATTAGGTTATTCATTAACGTGTACTCAAGCCGAGAAGCTACCCATCAACTTGGAAGGTTTGACCAAGACTGCCATCGCGGTAAGGGTTTGCAAACTGATGCTGCACACACAAAAAAAAGTGCCTTCATCAATCTATCGAATTTCATATAGAATGCAACCGTCACTCTGTCACTACAACTGGCATCCGGAAACAAAACCTTGCTCGGTCTAGCCGCTACCAACCCAACGTTATTCTCCTCAACAATCGCCTCTCTATCCTCAAACGCAGCAATCTCTTCAGCAATTGGAGGTGTCATGACGCAATCACTGACGCTTGCAGCAGCAGGTGTGGCTCAAGATCCGACATTTGTGCCATTCTTGAATGCTACTTTGACTGGTTTGGGAACGCAATTTGCTGTCGCTACGGGAGCTACTAGTGCAGCTGCATTATCTGGATACGAGACAATTGCGTATCTGATTTATATCATTCAGACACTCAGTGCTAATGTAGCTGGATTTGGATTGCCTGATAACTCGGTATGCCCTGCGTCATCTGGCACGACGTATCTTATTGGTATTGGTGGTGCTACTATTAATGGTATGTAGTTGATTTCAGTCATCCTTTTTGCTTCCCATATTTTTGGTGATCTCCTAGCATTCCTAAACTACTTCTTACAACTCTAACAGACATTTACGGTATCCCGGATTCCTTCTTCCAAGGAAATTTGGTGATGCTCGCGATGTTGGGATTCACTGTCGGATACTTTGGTCAGTGGATCTAGAAAAACAAACATCGTAGATACATTGATGATTCTAATTGCCTTTTTTCTCTTCTCTATGCAGCCTTGATATGCATCAACTATCGACAACGTTAAGAAGTTATTACTGCTACCACCCCTGTTAGTGTTTCTGGTGTCTGTCTCTCCTTATCGACTTTTTAGTATCATTGTTCTTAATCATTTTAATAATTGAATTTGAAGCTTGAAAAGGATTATTCATCATTTTGGTATGGACTTATTGACTGGTACCTTTGTGATGTCTGCAAAATCAAATAATAGTGGCATAGGTGGAGCAGCTAGTCCTAGTATTGGTTGACTTGCGAGGGCCTGTTTTGGTTGTGGTGCATTTTGAGGGTTGGTATATCAGTGCTTATTAATAACAAGATCTTGACTCAAGGAAGACGGCATTTGGGGTCCATTCTTCCAAGTAAGTTTGGTTGTTGTGCTTCCCATGTTGGAACACTTTGGGGTTGTGAAAGGATCCAAACCACGCTTTGAAGGATTATATGAGCTATTGGCTTATTCTCTTTGTACGGATTTGATTGCATCATGGCCCCTCAACGGTAAAGAACCCTATTCATCACTGTGTGTTGAACTGGGTTGGTGTCGTCGTGTCTGCCTCCCCTATAATCAGTGTGATTAGATCTCGATCACAGTAATATATGAATTTTAGATTTGAAAAAGTCAGTAAGAATGAAGAAACGCGCCGTGCTCTCTGTGAGCAAGCGACCGTTGGCGATGTTTTGACAAGATTTGACGCGAGTAGTGTTTTTGAGCAGTTGGACGTCGTGTTTTACATGATGATTACTAGTACAACGATACAATTACAATACAGTGATGAAATATGCCTCGGCTTTGATAGATTGGGAAGGTTGTTATATATGCAAGTTGATGATGTATTGATGACATCAACTTTGAGCAATGGTTTAGGTATGAGGTTGACGATCAGAGCACTGAGAATGCGTTTTCTACGCGTAAAATAGAGTATTTGATTATGTCATGGTCGATAGTTGTGGATAGTTTTCTATGAAGCTGCAAAGCATGTGCTCTCAACTAAAAGCAAGGCCAGTTCAGAAACAAGCAATTTGGGTATATGAGCGGAAGCGAGGTGAGTGCGAGATATATATCTTTAAATTAAATGCGAGTTATATGCGATGCTCCTCCTTGTCCTTGCTAGGATAGACACACGTCAACAAGTTGGCCGTTTTCCTAACGCAAAGCATTATGTCATAGGCGACCACAGGACTGCTGGATGTGAGTCGATTGCCAGTACGCAACATCGTAGCATCTCCTGAGCCATCCGAATCAGGCAGCCCATCCACCACTCCCACCCAAAAGAGAATATCATTGGCATTCCCTGCAGCTGCCATCTCATCATCCATACTACACCCAGCACACTCACAGGACAATAAGCCAGACAATACAATCTCACATTCAGACATGTCCCCCGCTCCAGTTACCACCCTCCTAGACGACATGGACGAAGACACTGTCATATATGCCAGCACTGATCCATCATCCTCACGTACCGACGATCAGGACTCGGACGAGGACGAATCTTCCACTACAAACATATCTACCGATGATATAAAACCAGCATCTTCAACTAGCACAAGCACTTCCAGTACTGCCATCACTACAAACCCTATACCGCAACAAACAAACGAACCAGCTGGGTATAGACCACCGCACGATCCAAGAGCTGGCTTCTCCATTGGGTTTGCTGAGGATCGGAATAGAAGGCATCGTCGTACCATGGAGGATGCTCATGCCTTTATTTCTAATTTCTTGGATGTGCCCGGTCAAGGTAGAGTGCTTGAATCAGAATCTATAGTTTGTAGCGTGTTTTTAGCTTCCAGCGTTCTCACACATGAACACTCATATCTAGGCTACTTTGCTGTGTTCGATGGACATGCTGGAAAGGGTGCTGCTGAATGGTGTGGACAGCATTTCCACGAGGTAAAAACAACTGGGGTTGCATCATCACTCTTCACGGTATTCAACCGCTCATATTCAACGTTGCATAGACACTACAAGGCCTCCTCCAAAATAGCAGCACAACAATACCCGAAATACTCAACGAGAGCTTTACATCAACCGACAAACAACTCGCAGCACGACCAGGAATGTTTTCAGGATGTACAGCTGCAGTCGCACTCCTTAGAGTCGAAGATTGCGATTTCGAATCATCGTCTGGGTCATTGCAAGATGTGAATATGGATTCGTCTACGACAAGTAGTGGTGGTGATTTGCCGAAAAAAGTGAATGGACAGGCGTCTGTCAAAAGGGTGAGCACAAAAGGCTGTCAGTAGACCTTGCTTATGACTCTAGGAACTCGAGCGTGCGACAACCGGAACTAAATCATCTTTTGCTTCTAGCGAGTATTGTATACAGCTAATGCTGGAGATGCCAGAGTAGTGTTGTGGTAAGTCAACATCAGTCAGTACGATATTCAATATTTCAGACAGTGACATTTTTTCTTTTTGCCTGCAATAGTCGCAATGGTATCGCAGAAAGACTGTCATACGATCACAAGGGCTCGGACTTATCAGAACAGAAGCGCATAACTGAATCTGGTGGATTTGTTCTCAACAATCGTGTCAATGGTATGTTTCTTTGAGGCTCAACCTAGCCAAGAAAGAGCTCCATGTACAATTTAATGATGTTTTTATATTCATAGGTGTACTAGCTGTCACAAGATCGCTCGGTGATGTTGCTATGAAGGAATGGATTATAGGGAATCCGTATACAGTGGAAACACCTATAATTGAGACGGATTCTTTCATGATTGTTGCTTGTGATGGGGTGAGTATTAGCTGAGAGGATGTGTGGTTTAAAAGTGTGTGGATTGAGAAATTATACACGTATCTTTGGAATCTTCTTTTCCGCCATATTTGGATCTCGGAAAGTCTCCCTTTCTTATGACATGGCATTCACTCACACAAACAATTATCATCATTTAATATAGCTATGGGACGTATGTACAGATCAAACTGCAGTCGACCTAGTATTGAACACACTAGATCCACAAAAGGCTGCTGAAGAACTACTAGCCTACGCATTGGAGCACTGGTCGACCGACAATCTGTCTGTGATTGTGATTCGACTGGATCCGAATTGGAAGTATGATTCGCAGCCTGCCAAAGCTATCGTTACGGCTTCAGGACCTATTATTGGCTAACATTAGTCCAGAGTTTGTTGTTTGCTGTTGGAGAGAGGGGAGTGTATGGGAAAGAGGAGAGGGAGGACTTTTTGTTATGTGTGTGTAGTGTGATTGGTGTTGTGTATTTTGTGAAAATCAAAAGAGTCGGAGGGTCTTTCCTCCCTGTTTTTATAATTTGCAAGGATGTTTGCAATCCAAAAAAAATTGATGCCTGAAAGTCTTTTTGTAAACACTACTACCCTTTTTACTCAAAGAACTTTAATTTTTATCCTTTTCAAAGATGGAATACGCAAGTGGACTGTTTGTGGTGTTGACAATTGGCGACAGAAGGGAAGTTGTGTGTCTCTCGATCTCGATTGCACAGGATGTCGGCAGCTCCCCTCGAAACGACCAGGGCGAAAATAACCGTGGTCATACTTGTTTTCAAATCAGACTTGTTTTCTGTTGCATTAACTACTCTACCGAACGTTATGGACGAGACGCTATCGTGTGTGCCAGCACTGATCGATCAACCACACGCACCACTATGTACAATCAAGTGTCGGGTGGACGGATGAATCGCCAACAACGAATGTATCAACTGATCATATCAAAGAATGCTTCCTGTCAACTGGCACTAACGATACGCCACCATATTCTAGAGCTGCTTTCGCCATTGGATTTGCCCAAGATTGGAATTGGAAGAAATCCTCTTGCTTGGCCTTTTGAACGATTTGGGATTGTGTGTGGTCGCAACCAGACATACTGAATGAGTCGTTTCAGCATCAGCGACCCGTTAGTGAGAAACGACTCGCGTGCAGTTGAAGATTATCGGTGTTTCTCTCTCTCATTGCAAGATGCGAGTAGGGGTTTCGTCTATGACATGCATTGGGTGGTGATTTGCTGAATGGAGTCAATGAGCAACCGTTTGTTAAGAAGGTAGGCATAAAAGGGGAGCACGCAAGGTAATCATGACTTTAAATGCTTGACCGTCAGATACGCACACTCGTCCCATCAATCTAACGAGTGTTCTGTACAGGTTAAGTCGTATATGCGAGTATATGCGTCACCACTAAACATCTCCAAAGCCGCTATTCCTTCTTTTCGGATTGAGACTGGACGCCTGACGAGGAAAATGCTGTTCGTTTGATACCTTTCATTTCAATGATCAGTTGTGTTCGTAGCTGACCTTTGCATTTCAAGATCGATTGGCAGTTTAGTGCCATTGTAGGCAAATCTAGTGTGGTGTCTAAACAAGACGGTGCTGGTCGCATCTGATATGCTTTTTTTGTTTAGAATAGTCAAACGGTCTCGCAGAATCACAGGGATACGATTCCAAGCGCTGTGATATATCAGAAACGAAACATTTGGTGTCAACAATTCGTCTTGAAGGGTAAGATGTTTGGATGTTTTTCAAGGAGCAGCGAAAAAACGAAGGAGTACTCAGATCGATTTAATACATCTTGTCAAATTATAAGTGCACCAGTGGTCACAAGGTCGCTCGTTTGATATTGCTATGAAGAAATGCATCTACTTGAAATGGATTCCTTTGGTGTCTCGTCATGGGTAAATGTCAATGCTGGGATGTGTTATCATGGCAGGTACATATTGAAATTGTTTTGTGTCATGCTTTGAAACTCTTCACGGAGTGAACCTCTCATACCTAAAATACATTATCACAAGCCACTGGGACGCATACTCAGACTTTTATAGCATTGATGCACAAAACCTTTTTTTTTGTTCGTGTCTAATTTTCAACCTCTCGCCTATTACTTTCTCACTATTCCTCCTTCTTTTAATCACCTCTATTAGAAATTATCAGCCTATGCAGTGGAGAAATATGCTTTGGCTGATTGTGAATCGAGTAGATCCCAATTCTGAACCTGTCAGAGCTACCGTCACCGCTTCACGAGATAGCATCCGGGAAGATTTGGCCTAATTTTGAAGCATCAAACCGTTGTTGGGAGGCATTGCTGTCTGTGTGGTGGTTGTTGTGCTTTGAACACACCAGGATATCATTTGTTGCCTTTTTGGTAATTGCACCGATGTCGTTGCAAAAGATGGTTACGTTTGTACACGCTACATTAAAAGAACATGATTCATACTTTTCAAAGCGACAACGTCAACAGTTCAGAAGATTTTCGGAAAGAAATGATACATATTTTTGAAGTGAAAGATGCAAAAAACGGATGTGTCATTACTAGGACGAACTCTACAAAAGCATTTCTATATCCTGATTCTCCCCATCATCATTACTCTGTGCCAACTTGACTAGCACAAAGTCCAGAGCATATGTGTTTTCGTTGCATCTAAGTAAATGAAAAGATGAGTAAAGCAAAAAAAGCAGAATTCGCCAATTACAAACACTCACAGTTTCGAAGTACTCTCATACAACCTCCCAATACCCTTCGCCAACCCCCTCAAAACACCTCCAAATTCCGCCACCCTCACTCTCGTATACCTCGCATGACACTGCAGCAGCGCCGTCACAATAGCCAAATGGAACTCGACACGTCCAGACTGTTCCACATACACAACAACAAACCTCAGCAGCCTTTCTAGATATCTAGGCGGCAGTTCAGCAGCAATCAGCTCAATATCCGCACTCGGTATAGCATCATATGCGGTTTTTATGTGTGCGTGTTCACCGAGTCGGAGCGCCGTTACGAGGGCACGCAAGTATTCGTGTTGGGATATATACGTGTGAATTGCTTCGGGCGTTATATCGGTGTCTAGATCGTATGGATCAAATATAAGGGTTTCGTCTAGCGAGTAGAGGAGCAGGCCTTCAGTTGATGCTCCAGCCCAAGATCGGCCTGTTGGAGCAAAGCGGACGCAGCGGGTCCGCGCTTCGGGCCGCGTAGCGCCTCGTAATGACATGTCTCCTTTCGATACACCGGGCATGGAAGCGTCCATCCTGTCTTCTAAATCACTGGCTTCTTCGTCATCGTCCTGTATTAATTCGATTGGTCCAGCTTCAGTCATGTTTTTTGAGTTTAGGAACTCTTGGATGCCGTCCAGTGATAAGTTATGTGATATCTGGAATTTCTCCAGCAGGATTTGCGTTGATGTATCATATATACAGACGTATTTCGAGTTGCCACCTGCGAGGATAGCACTGCCGTCTACAGTATAGCATAACGAAGTGAATGATTTACCAGCTGCGGAGTTACTGGATGTTGTTCGATCTGTTGCTTTACGACCACCTGATATATCACGACGGCCTTCTACAGATCCAACCTGTCTGGCATCAGCTACGTCCCAGAACGATATCTGGCCGTCCAGTGTCGAAGCAGCTAGCTGGCGTCCATCGGGACGATATGCGAGTGCCAGTACTTCAGATTGGTGGTCGAACGACTCTGTCGGCACATTACGTGAGAATACATCCCATAACCTGACTGTTCGATCCCATGAGCAACTGGCTACTCGTCCTTCAATGGGTGAAAATACAAGTCCACTTATAGGACCGGTATGACCACTCAACACGTCTAATAATCTACCAGTGGATACACTCCACACAAACACTTCATACGAGTCTCGGGATCCAGCTACGACGACTTCTCCACTGGGATCAACAGCCAAAGCAGAAAACTGTACAGGATTCGGAGACGTAAACGTCTTGAAATTACGATATCGGATTAAATCAAAAGCTCGTATCGTTCCATCTAACGAAGCTGTAAACACTACTTGTCCAGCTTTGGCGAATTCTACTGCTTCGATTCCAGACGTATGTTCAGTGAATGTTACGTGGCAGAATCCTGTTAAGGTACTCCATATTTTCAGCTTGCCGTCATCACCACCTGTTGCTACGAATTGGCCATCCGGAGAGTATGCTACTGAAGACATGTCATGACGATGGCCCTGCTGTTTGAGGACGTAGGATTCGGATTGCCATTCCCAGACTAGGAGTTGGCCTAGCTTGGAGGAGCCGAATGCGAGCCATTCGCCTGATGGGTTTATGGCTACTGCGTCGATTTTCTTACTCGAGATGCTAATTGTTTCGAGAAGGTTAGTTTCAAAGTGCTGAGAAAGTGGAGGAGAGAAATATATAGTCGCTGAATTTCCACCAGACAGATGTTCGGTTTTTACCGTACCTGAGAGTATGAATATTCGTAAAATCAGGCAATTCCCATAATCCAAACACACCATTCGACAATCCAATCACAAGTATCTGCGATGAAGAATGGAAGGCAGCACTAACTACATTGACTCCACCACCCTGTTTAAAGTAGTGGCGTTCCGATATCCTCCATGTGGCAGATCGTTTGAGGACAGGTCGAGCGACCAGTGGTCGTTCTGGCTTGAGTTTCTTTTTGGCTGGCATCTCTTTATCTCCATTAGCATCATGAGCATTATCAGATGCTGCAGATCCATCGTCCTTCTTCCATATAAACAGTGATCCATCTTTACTGACTGAATATACTGTCGACATATCAGCACCCCACCATGCCCTTAGCACTGAATGTCGATGTCCAGACAGCATAATATGTTTCACATGCTCTTCTCGTCCATGTTCTGATTCCTGCATATTAGGCTCAATCTCATATATACGAACGGTCATATCCTTTGAAGTGGTCAAGATATGGCTTGAATCTGCAGACCAGGATATAGACAAAATGGTATCGTAATGGCCTCCTAGTGTCTTGAAGAGCACAAATGGAGCGAATTCACGAGTGAAGCCTGGAGCTCTCCAGATTTGTAAGAGTTTGCCTATTGTGACTGCAATCCAGCGATTGTCTGGACTAAAGACAATGTCTCGGACGGGGGATTTGAAGTTGAAATGGTGCAGGACTACTTTGCGTGGGAAGTTTACGAGCATTGCTTGGCCATCTAGCAATGCATTTCGTCAGATTCACTCGTTTTTGCACACCTTGGACACGATGTACCTTCATCAACAGTCAAAAGAAGAGCTCCATTAGGCGATAAAGCGATCCTTGATATATTTTTACGGTTTTCGAACGGTAGAGTCAATGACTTGTTCCTGTTTAGTAAGAAACAGACTGAGCTTATGTGTTGATCCAAACATTTTCTGTCAAAAGTCTGATGTTGCCTCATACCCAACCAAATCAAAGACGGTGACTCGATTTCCGACGGGAGATAGAACTGAATTGCCATCAGGAGTGAATAGAAGGTTGCCTTGCTTGTAGACAGTCCCACATAAGTTGGCAATCTGTGATTAAAAAAAGAGGTCGAGTGCAAATATGAAATTAGTCAAGATCGGGGAGAGAAAACAGGTAACAGAATAGATCAAGACTGTACCCTAAAGTCTAGCTTCATGGCTGTCCTATTTGAGTATGAATTCCAGATAGATCTGTCTAATTTGTCGAGCAGAGTCTTTTTTTTTTTTTTAAAGTTCTTAAAAGTCAAGAAAAAGTTCAACGCTCGCTGTGTGCATGGAATCGAGGAAAGAGACACGGTCAAAAGTTCGTATTGTCATGCTCATGTTTTACGAGGCAGTTAACGCCGTACTCGAAAAGAGTGTTTTCTATTCAGGTGTGATTTTCAAGACATCCAGTTTACGACACAGTCACAGCGCCAACGTGACGAGAGGCACCGTGATTGTCTCAAAACCCTAGAATTATTGCACTTTGACGCTCTTCACTTAGAGCGACCGCTTGTATATCATCGAGAATCGCTGCAGTTTTGGTAAGACACAACAAATGTGAGAGCATTTGTGTTTCTTTTCTCTAGTGTACATGTTTTAGAGGCCGTTTTGACCGAGCTTATTTGTTCATAGAGCTTATTTTTGTGGTTTGTTGAGGAGCCGACTAAGAATCTGACAAGGACTTTTACGAGTTAGGTGAGAAGGAGGCAGTCAAATACTTGCTTGCGCTACCGAGCTACCGAGTCTGCTGAGGATGCTAGTGAGTCTTTTTCAGTATTCATAGTGTGGTAAGTGGGCTCTGGTTGAGGCTGCTGCTGAAGTAGTGTCTTCTTCTTCTTGTTGGATTGGTCCTTGTATGCCTGGGTCGTAGATGAGGTGGATGGGAATGGCCTGAAAGAGGGTGACGGTGCGCCAGGCATTGCAGGGGAAGAAGGCAATCATATGAGCAACGAATCCAATGGGAAGAGTCATAAAGTGTTGGCTAAATGGCTGACGGAAACACGACAGATCAATAGCTGCTTCTTCAATTCGAAGTTGTGAAATAGTATATACGCCTTATGGCCCCATCAACTGAACTTCTTTACCCGAAATCAACACCACATACCTGTTGGCTTTTTGGTCTCAACTTATATTCGCAGTACATAAAGCAGGCAGATCGCTTTTCAAATTCCTTCGCTTCAAATTCACATTTCTCATTTAGTCTAATATTTATACACATGTTGAACATTCTCTAATCCAGGTCGAATAGTTGACCACACATCACGGTTCCCAAAAAATGCAACAATATTCAATCACGTTCTTCAAGTACACGAACTCTATCGTGCGAAACCACGTCAAACAATCAATCAGTACGAAGACAAAAAAGATTCAAAAGTACAGAAGAAATTCCTGATCTTTCAGAAACATCCTTCAAATCCCTCCTCAGATACTCGTTTTCGATACACAGCTTTCGCACCCTATCTTCCAGTACTCCAATACGTTATCTTCCAGTACTCCAATACGTGAATCATCACCAGCATCACCATCATTTTTTGTCATCTCTCGGCAACATCGTCAAAGTCCCAGCACTTTCATGATCTTGAGTCGTGTTTTCTTCATTCAATACTGATTTCTTATCATCATCATTGCCATCATTGATTTGCTCTTCTTCAACCGTCACTTCTTCTTGTTTGAATGGTGACGTGGAAGTAGGAGATGAACGTCGTCTCTTGTTCTTCCTCTCTTGTTTAATCATAGATACGCATGATAGGGCAGCAATAGAGTGGTGTTGGAGGGGAGGAAGAGTAGGAGTGCCGAATTTTGCTTTTAGGCGTTGTTTTGAGGGAAAACTCTTAGTTCCAGCTATGACCGTATAGAGTACCGAGAGGTCAAATTGGGTGAATGTCTTGAATTCATGAAAATAGAAACGTTTGAATGACTCGAGTTGCGGTTTGCGCCTAAGTAATGTGTACTGTGAGCATGATGTGATTTTTGATCAAATGTGTGTTGATCATAGATCCAACAAGCCCAATTCATGATGAGATAAAGGAAGCAGCGTTATAATGTCTAAATGAAACCGTGATTTCGAATGAAAACACGTCGTTCAATCGTCTGTCTCATGGCGTCAATATCGCAAACTCCCAAACCAAACGTTGCAACATACCAAAATAAGCTCTACCACGATATGGCCGAATCAGTGCTCGTAGCCAGCACAGCACACAAATTAGAGCAATTCCTGCTGCTGTCCAAGTCAGCCAAAGGAGCCGGATGTGCTAAATTGATCAATGATGCTCTTGCAGCTCCTGGAGTTTATGTCTTTGGTGAATTGCTAGAAATGCAGAATGTTAAAGAGGTGCGTGTACCATAAAATATAGTCGTATTATGTGGGATTTGTTGGTATTGATCCTAGACTCTGTTTTATTTTGGCTGTTTATGAAATCACATTTGACATTTGAGAGCTACATTTGAACAAACTCTTACCATCTATACGTTTACTCTAGTTGAGCGCTCTACCTGATTTCGAGCCACATTATCGATTATTGTCCATCTTTGCGTACGGAACATATCAAGACTACAAAGGTCTCATGTCGATGAAGCTTCAAGAGACAATGTTCATTTTAACACTTCCCCTCCTCTGTTTTTTTTCCTCTCGCAGAGAACGCTGCAACACTACCACCATTGACTCCTACACAAGTGAAGAAGCTCAAGCACCTATCACTCGTCACATTGTCTGAACGCACTCGAGTAAGCTCATTATACAGTACTGTGATATCTTTTTCTTTTGGCTTGTCTTGTTAGATGTTTCCGATACGACATCCGCGCACATTCAATGCACTTCAACCAACGCCCATCGTAATCTCACTCATGTTATAGTCATTGAACTACTCATCCCTCCAAACATACCTCGACATGCCCAACGTCCGAGAACTAGAAGACCTCATCATCGACGCAATCTACAACGACGTCATAAAAGGAAAACTCGATCAAAAAAAGGAAGCCCTCGAAGTCGAATACGCCATGGGTCGTGACCTCCGTCCAAACCAATCGACACTCTTACTCTCGGTGCTCTCAAACTGGATTGCGACATCAGAAGGTCTGCTTACAGCACTAGACAACAAGATGAATAGCATAAATAAGGAAGGACGAGAGTATATGAATGAACGAGAAGAGTGGGACAAGAAGGTGGATGTTATGAAGAGTGAGTTGAAGGCTGCTGGACCGCCCAAGAGGGGAGATGAGTTTGATGGATTCAAGTTTGATGGTGGTGTGGATCGTGATCGAGGCAGGGGAGGAGATTATGGGGGGATGGATTTCATGCCTGAGGAGAGTGGGAGGAGGGCAACTGGCAAGAGGTATGTGTGAGAGATATGTGTTGTAACTTTTATGGTTCATGATGAAATTATTCCATTGGATCATAGGGTTTTTTTGTGCTCGTCGACGAAGGCCACTTACGCTCTGTTCAATTCTTCTCTAGGTCAAACAAAGGTCAACGTTCTATCCGAGATCGACGCTAAGAAACCTGTGTCCATAACATTCCATATCATAACTCGTTGAATCGAATCCCCTTTTGCAAATAGAAGTGTCTTTATGTATAAAAAAGCAATGTTATCTGTGTTTATGTGTAAAGAGCTATACATATTTCGTTCCTTCCCTCCCATTAATACAAACTGCAATCTTCTATTTCTCTTTAATCACCCAAAGCAGCAAGCTGAGCAGCCAGCATTACCTGTAAATCCTGCAACTTGTGTTTGACCTTCCCCTTTTGAGCTTCATTCATTTCCAATCTCTTTACCGTAGATGGCGATTGCGTCGGATCCAGTTCCAGGTACTTGCCATCGTCTAGTATGATTGCGATGGTTAATTCTGTTGAGTGCTGCTTATAGTTGCGGAGTGTTGAGCGTCGAGATATGTCGTCGTCGTCATTGTCGTCATTGAAGGCTTGTTGTGAGTCGAGGTATGAGAGCGGATTGTGTAGTGGAGAGCCGCTAGAAAGACGAGTGCGAGTGAAAAAAAGCAGCCACCAAATTTGTGATCCAACAAACTATGCAACATACTTGACACTAACAACATAGTCCGTCCCCCTCATTCTCCGATGCGGCATATTGGAGCTCGATGATGTGGTTGATGCCATACTGTCCCGTGCGTTGCTGCCACTGTATGTTGTACTGTATGTCGAGTATGATGCATCGGCCAGATAGTCGGATATGGAGGCCGACTGTACATGATCTGGGAGTGAGTCGATGAGAGTGATGTATGTGGCCATGATTTCTTGTTTTATGGTGGATATGCGGGATGTGAGGGTTGAGATGCGGGATTCGACTGTATGTGTTTTATGTTTGTTAGTGATGTGAAAGTAAGATGATGCATAACAATATGGATGTATAACAATATGATCGATGATGATAATAGATGCTGTATTATGTATACCTTGAGAGTCAAACTTGTCGAGAATGTCATGGCCCATCATCTTGGTCGAATGTTTTTGCTGCGATTGTTTTGATGAGGGAGGATGGTATAAGCAGGCAAGCAATAAGAAGGATAGAAATGGGGAATGGATTGTAATAGTAGATCTGTATAGTCAGGCAGGTAGATCGTCGTTGATCTTTGCCTACTCCTATAGCTGGCAGTGATTCTTACAAGGAGCGAAAACAGATATAAGTGCTTCAATGTACAAGTCAAACGTACTAAAATTCCCATCGTTCTAATACCAGATATTATAAAATTGAAATTTGGCCAATTTGGCATGATCTAGCATATTTTTTTTGGCCGATTTTGTCGCGTTTTGTTACGCATTCCCTCTCGCAGCTAGTTCTCAATCAAAACAAGAGTAAATAGTACTTGCCGTATAAAAGCAACATGTAAAATCTATAAAAGTTGATGATTGCTATCTGCTATCTCCTTTGCTAGGTGATCTTGTGGTTTTCGTCAACGCTTATCAAAGAATTAGGCAGTAGTAGTGTTCAGCCAAAACATTTTAATCCCACCAAACCTCAAATTATCAACTGGATTGGCTAGAAGCTCTATCTAACTTGGAACGAGTAATACGGATATGAAGTTCGGAAAGGTATGCATGCAATTCGCTCTAGTTGATATTCGAGTCTATGCGGGCAAACGAGGAATTGGAATGCTGGACGAGCAGAATGATGAGGGAAGTTTGGAGTGGATGTGTGAGGTTTATTAGAGAGTGACATCTGGAGTGTCTGTTTGGGTCTGTGAAATCTTGATGAGGTATCCGGTTTCCGTTGACGTCGTGGTGTTGAATCATATTTGGTGTTGATCGAAGTTCTACGTTTTGTGTGAACATTCGTCGCTTGTGGTGATCTGTGATCTCAAAGAGCTTTCAACTCGAGCTTCGTATGCATCATGATTATGTATTCATCGAATTGTGATCAAGTGCTGCCGGATGCTGTTGAAGCTCTCAACCGACAAAAAAAGTCACATAATCTTAAAACTACGACCACCCATTGATCTAACAACTCTCCTCTCCTCCTATAGTACATCGAAGCCGAATCAGTCCCAGAATGGAAGGCCGCATACCTAGACTACAAGGCCGTAAAGAAACAGCTCAAAGAGCTTCCGTTTCTTCGCCTCCCACCTCCTTCACCTGGTGGTATACACCACAACTCTCTTCGCAGAAATTCAATGTCGCGGTCTGCTACCGAGTTGAGACAGAGAGGGCCTGGGAGTGGTGGTAGTCTTCTTGGTGGGAGTCGACAGACGTCGCCTGGTTGTAAGTCATTAGTGGACTCTTTAGGTTTGTTTTTGGCGGTCTAAGAAGGTGGTTTTAGTAGGACCGTCGGCGCTGCAGAGCGATGAAGAGTTCTTGGCTAGTACATTGAGGTCTAAGAGGAATGAGGAGAAGCTGTTCTTCGCGTTGTTGGATGCTGAGGTTGGAAAGGTGAGTTGGTGGATGGAAGAGGACAGCCTTAATAAAGTCAACTTTAATTCCGATGTAATTCTCTCCCTTTTTTCGCATCTCTGATCTGCTGTTTTGTGGTATAGGCTCAAAAGTTTTATGAAGGTATCGGGACTACAAGAGTTATCACGTTGCCAATTGTGGCATACAATAAACACTGCCTTCTTCCTGTTATCTCTCTGTTCATACTCATACTGACGTTTAACGTTGTCTTTTAAATAGATCGTGAAGCTGAAGCACTTAACAAATACGAAGAAATAGAAGCCCAATGCCGATTCGTAAACTCTGTAGATCCTCCCACACAACCATCCAAACAACCAGTAAAAAAAATCCGTGAGCTACTAAAAACACTAGACGGATACGTAACCGCTAAGGGCAACAACATAATCCACCTAACCAACAAAGACGAAGAACATCCAACCTCCGAAACCCCTCCTGTAACACGAGCAGATGTCAAACGACTCCGTAAAGCTATATTGGAATATTATAGATCACTGTCACTTTTAAAGAACTACCAAACGTTGAATCGAGTGGCACTAGAAAAGTCACTTAAGAAATATGCACGCCATTTCGAAGATTGGGGTGGTCGTGCTGCATATGCTCGTAAAGTGTTGAAGCTATCGCTTTTTGATAAAAAGCACGATGTGGTGCCCAAGATGATTACCAAGACGGAGCAACTGTATGCGAGTACGTTCGCTGATGGGGATAAGAAGCGGGCTATGCAGAGGCTACGGTTGCCTGATTTGAGGAGTCAGCCACATTTACTGCCGACGTGGAGGTCTGGGATTTATCGTACGTGTTGCATAGGTCAATGTTTCGAGAACTTCTTTTGCAGCCTCACTGACTTTTGGTTTTCTTAATATCTGTAGTTGGAATATCACTGGGTCCAATATTCACCACTATTCATAATCTACTGAACAACCAGATAACGTCCAAGGATCCGTACACCATGTTGCAGCTATATGGTGGATTCGCGTGAGTGGTGTAATGTCTCGCGTAGAAGCGTTCGTGACATGATACATTCTGTTTTTTTTGACCCATTGTTTTATTTTCAATAAGGATACCCATACTGGCATCATTGCTATTCTCAATTGATTTATATTACTGGAGTCATGCTAGGATTAACTATGTATTTATCTTTCAACTTGATCCCAGGTACCGAGATTGAACAGAATGCCTAGTCACCTCATTGGAAAAGAGGAAATGACCATCCTCTTGGCCTTAGGAACTTTCTAGTGTTACAAGAATACATTGAAGTGGCCTCCTTCGTAGTCATGATGTGGTCGATATTCTTGTATCTGACCGTCATTGACAATATCTTCCCATTTGTACCGTCTGAGATCTATCCTGTGGTATGTAACATGCGACTGCCAAAGAAACAGGAACTATGAGCAAAGCGAAGAGCTAACTTTCATCGCCGTATCTCCCTCAACTCATTAGATATTCGCAGGCCTAGTAATCCTCATATTTGTAAACCCATTCAACGTGATGCAAAAGACATCACGGTACTGGTTTCTCAGCTCATTGATCCGGATTGTGCTTTCTGGATTATACGAAGTCGAGTTTCGAGATTTCTTTTTGGCTGATCAGTTGAATTCCATGACGTATTTCTTTGTTGGGCTAATGTATTTCGGGTGTGCGTTGCAACATGGGTTGACTGATACAGGTATGCATTTGTGCGCTTATTCAGGTTTGTTTTGAATTACCTTTTTGGATCATCGAATACCAACTGTTCGTCTTTTCTCAGACACATACTGTAACGGCGCATCAAAATCATGGGTCCTCCCTGTGATAGCAGGTTTACCACCATTCTGGCGCCTCATGCAATGCGGTAGACGATTCATCGACTCTGGCGGAAGCGCGCCGCATGCATTGAATGCCATCAAATACATCTTGTCCCTTGCAGTCATTTATCTAGCTACAGCACAGAACATTGAAGGTGATTTATGGTTGCGAGTGCTGTGGATTGTGGTGTCGGCTTGTGCAAGTTTGTACGCTACGGCTTGGGATGTGTTTTGGGACTGGTATGTGGTGTTTGCAGTGTTGGAGCTATTGAGCCAAAATATTGAAATTAATTTTTCTTCGTCTATAGGGGTTTGGGAAAGAATACGGCTGACATGAAGCATCCTTTTTTGAGGAATGATTTGGCGTATCCTTTTATATGGGCAAGTGCATTGAGATTGAGTCTGTTGCATAAGCCCACCAATGTAGTGGGATCTTGTCACATCAGACTGCTTGTTTTGCCCAGTCGATTCGTTAAAGTCTTGCCTTAATTGCTGACACCACTACCTTTTCCATAGCTCTATTATCTCGCTATGCCGTTGGACTTGGTCTTACGTTTTGGTTGGATTATCACTCTGTCTCCTTCGTTCTGGGTGCGGCAGTTTCCAGCACTGGGTTTTGTGCTGGCTATTGTAGAGATTGGAAGGTATGTATAAGTTGACTGGGTTTCGTTTCAGCAGATTATCTGCAGCCTTGCAGTGATTGAAACTAAAACGACAAAGAAAAAAAAAATTATTGGCAAAGATAATCTTCACAAAACACTGAAGCAGCTAAAGCGACACGCACACATCTCCGTCTATAGGAGAACCCTCTGGAACCTCTTCCGCATGGAGAACGAGCACGTAAACAATGTCGGTAACTTTCGTGCCTTCCTCGACATGCCACTACCATTCGAAGCACACGCTCTCCGCCCCTCATTCTCTAATCGGCGGCATCCACTCGAAGTCGAATCTGATCCGGAACCTGAACCTAAGATTCATTTCGCGCCTACGCCTAAAGGGGTGCTGTCTGGACACAGGGCGTTTGATGATATGGAGATGGAGCCGCTTATTTTGGATAATTTTGACGATGAATTGGTCATGGGTGGTAAGAGGAGTCGGACTGTTAGTGAGAAGCAGTTGTAAGGGGACGTTTTTTGGTAGTCAATACAATATTTTGCATTTGTGATGAACCGGATGCTTTGGAGTCATGTTGGTGAATCCTCCGTGACGCCGTTCTCAGAGTTTTCCCGTCCTCGATGACTATGCTCTTAACTGAATGCCCCTGTTATGTGCAGAGACCAATAGGCAACTCAGAGGGCTGAAATGAGTTCTGGTTGTGAGTCAAATATTCGAGATCCAAGAAAAGTTCATCTTTGAATGTGTTGGGCATCAGAGTTGATAGGTGAGTTGGGACGATTTCGGAATGATTCTGGATTTGGAGTCAATGACGGTTTACCTAGGGTTTACACTATTTCGTGTAGCTTTTGAAGCGATGAGCAACAAAAAACCACGATTATGATATATTCAATGGCTCCATGTTGCTGCAAATTTTCTGATTCTAGATTGAAGCTAACCACTTTGTGTTTCCTTCAGATACCCGGTGCAGCTGATGTAATACATGACTACGATGGAGCACGATGCTGTTCCCAGATGATTGCCAATACAGAAGCAGATATTGTACTCAACAGCGGTACTATCCAAGGGCTGGAATACAGCCACAGTTAGAAACCGATATAAACGCATAGACACAAGCTATGACGGATTTTTTGGAATCGGTTGTCAACTGGAATCATCAAGCCTCGTCGACATTGAACCCAATATACAGCCAAAAGCAGTTGATTCATACGAAACACCTCAACGCACATCACTCGCCGCCTGAGTGAAAGGCTTCTCGTCATGCCCTGAGCAAAAATTTATTATGGTGCTGTGTAAATCTATAGAATCTCCATGTTCAACTTGATCACAGTTGGAAGCTCAATAGAGAATTGGCTATCAGGAACTCCTTTGGTAACACGTTGGAAATCGATACATCGACGCTACATCGTTTTGCGATCATCATGTGGTCGCTGATTCCCTTTATCGACTGTCATCTCCTTGTATTGTTGGACGACTTATACTGTGGTATGTGTTCTTGCCAAAAAAAAGGGGTTAATATAAACGAAGGATGGATCGTGATAGCTCCTCCGTCACACTCTCAACACTCTCCTTCAGTTACTCGCTGTTATACTACTTGTTGCCTTGAAACCCCGATTCATCGTCGTGCCAAAGGGCATCACAGTGCTGGATATTTTGGTAAGTGTTTTTGGTTACTAGAGAAATTGGACTTTCTTATCCCTTTTTTAACAAACAAATTGCTATATCTATGTGCTGAGCAATTAGCCCCGTTAGGCATAATGTCGCGGTTTGCTTCGGTTATCACTTTCTGGGTGCAACAGCTTCCATCGTGAGTTTTCTGGTGAGCCATTGTTGAGGTTGGAGGGTGTGTTAACGATCAGTTTGGGTATGCTTGAAAGTCTGGAAATCGAGTCAAATAAGAGAAATTAAAAAAGAGAAATTCGTCAACTGTGATAGACAAAAAAAGCTAGAAACAATCGTTGACGAACATAATGAAGCTAAAACAACTTTTACAATACTTCAATAAAAGAACGCTATGAAATTACTTCCGAATGGAGAAGCCAGCACGTAGACAATATAAGTAGCCTCAGTGGCTTGTCACTAGGATTCGAAGCACATGTGTCAAGGCCATCGTTTTCGAATCCGCCTCCGTCTTGAAGTTGAAGGTTCTGCTTCTGAGCTGCTCCTATAACTCAAGGAGCTGTGTGTCTGGACGTTGAAACTGTCAGGATATGGAGCCTCTGAAGTTGAATGATCCGCCTTACGCGTAGTGAGTGAAGAAGGGTGCGAGAGTAAATAGGAGAAAAGGGACGGTTGTAGCGAGTTTCGAGGTGCAATACAGTTGAAATTATGGTGGTAATTGCATTGAAGAGACAGACAGTTCGAGTCAATTGAAGGCCCATCAGGATCTTTTTTTGTTCTGTCCATTCAGCGTGTTCAGTCAGCCACACCGCGTCAGGATCATCAAATATTAAATACGACGCGATATTAAATGAATTTCTTCTCGTAAGCGCCTTTCATTCAGTTCAGCTTGAACGATTGAGCACCACGAATTCGCAGCATCCAACCATACAACCCAACACAACATATTCAAGCCATTCCACCACGAAAGAACAAGACAGCCATGCTCACCGAACAAGCAGCAGACAGTAGTACATCATCAGGTCCAGCTGTATCGAGTAAAGTCGTGATGCTTGAGACCACGGATAGGTCCCAAATTGCAGTTCCAACGTCTGATCTTATGGCTTGCACCGAGTTATTGCCATTGATCAAACCAAATGAAGTTATAAAGGTCCCGCATATCAGCTCACAGATCTTTTCAATGGGTATGTACTATTGTCATTGATACATTTTGTTTTGTTGGCAGTTGAATGAGGGGGTTGGTTTGCATGGATGAAGGGAGTGGTGGTAGATGCAAAGAATTGGATGATGCCGATGATCATGGATGTATAAAGAGATCTATCCTGATCATTGGTCATCATTCGTATGGTGTTTGTTATGTTCACTGCGCACAGTCATTGAGCTCTGACCCAACGCAAGATGTATGAACTCGTTACTAACCAATACCCTATCGTCATCATCAATCTAATCATACTAGTATTGGCATACTTGCGTCATCACAAGGGTGACACTTTTGACGCTACCAATGTCACTCTAGAAGATGCACGCGATGCAGAAATGATCAACATGAACAATAACGATCTATTGCAAATGACTATGGCTGCTGATATCCTTGGAACTGAGCAGGTAAAGCAATAGCCAATGCAGAAACCTGCTTGCTGCTTTTGTTGTATGCCTCTAACAACATACACCCCTTCGAATACACAGCTCATGGCATTCTTGAACAAACTCATGGGCAAACGAATGGAAGGAAAGACTGAAGATGAAATCCGTAGTATGTTTGATATCGCTTCCATCGGCAAAACCGATGAAGACGCTGGCGCTGAGGGTGTAGAAGGCGGAGATGAGGACTATGAAGAAATGGATGATGATGAAGAGGAAGAGGAGGGTGATGTAATGGATACTGATGAAAAAGTAGACGAGGTAGCTAAATAAGGCTCAACGCACCAAGAATGTCGGTATACCATAAAACACAAAAGAGGCATCAGTTTGTATATTAGGAGAGGACAGAGAGGGACAAGTGTTGTATATCTGTAAAAAGACGTTTATAGAAAACATGAATCAAGGAGGTGCTGGATTTGTTGTACGGTGCAATTCATATGTAGTGAAGGATGATTTTCTTGTTTGTTCATTCTAGCTGGCTTCGATCGATGATCGGACTGGCAGTCAGCACGAGCACGCGTATCCCTCTGATACATTATAGTCGCTCTAGTGGATGCGCAGTACGCGACTGTGCTTTTCTAAGTGCACTCACACTCCCCTCGCAACCATCACCAAGAAGATGAGCGAAGTTATTTCCGTAAAAGTTGTTACCCATCAGAAGGACGCATATCACCTATAGAACTAGTATATAAAGTCATTTAGAATATTGGCTGCTCTTGCTGCCTATCGCATCTAACAGGAACTGACAAAATACAAGGTGAGTGTTGGGAGAGCTCGGTGTGTCTTAACAGATAGTCAGATGGGGATCTAGCGTCATCAAAGCTAACATATGTGTCCCATCTACTAGATCTACTACTACAAGCACTACTCATACATATACGACCAACATCACAACATCAAGAATGTTTCTTAAATCCTTCATACGGTCATCAACCACTACTTCAGCAAGCAAGGGAGGAGCCAACAGCAATCACTCGGAACTCGCCACTCACTCCATCACCCATACTCAATACCCTGTCGATGCTCCTGCTCTGGCTGCTGAACATGCTGAACATAGTAACTACCCTACTTCCTCATACATTCATCACCAGCAAGACAAGATTATAAGCAGAGGTGCAGTAGTGAATATTGATTTGTGTTTGTTGTGTGTTAAGAAAATACCATGATACTCACTCCCATTTTTGTAGAGGACGAGACATTGAGTCGATCGAACTCTGACCTCACATACGATGACACCACAAACAACACACCACCCATACTCCAAAAGAAATCATCCTTCTTCATACCCTCATTCGTCTCAATCACACGCAAGAGATCCATCGAACGAAGGAAACAAATCGAAACCAGGACTGGCGAATGGGATCTAAACGAAATCGTAGTAGACAATGTAGACAAGATGCGTCGTGCCCTCGCCGCGGGATCAATCGACTCGGATGACTCGTCAGACACCCTATCAACATCAGACAACAATAGCAACATTCGCAAAACATCGATAAAATCATCCTCAAGATCTATCAAATCTGTCGAAGAAGACGGTGTGCCTCTTGAAGACATGTCATCATCGCCCTCTACACGTCACGGAAGCGTTGATCTGGGACGCAGCAACAATAACGGATTGATTGTCGGACATGCCCATCGCGGAAGTATTGATATTGGACGTACTGCAAGTGACTCGCTCTCAAACCGTATACATCACCACGCTCATCGAGCCAGCTTGGACTTGTCACGAACCGATATACCTACTTCTTCATATATCAATAGTGCCATGTCATCGGCTACGAGCTTCACTCCTGGACACCATGCTTCCCACCACCAACGGGCTAGTATAGATATGGGTGCGTTTGCTAGTAAGGGAAACAGTTATGCTACGAGTACAAGGAATAATATGATGAATGCTTGGAATACGGATGCCAACCTCGTTGATTCGGATCCTGCTATTGATTCGTTGGTTGCCTCGGTATCGTCTGAATTGGCTAGTTTGAAGACGAGTCAGGTGGAACGACGATAACAAGGGGGGTTTGCATAGATAAATGGACTTTAGCCCTTATTGAAAGAGACCTAGATGTCTTGTTGAACGATAACAACATAATTTGATACCCAGAAAATTCCTCAAGCGTAATGTTAAAACGCACTTGTATAATGAAGACAAGAAAGGTTTAGAATAGAGATCATTGGGAATATGTGAAAAGCAAATCCTTCTAGTCCAGGAGCATTTTTTCCCGCTATGATCAGTTTTTCGAAACAGACAGAAATTGAGCCACACAATCTAGTTGTACATAAAGTGGGTAGTAGTTTCCTTTAATGTACCGCCACCACCTTCTTAATGCTTTCGAGGATGTAAATTAAAAGGAAGGTCTTGGCAATAGCTACCCTTTTGCACGAGTGACAACCTTCCAAAACAGACCCACTCGACACACAATGGTTCGATCAAATGCAAGTTTTTTTATTACCTGTGCATAAATGAAGCAAAAAATTATCTAAATACACTGTTCCGCTCAATGCTTCGGAGGATGCAGGGTAGAAGAAGAAGGCCCTGTTGACTTTTTATTCAACAGATTCTGGAAGAAGGTGGCCAATACTTCATTCTGAGAAGCACCCATTGGTCCACTTGTAGTATTAACCAGATCTGATACAGATGCTGGCACTCTTAAATTTGCTCCTGTTGTTTCACTTTGCTAAAAGGTAGTAAAGGAAAGGTGGTGTGAGGTTGTTGATCTGTGTGGCCAAAAAAAGCTACAATCAGATCTGGGCATAGCAATTGCTTACTTCCGACGATTTCCTTCTACCGAGAGCAGTCTTTTCCTAATCAAAGGTGAAGCCACAGTTGGTCTTTGATTGTTCTCGCAAATATAATATAATATACCATCTGAAAACTTGAGAACGCTAAACTACACTTACAGGCCTCTTTGCCAGCTTTGACAGTCTCACAGACACATCATCCAATGACTCGGATCCCATACCACCATTCCCACTATTCGATGGTTGTTTAGGAAGCAGTCGTCTCGGACTTGGAGGGTCTGCTGAAAGACCACTTGGGGGGAGAGCACTGCTATTGATCGACATTCCGAGTTGGTCTGACAAGCGTTCCAAAAAGACTTGTTCGTCTTCTGCTTCTACTGCAGTGTTTATTGTCAAGACCTAGATGAGAAAGTAAGTGAGCAAAAAACCTGTATTGCTGTTCCAATGAGTTTCCATCACAGCCTCCGTTCCATGACAAGTACCCCAACAATCGCAAAATATCTTCTCCACACTCACACTCCCCATAAATGACTTACGATATCAGAATGAGGCCTCTTAATGACATCCTCATACATCTTTCGAGCGACTCCTTCACCATCTGTTATCGAATCAGCATTAGACAACCCAGCAATACCGGAACAATCAAACGACTCTTTTATAGTCTTGATTTTCCCCCAACTGTCCCATCCACTTGGTATGAAAATCACATCGCGTTCTACTACTTGAGCTTTTACCGGAAAGGATGAGGTTGCTGTGGTGGAAGGTGTCTTTGGCTGTGATTCAAGCTGGTAGAGTATGTAGCTACGTAGGTTGGATAGTGTTTCTGGACGTTGTTTTGATACGTAGAATAGTGATGCTCCGTCTAATTCAAAATTTTGGAACTTGTGAAGCTCTGGCAAAGAAAACAAGCATGAAGGAAATCATACATTTCAAGCATATAGTTCGCAACGTCTGCTGTATGTAATCAAAGGATTCTTCCTTGTAGTCTCGTTCTAGTTTGGTCATGACATCCGCCTAGGTAGTGTGAGAGAGTGTGTTGAGTTTGAACAACAGGAGAACAACAAAAATAAAGAAAAACATTTGTGATGGTTCACCTTGTTGCAAACCACAACTATCGGCACTCCCAAATTCCTCGCTAACGATCCTGGTCCCAATGGCAAGAGTACATTGTGCTGGGAGCTGGTAACTTCACCAGGTTCTGTGTATGATCTTACAGATGTTTCGACTATTGGTTGAGACACGCAATGTTAAAATGCATATAGATTCAATAATCTTTTCGTTTTTGCCAAACGACACGTTACCTTTTTCTCTCAGGTTAGCAAGCAAATCAGGATCATTATACGTCAACTCTTCAATCTCATCTTCAAGCTTGCCCAGCCACGTAAGCAGAGTCTCCACAAAACTCCAAGGTCGAGTCCAGTCCAAGACGAGGACAATCAGCGAGTCGTCGAGCGTTGAGGCTGTCAATCCGAATTTGATGAGGGATCCGTATGCAGCGTGTGTTGCTAGCTGGTATATTCCGACACGGGCTGCTACTTCTGTGAATAGAAAGAAGGGAGTAGTGTAAGTGGTGTGTTTTGTTGAAGGACAGAAGACGGTAGCTTCATCCAAACCAACTCCAATCTAATTCAAATATCATACCATCTTCATCTTTAACATCGAAAAACGTATACGACAATGCCAATTCTGCATTCTCATCGACGTGTTCGGCATGTCGACTTTGAGACGCATCTTGTCTCAAATGTTGGACAATTGTCGTCTTTCCACTCTGTGCATCACCTATTGTGTACAGCAGAGTCAATACATATTGTAATATTAAATCAGAAATTAAATTACGCAATGATCAACTTAAACAGCAAGTACATACCAACGAGCAAAATGTTTCGACTTGGAATGGATTTTGAAGCTAGTGTGCTAGACAGGATGGACGACCATAGTGAATCATCAGGTATTATAGAACTGGTTGATTGAGACTGATGGGTATTGTGATGTACTTTGGCCATTGAGCTTGTTTCTAGTGTCTGAAAGATTTGACATCAAGAATGTTGATGAATGTGCAAATGGCGATGATGGTAAGATGCAAGGGATGACATGGGACATTTTGCTAGTTGCTCCAATTTATACATGATTTACCTGTGGGATCTACCGTGAACTGGACGCGATCAACACGAGAGGGACTAATCGTGATCAACTTATGCCAAAGCTCAACCGTCAAACGCCTCAAAGGCCCTGCTTAGTGTACATTTAGATCCCATTCCATACGCGACTTGTCTTGAACAAACCTTTGCCGTGTTTCCACCACTGTCGTCCTCAAACTGGACAAAGTTGAAACGACAAACTGCGCAACTAGTCTCAAAGTTGGACGACGCGTGTCTCGTCATTTTAAGGAAGAATCTACCCTATATTCGGACCACGGACTGCCATTCCTTTGCACCAGTGGTGGTCTCGCTCGTCAGCTGATTTGGTTCTTTTTTGACATTACATTCGCATAAGTAAGCTATTCAAGTCAAGCTCCATAGGATTTGTTGGCACTGATGGTGGGCAAGGAATGGTACGAGCCTGCTCCGGCCAAGCTAGTAGAATGTGGCAAGGCCCTTGAAATCCAAATCTCGAAATTCAGTCGCAGCTTGCCTGGCCTGCTCTCGTATGGGCAACCTCCCTTCTTCCTCGCCAACCGAAGATGGGGTATCAATGTGAGTTCAATGAAGTGTGCTCGCTAAAGTGCTCCCCTCTCTTGCTGGGTTGCCTGCTTCTTCTAGTTGCAACATTTGTTCATTTTGAAACACCATCAATGTTGACCAACTTTTGCATCAAAACAGGTATATCCCCATGGTCTAAAACCATCTAGTAAAACATATGGCCAGAATGTGGAGGTCTACCTACACATATGGACGGGAACCGCCTCTGAAAACGAACTGCAATTCCGAAACTGGATGGCCATCAATAACGTCAAATTCACAATAACAATCACCGAACCGGCTCCATCGCTGCTAAACGTTGTAAAGACATCCGACGACTGTTTTGTCGATATCGAGAATGAGGCTGGATGGTTTGTCGCAAGCTTTAGAGGCAATCCGAGATTGTTGGACTTGACGAATGACACTTTGGTTATAAGGATTGATTTTAATGGTAGTGGTGGCTTTTATCCCAGTACTCCAGATAGTGGCCTGGTGAAGCAGCCTTCGTTGGGGATACTGGAACGGTTGTTTGATAATCCACCAGTGTCCGATCTAGTGTTTGTTGCAAAGAATGACTCTGAAGGTCGAGAAATTCACGTACAACAATGTGTATTAGAAGGACAGTCTGATATATTAGCCAATCTGATTGCAGAAACTCGTAGAACTAACAATAGTAGCGACAAGCCCAGATTGGTCATTCCAAACGTGGACCACGACACACTGAAGCATCTAATACGCTGCATATACAACGAATACCATCAACCACCAATACCAAATCTATGCCCAATGTACATAGTCGCCGAATCCTTCGCTCTCCCATACTTATCCCGTCGCTTTGGACGATGTATATACCAGCACCTCCCAACTCTGGACTCGGAATCTGAATGTGCGAGCGGCCTATCCGCATTTCGATTACTGAAACAGTATGGATGTGATTCACCATCCCTATCTAATATTTTGGCAGCGCATTGTATACACTCGTGGAACGAACTAAGCCAATCGCCCGAATTCAAAGATTCGTATATCAGGCCTACAGCAGATTCTACTCTAGCTCTAGCAACCTTGCTACGGAGGATGAATGTGGTAAAATCAGCCATGCCTGGAAGCCCGGCACGAGTTGCTGAGAATACAGAAGACTCGACCGGCACGAATCCGTCATTCAAGTTGGATTGGAGACGGTGTATGGCATTTAGAAGTCTGTTGAGCAATCCAGCTGTATCGGATGTCAAGTTTCTTGTTGAGGGGAAGACTATTTACGCTCAGAAAAGGTGATTCTGCTTGTCTCATACCTATCTTTTTTTCGCATTGTCTCCCTAATACCAATACTCCAACAACCACCAACAGCGTGCTCTGTAGTGTCAGTGAATACTTTGCAGCCATGTTTCTGCGGCCATGGCAAGAATCAGTCGCTGAAGATGATGGCCAAACTGTTATTAATGTGCCTGATGTATGACTCCACTACCCATGTGGTTTTGCCCTGACTTTGTGATGAAGTCTTCTCACGGTCTTCTTTCTAGTGTCCATACAAGATATTCCACAACTTGCTGCTCTTCCTGTACATTAACGAACTTGACGGTTGCCATGATTTGAATGAAATGGCAGGTCTTTATGTTATGGCAGATAAATATGGTGTAGGTTGATGTGACTTCAATGCTTTAAAAAGACGACGCTTTTTTGCTAACGTCTCAATCTGCAACAGATATCAGACTTAATGCATCGATGCCGGGAAATGATCTTGGCCACCATCACGCCACTATCAGCTCCATCCCTCCTCTTCACCGTCGCATATAAACATCCTCTGTTACGACGTCTTGTCATGGACTGCATCCTCTCCGAATTCAATATCGTTAAAGCAACTCCCCCCTTTGCAAGCTATATCATGGACGCTTGGAAATCACCTGCGACTGGTTGCACTGAAGGACGTATAGGCCGTAAACTGTATGCAAGTGTAGTGAGTGACATTATTTCCTATATTATGGTCAAGGACTTTGAAACGGTGTATGAGGATATGCCAAAGAGACAAGTAGACAGGGAGGGTGAAGCTGGTTTAGGTGGTGATGATGATGTTGATGAGGACGAGGAAGAGGAGGAGATCGTAGAAGATGAAGCAGAGGAATACCAAGGCGATAATGGTAAAGGACAAGACGACACCAGTCAGGACTTATTGCTTTCTGGACGGTATGAACTCACTCCCGTGCCGCACGACACGTCAGATGATGAAGGCACACAGTATGAGGATGGTGAAAAGTTTCATTCGCCTGAAAAGTCTTGATCTTGTTGGAGAAGACGATAAATATTTTAATATGTGAGTGCGAGGCGTGTGAGGCTTGGAGTGTGGAGCTGCTTTTACAAATCAAGAGGCTAATTTAAATATTCAGAATAATAGATGATTTATACCAAATTCGAGCACGGTGTTGGATCAACCGATGGAGGATGACTCCCTTCGTATTTTATCACGAATTTATTTTTTGTAGGTTTTGTCACTGACGGTCGCCGATTTCGACGAAGCTTGGTGGAAGTCAAGCCAAGGTATATCACACGTTTAGTAGGAACGTTCGGCACCGGACAGTGCTTGCTTTTGCAACACTACTACAAGCAAACAGTCTTCACATGGCTCGCAGGAAGGGCAGTCTAACGTCTCACCTTTCAAACTCCCGGTTGGGCATTCCACTAGACCACGACACAATGACGTATGTATTACGCTGCATTTACAATAATACCATCAACCACCGATACCAAATTGATACAGATGCTAAATTATTCGCCCTGCAGCATCTATCCCGTCGATTCGGAAGATGTATATACCGGCACGTCCCAACACTTAACCCTTGAATGGACTCTATAAGCCCATCATCAGGCTCATGCTGGCTCAAGGAATGAATGTAGCTATATCTGCTATGCCCGGAAGCCCATCACGAGTTGCCGAGTTGGACTAAGGCGTGGACTGCAGAGGTTGTATGGCTCCGCGAAGTTTGTGGAGTAAAAAAAGGTCATTCTTTGGATCCTTATAGCTGTTTGAGCCGGATTTTCTGAATGCATCAAGTTGCTAACACTCAATACTCCAAATTTTTGTGCTTTGCAGTGCCAGTGAGCACTTTGCAGCCATGTTTCTGAAACTATGGTAAGAATCAGTTGCAGGAGGTGATATTCAGACTGTTAGTACCGTTCTTGATGTAATGCGGAAACCATATAATACTTTTTTTGGCTTTTTTTTCTGTGGGATGAACACCTAATCGGTTTATCTTCTTCCTAGTGCCCATACAAGCAACTTCGCAACCCAATCTACATTAATGAACTTTACGAATGCAATTGTATGAATAAGGGCAGGGCTTTACGTTATGGCTCATAATTAGGATAAGCTGATGTGACATGATTCATTTTGCTGGAGGCTTTTTTATCTAACCTCTCATTTTCCCACAGATATCATATATGATGCATTATTGGAGCACTTAATGGATTTAAAGTTCATTTCTAGTGTGTTGTCAGACATTGTGGCAAAGATAGTAGTCACGGATTTTGAAATGAAATATGCACACAGATACTGAAAACGACGAGAACAGAGGGTAAAGTGGATGAAAGAGATAATAGAGAAGAGGAGGGCCCTGTAGAATGTGAAACAGAAGCGTACCAGGACAATGGGCAGACAGTGCCAGTCAAGAACAACTTCCGTCATTGCTGTCTGCACGGCAATACCTCACGCCCGTACCACCCGAGACGTCAGATGACGAAGGCCCACCATAGGACGATGAACAAAAGTTTTGTTCGCCTGAATCGTTTCGAGTGAGCAAACAAGTGTGTAACTGTTGAGTCTTGACGTGTGATCTGGAACAATTAAGGTAGCCAATTATACATATCATTTACTACTCAGAATGTATCGATATACTTTGTCCGGCAAGTTTGCCTCCAAAGCAAGTTTTCGCCTGGTTTAACCAAGTTTCTTAGAACTTGCTGACGTTGTGGGACTTGCATTCTTTCAACAAGCTTGCGATTTACATATTGAGACAATAATATCAACCAAGGGCTATACAGTTCCTTTTAAATCTAGCAGTATGCGTCAAACCTTGTAAAAAGTGGCTGCTTGTGGCAGTGTCCAAAACTAGAAGGCAAAAGTGACACAACATTGGTTCGGCCTCAGTTCTGCCCAAAAGTCTCACAGGAACGAACAAAAAACATGGCCATCAAAACACTCCAGCTGGTAAGCTTCGCATATCTCGTCACCTGCCTCACTCGCCTTCAATTCAACCCCCAAAGCGTCCCAAAAAAATCCGAACCAATCTAACCACCACACAACCACCCGAAATCCTATACTAGGTGTTACTGGCGGTTGCAATCTTGCTTCAAGCCAGCAAAGCTGACCCAATCTCAGCATGTGGCAGTACATACACTGTCGTAACGGGCGACTCGTGCTGGGCAATCGCCCTCGCAAAGGGTTTAGTCGACTACCACGCTTTGGAGGCGTTGAACAATGTTGGCTCTCCATTGGATTGTGATGCACAGTATATTTTCCCTGGTCAGATTCTATGTGTTGCTGCATTGTCGCCGGCTGTTACGTTGTCTGAGAGTGGGCAGTGTGGTGCTGGGCATGGGACGTGTCCAGGTGGTGGGTGCTGTTCGCAGTACTCGTATTGTGGGACTAGTGAGGAGTAAGTTTTGAGCTTTTGGCATTCAGTACGCAAGTAATGGAAGGGCTATTTGAGCTGATGATCTTTTTTTTGGAAAAGTTACTGTGGCACTGGTTGCCAACCTCAGTATGGATTATGCGGTTCTACCATTACTGTAGATCCCAATGATCGTTGTGGAAGTGGATTTGGTACCTCGTGTACTGGTGGTAACTGTTGTTCTCAGGCAAGTTTGTGAAAATCAACTTTTGTGACTGGCAAGAACGTAATACGTTTAGAAAAGATTCTTGCACGTTGTCAGATTATCATACTGACTTTCTTGCCTTTGATTTATAGTACGGATGGTGTGGCACCACGGCTGCTCATTGTGATCCCATCAGCTGTCAAGCCGGTTTTGGCACCTGTGGATTTGGAAATCCTCCTGCTGCTGCAAGCCCCGTTGTTGCAAGCCCCGCTGCTGCCGCTCCTAGCCCAGTCGCATCTCCAGCTGTTGCAGCATCTCCAGCTGTCGTACCATCTCCAGCCATCGCACCAAGCCCAGCTGCAGCTTCACCAGTTCCTTCTTCTGTAGCGTGAGTATATGAATTTCTGAAAACTATCATCAAATATGTTACTTACCCTCTCTATTTTGTCATGGCTGTAGAGCGGCTTGCCCATGTCCTGCTGTATCTGACTTCGGGGGAACTCTTACCGCCAGTTCTGTAACTAACGGGATATCAAATTGTATGTATTCAACCGGGCCTGCCAGTTTCGCCAATGAATCGTTTACTACTTGTGGAGATACCTGTGTTGTAAGTCAATTTGTTGTCACAAGATTTGTGTACTACAACTATGTAGGCCAACAAACCATTGACGCGTTGCTTTGGATATAGGTTTCCAATTATGCAGCCCAGTGCCAGTGGCCCGCCTGTGCTACACCTGCAAACCAACTCTTTTGCCCTACTGAGGACATTGATGGTTTGTAAAATCCACCATTTTTACCAATAGCGCACCCTGATATGAACTTGTCCAATAGGAAACCCGGCCTCTGCACTTTCCATCATCCAACAAGGTCCATTCGTCGGTAGCGTAATGTGTGGCTTCAAAGTACCTAGTGGGAATACCGGTTGTATTTACGATACAACTCCTGGTCATGTTGGACATCTTCAATACGCGCTCGTAAGTGGGCCTAGCTCAACCTGTCCACACGGTCTCAACTGCGTTCCCCAGTAAGTTGCTTGTAAACACTGATTTGTTTGCTTGTTCAGCTACTTGTGTACTAACTTATCTCCACTTCTCCTTAGCACTGACTTGTGTGAAAACGGTGACACCTACAGCTGTCCTGCCGTCGACGCTCAAGGAAACACGTTAGCTTCATTCGTCTTGAACTCAGTTGTGGGACACTGTGTATACAACACTGGCGTACCATTTAACACCTGTTATTATCGAACAAACTTGCCAGTCCTATCGACATCCGATTTCGTATGGTATCAGCCTGGGATTCTCATTGAACAGTATTCTAGCAATCCCTCTACCCACTGCCCTTATAGTCTGAACTGTGTTAGCAGTGCGTAATGACGATATGAATCGACGGATATGACTCCAAAGGAGTCTGAATATTTGTAATTTGTTTTGCTTTACAAGGAAAGTAATGAAATAATATGCTGCAAAGTGCAATGGTTTTGGGATTATTGGAAGGTTGACCAAACAACTTGATTTCAAAACCTCCATAGAAGCTTAAAGAGACTGTTCAATACGATTGAACATCCACAAAACAGTCCAGAATATCAAACAAGAGCTGTATGCGCCTTTGTGCATCAAGCAGCATTCGTTCAGCCACACCCCAAGAGTGGCAGTGCGACTCCTTCTCTGTGTCACTTTAATATTCCTTGGGTTATGCTGGGGGATGTAACCTTATACGCGGTCAAGGCCGACTCTATCAAAGCATGTGGCAACACCCATACCGTCGTGGAAGGAGACTTGTGCTAAGCTGGCATTATTTTGAGATATCGGCTGGAAGGTGTGTTTGTTGAAAGGCTGAACGATAAAGTATAAACGATTGAGTGTCAAGGCAGTGTGAGGGTTCTTTGGTCGCCTTTTCACGAGACCTTAAATAAAGAATCTAAATAGAACAAATACAGGTCAAAAAGACCCCAAAACTTGTACCGTAGTGTACAAAGACGATAACTTAACTCACTATTTTACGCGTCCAACCAATTGTGGTGATTTCTCGATGATATAGAATCGATTGCTTCGAATTGAAGCATCTTAGTCCGGCACGATATAGCGTATTGAGGCTTTCGCGGTGTCTCTCTTCCCTTTGGAGGGCTAACTCTGTTTCAAATGAAGGATTGGAAATCACAAGTCAAACTTGTAACAAACAGTGTTCCCAGTGGCCAGTCGTTGGAGCTTGACTACCCTAGGCTGTCATATTCGTGAGTTAGGTTGCATAAAAGAGCAGATGAGCGTTGTCCTTTTTGGTATCTGCAACGTTTAGGAGGGTTGTCAATTGTCAAATATTGCAGAGTTCCATGCACGCTTACAAAAGCCAACCATTCATTGCTGATCTAGATCCATGGCCCAAATCTATTAACATCGGATATCTTTCGATTTCTCAACATGTTTAAAGGCAAACATTTTAACACGGTGATTCCCGCACTATCAGCTTTGACGTGCAACTTAGAACTCGAATCAAACGAGGACACGCAACCATTCAATACCTCTGGATTATGCAACTTGTATGAACTCATGTTGGCTTGGAATCGTTAGGGAGAAGCTCAACGACATTCTGCGAAACGACATCTGCTTGACGAGCAGTTTTGGCCACCGGTTGCAACATCATTGGCTAGTTCCTCACCGGCAATATCGGATGTAGCATCAGGTCACTTTGATGCGGCAGCTTTATCAAAGGATCCACTGCCATTAGTTTCCATTATTCGTCACTTGAGGAATGCACCAAGCTCTACCGTGTTGATTCCCTCTAGTGGTAATAAAAGTAACAATAATAGTATCGTCCCAGTAAATTCTCCTTCTGTATTAGCAAAAGAGAGGCCATCAGGAGAACATTCGTCGTCAGCCACTCTGACGTCTGAGGCTAGATTTGCTGGCACTGGTATGTTGAGCACAAGGATTAGCAGTATCAGAGGTATCGATGTACTCAAAGAAGGATATGCACGTCTGGTCGCTTCTTCAAAAAGATTTTTGCTTGCACGTTTCTTTAAATTGTTGACGCTGAATCGTTTACCAAAATTCCTGATTGAACGCATTGCGACTATAGCAATACCTACGTCAATACGAAACCCACCATCCTACCAAACCGATTCCACCCTGGCTCACCTCTTTCGCTAAAAGAATTGTGCTTCCACGTGCTGCACCGTGGATTAAAAGAGCGAACGAGAGAGGCTTTCTGTCTTACAGGACCCCAAACGTCATCTGCAACTTAACGACATGATAGACATTATCGCAGAACTGCCCTTCATCGTTAGTCCAGTCAGGGGTAGTGATGCAACTGGTTATGGAACACAGTTGAGGCCCTTTAGAGCTTTAGATCGTGCCTGTGAGGCTGCACGTCATCGCAAAATCTCCTACCGGGATGAGAATGTAGTCAATATATTGCCACCGACGGAATTGTGAATTCATTGAATGCGATGAACCAGGATGTAATACTCTGATATGCAGAAGCCATAGCGACGATGGTATCGCAAAGCTCAACTCTCCCAGCTCTCTGTATGAAGATTTCGACTTTGGGGTGGCCGCGTGTAGTGAAGGGTTTGATTGTCCAGTTTACTGTCGCCAACACAAAGCGGAAATGCTACAGTGTTATGAATGTGAAGAGGAGAATAATGACGAAGGGTGCTATGGTCGTTTATTCAGATATTGTGACGAGCACTTGCTATCATGCCAACCCTGCGAGGCAGTAATGTGTAATGACCAATATGACGTTCACGCTGACAATTGTAACCCTGCTGATTACGACGCAGAGTATAGCTCTGAATATTGGAGGGCCGTCGCCCCCATCAGAGCACGGAATGCCAGCTCTTTGGATTGCTGCCCAAAACGGACATTTAGAAAGGGATGGAGATAGAAAAGGAGTCAAACAATTGGTCTTAAAGGTGAGGGGAGTGTAAAGGCAATTGTTTGTGGACTATAAATTTTTATTGTAATCGCGCGTTTCTGACTTATGAGAAAATAGGCCAAGTTAACAGGTGCCAGTAGTAATGTTAAATCGCCACTCTGGATTGCTTCATTTAATGGTCATGTAGAAGTTGTAAAATACCTGCTAGAAAAGGTGAGTGACTCTCCATATTAAATATCAGGAATGTGTGTTGACAAAATGGCTAATAGGGCGTGAATGCCAACCAAGGCTCAAATGATGGTCGCACGCCACTCTTCAACGCAGCTCAGAACTGCCAACGGAAGGTGATCTTACGCCCTTGTTTGTTGTAGCGATGAATGCACATGCTGAAATAGGCAACTACTTGATTGAACACGTAAGATCTTTTGCTCCCAGTGATTTATTCAATTCAATTCAATATTAAAAATATTTAGCAAATAGGGAGCTCAAGTCAATAAACCGTCTAAAACAGACTTGATTTAGACAAAGGTTGCAACCTGATTGAAGTAGCCCGTGCTAAACCTCTATGGGTGGCCTCATACAACGTTTATTTAGCTACTGTCAGCTCTTTGACTGAAAGCGTAAGACAACCGTTCCAGCTTTCAACAGTTTGGGTCGCTCATCGTGTCAAACTTGAACAGGGAGTCATTCTCAACATTGCCAACCGTTGTGGAGAAACACCAGTTTCTGTTGCTATCTCTCGTGGACACTTCACAGTGGTTGAGCTGAGGTTGTCTCACCGAGCAGATTAAATTCTGTGTCATTGATGATAGTAGTGTAAACAACGTAAAGATGCAAACCTTAAAGTTGACAAACTAAACAAGTCCAAGAAAACACTATTCCAAACTTGATTTCATGCCAGTATTCAATCTAAATTAACATTAAGAGTCCAAATATTACACAACCAGTAGTCCCAAAGTAACTCATTCAAGCACTCTTAATATAGTTCGAAACGTCATAATGTTCAGGTCTCTTTGCAATTATATCAGCCAACTCCTTTTCTTGTTCTTTAAGATGCCAAGGAATCTGTGCAGGAAGAGCATTAGCATTCAGGCGCGAACTTGAGCTTTTTTTGCTGCAGTACCTCATCATAAACATCAGTAAACAGCTCTGACAATGCAGGCTTCTTTCTTTTTTCGGCATCTTGGAAGGCTTTCAGAATGTCGGCTCTGGCTGTCTTTTTATGAGATTTTTCCATCTCATCGTTCCTATTGGCACAACCAACCTAAGTACGGCAGCAAAAGGGTGTGTGGCAGCAATGAAATTTGTCTCTTACCACAACCCACGACGCTCCATATACTTCCTAAACCGACTAGTTGGAGAATCCTGTTGCTGCCAATCGGATACCTCCTTTTTAGATCGGTATGCCGATGAGTCGTCTGATGTTGAGTGGTGACTGACTCTATACAGAATTTGTTGATAAAGCTAGTTTTTTTATCAGAAGATCACACGTCCTCAAAATGGTCTTACCGATATGTTAGAGCTTCAACTAGTATTGGTTTAGCTTCTGCTAATGCCTTTTTTCTCGACACGCTCACAGCATTATAAACGGCCTATGCCATTGAGTGTTAATGGACGCGAAAAAACCGGGAAGTTACAAAGTAAATATCTTCTTACCAGTATGTCATTGCCATCCACTCGAACAGTCTCTATACCATATCCGTGACCACGAGATGCTACCCACAAAGATAAATCAGCTCAATGGCATCAAGGAGGCTAAAGCCAAAGAGAAAGACATACCAATACCGTCTCCACGATACTGTTCATTGGACGGTGTCGATATTGCATATCCATTATTACGACTAGACGACAAAATATGAACCGGAGCATTGTCTACATGAATGACCACAAAACTCAGTCACAACAACAACATACCAAAAGAATATCACAGGGGAGCTCGTAACAGCCGCTAAATTCAATGCAGCATGGAAATCACCTTCACTAGCTGCCCCCTCTCCAAAATAACAAATCACCACATTCCCATCACCCTTCCCACCACTTGATCTCTGACTCCTAAGTTTCAAAGCATATGCAGCACCAGCGGCTTGCGGTAATTGCGTTCCGAGTGGTGACGAGATGGTTTGGAACGAGTGTTCCTTGGATCCATAATGTACAGGCATTTGACGTCCCTTGCCCAGATCCGCATCGTTGCTGTAGCATTGGTTCATTATGGATGAGAGCGGGAAGTTCCTGTGGAGCAGGACACCGATTTCTCGATATTGTCTATAGGTGGAAAATAGGTGAGGCTTTTTTTGCGCCGACTAACTTTGTAGTGCCAATAGGTGGGAACTCACGCAAACACGACATCAGAATCCGATAAAGCAGCAGCACTTCCTAAATGAGTTGCTTCTTCACCATATGAAGTCATGTAGAAGGATATCCGACCTTGTCGCTGAGCTTCATACAAGACCAAGTCCAGAGCATTGATGGTTAACATGGTCTTGTACATCTGGACTAGTTTCTGATCTGGGATCTATAACCGCACAGGTTGTTCATAAACACGTCCAGGTTTTGTCCAAACTTCGAGATCCCAAACAACCATGCAACAATCAACTCCACGAGATCAAATTCAAATTCTCAGAAATGATTCAATTTAAAGTACCTTTGGCTCTTCAGAAGGCACCATCACCGTCCCGTCCAAGTCCAGAACACGATAAGTGGGAATGGTTGGAAACGATTTTAAGAATGTTAATGTCTCGGTATAGACAGACTGAGGTGCACCAGGGAAGGAGACATTAGCACCCGATTTAGCAGATATATTCTTGTTGGCGGCTGCTGCGTGATCATTGGCGACTGCTTCGTGTTGGACTGCACTTGAATGAATCTGGTTTGGGAAATTAGTTTGAGGTTAGTGATGGAGATCTGTGGTTCCTTGGTGGGTTGAATATCAAGTTTAGCTTACTGTACGCGTAGCCAATCGTGCCAAATTCAGCAGTCTTCTGGTTTGAATCATTGTTTGCTGTTCTAAAATTGGTCAAGTGATTTGAAGGAATCAATCCATAAACAACGCAAAAGCGAGACCAAAACTATATTATATTCAGATTTTCTGCTACCAATAGCGAATAGTACATATAGACAAACGAAATTAAACGTTTAAATCACGTTAAATACAACATGTCTACACGAATCGAATCCGACTCTTTGCAATTTTCGCGTCAAGATTCGTCAACTCAACATCTTGAGCATCAACAGCCAACTTCTCTCGCACTAGACGTATTTGCTTCTTGGCTGCTTCCTTTTCATCACGTGCAACTTTGCGTAATTCCTACAAGAACAAAAAAACAACTGTTAAATTCCTAGTAAAGAACCATCTAAAACTCTTCTCGCAAACACCATACCTCAATCTGAGCCTTAACAGCAATCGCCTCATCCTTCTGAGCTTCCTTGATACCCTCCTGAAGCAGCGTAATCTGATCTCGAAAGTAGGATTCACGAGCGACTTGTCGTTTCTTGGCTTCTCCTTGCATGTTTCTCGTCTTTTCACGTTCAAGAGCTCGTGTTTCGATGATTGCACTTCGTTGAGCTCGTAAATAATCGTCGTAGAGTGTCTTGACAATCTGGAGAATAAAGAGGACAGATTAGAGAGGGCCAAGAAACCCGATTCGGCTGAAAAGATACAATACCTGCTCTTCGCGCATCTTCTTCTTAATCTTGAAGCTCTCGACCTCCTTTTCAATTTGAGCTTGTCGCACTTCCATTTTCGTCACTCGTCGTGCACGTTCAAGAAGGTCGGTGCGGGCCATTCTAGCAACTGTTTCTTGTTGTCGTCGTTGTTGCTATCGCAAAAAATGGCAGTAAGGATCAAGACGCAAAACACACTGTTGAAGTATACAACCAATACCTGTTCAATGGTCTGCTCAATCTCACGTCTCATGACCTCAACAGGAGTTTGACTTCCTACTGCCACTGTTGCCTTGTGCTAACAACCAAAAAAATTAGTTAATCAGAAAGGATGGTATTATTCGAAGCACCCACCAGCTCTACACGCCGATTCCAGTTCCTATCATCAAGAGCCTTTTGCCAAGTCTTGAGCTGCTTGTTCCACGTCGAATTACGAATAGTTGAGCCCAATTCAACTCCAGGCAGAGCCTGTGACACTATACGTTCAAATTGTGCTAGTGTCTTTTCAGGCATGGCTTCTGTATCATCGTCCACCTCCTCTTGTTCTGTATTATCCATTGGGCTGGTCTCTGCAGCAGGTGGAATGGCTGTTGGTATAGATGGCCGAGTGCTACTACTGCTGCTGGACGCTTTACTGGCTGCACTTGCTCTGCTAGATGTCGAACCTGGTTTTCTGTTGTTACTAGGCCGCGAGACACCACTGGAACTGCCAGTGCTACCAGCTTTACTCGTTTTTACGGTTGTAAATGGTGTTTTGATGGCATGTTGCTGTTGCATCAGTTGAGCTCGTCGAGTTTTTAGTGCTCGAGTATACGGTGTATCTGATGCAGACGGTCGTAACAAGACTGGAATGGTGGCCCGTGGTGGAGGTGGCTGCTGCTGTTGTGCCTGAGTATTACTATTGCCAGCAGTCAGATTGAATCGTATCCGTTTCTTTGATGGTGACGATGTCGTGTTACGTTGATCTGCTGCTAGCTGTTGCTGTTCATCATCATCACCTTCATCCATGATTTCCGGCTGTGGTGCTATCCCAGCCTCGCGCATACGTGCAAACTCTTCTACATCGTCATTAACTTCTAGCAGCAGCCCTTCATTATTGTTTCGTCTTCGTTTCCTGTCCCGATGAGGTCTCGATTGCACCGGCCGAGGCTGTACAGGTGGGTTTGGTTGCCTAGACGCCGTCGGGGCTGCAGATGTAGTAGCAGCCTGACCTAGTTGACTAATACTATCCATACTGATTTGGGTAATGTTTGGTTCAATGCCCGATACCTCAAATCCGTCGTGCAAGTCTTCCGCGTTCGAAGCAGCACTATTGTCACCATAGTATTCGGCAGTAGCGATCTCTAATGGGTTACTGGCATCGCCCGAGGAGGTGGTTACTTTACTGCTCTCACCCGTCGTCCCAGTGGCACCTGACGAGTTACTGGATAACACCACAGAAGCAACCCCGTCTAATATCTCTAATAGATTATACACGTCCTGTGGCTGGCACTCGATAACATCCTGCGGTCTGATATGGTCGAGCGGGGTCTTGATCAGCTCGGAGAGTTGGGCGATTACAGCTGATACGTTTGATGTCCGAGTTTGCGGTTGAGTAGCGAGCAGCGGATCTCTTATAATGTCTGGAATACGAGTCTGTAATATTCCTTCATAGAGTGCGACCCATAGCGACGGTACAAAGTCCTGAATAGATGTAAGTTGAAGTGGAACTTTGATGAGCGCGAGCAATGAATTGGCTGTTTCAACGCAGTCTATATAGACAAACAGAAATTAGAAAATCGTTGGAATATAAAATTGCACGGTAGTAAACAGATCCCACTTACTTTGCTCCAGTTCTTCACTGTTCTCCATCTTTTTCCTTGCCTTCGTGATTTTTTTTGTTTGGAAGTAACAAACTGTGAAATTACGCAAACAGGCAAGTTGTGGTTAATAGAGGTCCCCGTTACAAGTGATAGCCGTGCTAACTCGCGTATTTTCTATTAGGATCGCATACTAAAAGAATGAGACTCACTGCACGGTCTCTTCACCAAGCACTCACACATTTTCGACATGCATCTTTCTCAACATCAACAACCAATGGACCACCACCAGATCACATATCCATCCTCAAAGCATGTGCTCATTACGGAGACACTGCTACGGCCATGAAAACATTCGCTCACTATCAGCAATCCCAACATCTTGAACAGGCAACGTTGAATCAATCCCAGCCATTCAAATTACTATGTCAAAGCTATATAAAGGCTGGAAGAGCTTCGGAACTTGAAGATATGATACACAGTAATTTTAAGTCTATGGATGTGGATTGGGCCAGATGCTTGATTGAAGCTGGTGGAATTCGTCTTGCGAAGACTAGAAACTGGTTGCATAAGAAAGTAACACTGAGCAAGAATGTAGATTGGGGAGCTGTTGCGTTGCTTGTCAGGGTGAGTGCAATGTGGGATAGATCGCTTGGTGGGAGCATCTACTGATGTTGACATTCTAGATTGTGTCTTGTTTTCTCGTCTCGTTCTGATCTTCCATGACTTATAGGCTTACGAATTACAAAATGGTAACAAGGCAATCAAAAAGCTACTAGCACATGCCCGACAGCGGAACCTGGCAACATTATCTGCATCGATACCTCACCTAGAACAAAACCAACTCGCACCATACGTCGATTCATTCATAGAAGCCCTGTCCACTGCTACCACCATACCAGATGTCGACATGGTGACCACGGCCATCAAAGCGCTCTTTAATAACAGGAACCGAGTTGGAGCATCAAACTTCCGAGATCGAATACGAACCGCACTACAGTCATCGTCACTAGATCTAGATACCGTACGACGCATATCACGAGTGCTGGATATATCATTCTTGGAATGTACAGTCAGAAATATGGTCGCGTATCCGCATTCTGAGAGCTGGCTTGATACACGATCAACATTTCGCCAATGGTTTGAGGAAACTGATTGTGTTATATATAGCATATTACAGAGGGACGGCTCGGTCGTTAATGTGGACGATGGGAACGTTGTGCTGAAACTACACGGTCTAAAGCATCAGCTGCTTCATCGTCCTGAAGGAAAAGACTATGAGGATTATATAGCCCAGTATAAACACATGCTACTGAACGGTATGCAACCAAACGCCGCCACTATGGATATACTATTACGCTACATATGCAGGCCTGCCGATTATATGCTCCTTTGGTCACGAAGGACCACAATACCGTTTACACCAGTCGCAACAAACAATGTCATATCGCTGATCAAGTCGCTAGGCATAACAATGACACCCTCCATATACTCCCACCTCTTCTACACATGTCTCACCTCCCCCGCCGAAGACCACCCAGTACTCTACAATCTCGACCCGCAAATCCAGCACCTCGAAGAAGACATGCGCCAATCCCGAGTACCACATACCGTTACCTCCATCGTCGATTTAGTCAAGGTCAGACTACTAGGTGGACATATCGAAGACGCCATACAGAAAATATCTGATGCCAAAATATCTGGATATCGTTTCACCTTAGCCCAATACGTTACGATTATGGAGTTGATGGTTAATGTGTATAGTGATGTATCGTTTTACGTGGTGCATGATTTGTGGTATCAGATAAGACGGGATTTGCTGCAGGGGGATATTGAACAGGATGATGCGGTTATGCCGAGAGTGTATGAGGTGTTGTTTAAGGCTTGTGTGATGTGTGAGGACCAGGTTGAGATGATGAGGTTGATGCAGGAGATGAAGGCTTGTGGTGTCAAGCCTACTTCTTTGGCACGGCAGTATATAGAGGAGGCAACGTCTAGAAGAGACGTTCTCGCAGCTGGAAACTAAAAGGCTTTGCGAAAGCAGAAGTATGTCGCATCTAGTATCGCGCCTTTCGATGTAAAATTTAAATATATGAATCTATTGCATAATATTGCTGTATTCGTGCTTGTAATGTGGTGGTTGGAACACTTCCTACTATGCACTGTCAATCTCTTGATGGAGCAAAATGTCAGTTTCAAGTGGTTGATGTGGGGATGCTACTCAACTAGAAGCGGCGTGCATGGACTCAAAGATGACAGAGACTTTAATTTTCATGTCGTTTCTTCAACTGATGCCATGTTCAATATTACCAACACACTGCGCTTCACATTGACAACCGTTACACCTCGTCCATCGTGAAATTGAGAACTTACAACTATCGGATTCAATTCAGTTCTATATGTAGACTAACCGAATGTGCTCCGGACCGGCTCTGTCTGCTTACGACCTGGAGCTTCATGAGCAAAGTGACGGATTCCAAGCGTTCAACGTGAGAGACAGATCGAAGAGCATTTGGAATTTGGAACGAGGCACGTCCAACTTAATTTCAATATCATTTCTGATTTTTATTTATTGTATTCAGGGAACTTCTTCTGGCTCCTCACGGAGAACCTCGAACATTTTGCATACACATCATTCTCCCTAACCATCCACAACATATTCGTTTTCTACCAAATTTGTCACGGTATTCAGTTTGATACGTTCATTGTAGTGCTAAGTCGATCTCTCGGACTCTAACTGTCTCCACTGGATGCACAATACGCATCTGCTCCAACCATGACGAGTCTCATACTTACACTGATATCCGCAGTATCTCTTTTATCAATCACACAGGCTCAAGCACCCCAATGCATGCCTCTCACATCATCCAGAGTCTGCTCGGCCTTCTCAAAGGTACATGAACTTGAACCATACACCTTACCAACAACCATCTCAATGTAATTTTGTGACTAGAGCACAGTCCTTTTAAAACCAGAACTATACACGGACGTGAAGTCCTTTGATGCATATGTTGCACTGCATTACGATACGTCGATATCATATGTGTCGACCTTTGCAACGTCGTATGACTGTCCTAACGTGAGGAGGTTTGAGGGATTGATTTTTTTTGAATGACATACTTACGAAATTTGTTTTCTTAGTATAAAGGTCAAGGGCAGCGATACCATGTAAGATATCCTCGTAGAAGCATAGTCAAGAATGCCGAGTCCTAGTGTCGTTGTCGCGTGTCTCGTTTGCGTAACGGCAACATACTGAATCCTCATCTCAACACAATAGATATCAACATTCTGCTCCCTCCTCGTATCGCGCTCCACATCACTTGGCTGCATCCAACCTCTGCAATCCCAACAACTATGTGCAAACTCTTGCCAAGCCGCCCTCAAAAGCCTAAACGCAGTCTTTACATCCCAAACAACCTGCACCCAAGCCCCACAGCAAAACGTAACAATAGCACGCACCGAAACCCTCCGCGTATACAACTCTCTCTGCACCAACCTCACCGCAACCAACTGCATCGCTTCCGAACCATCAGTCCGTGAAGACATAAACTGTGGGTTCTTCTCATCGACAGAGAGGGTAGCGTATTGCCAGACAGCGCAAGGTGATTTGTGCTGTCAAGGACTTGGTGGTGGTGGTGGGGTTCCACAACCTGTGGCGACTGGAGCAGTTGCAACAAGAGCACCAGCGGGACTGGTAGCAACCGCAGTCCAGAATGTAGTCCCGACTACACGTGTAACAGCTATATCGCAAGCACGTGCTGCAGCTACTGCAATGGCAACGGCAGTTCCCGCTGCACAGTCGAGGTTCCAGCAGCTTTGGGCGAAGGCGTTGGTGCTATTAAAGGTATGTCTTGCAACTCTTGTCGTCCTTTCTCCTTTGCTAACATTTCTCGAAACATAGAACCCATACTTTATAGCCGCCAACGTCGTCCTGCAGATAATGCTAGTCGTAGGATGCATACTTTATCGCAGGTACCGCCAAAAGAAGCGCGCGAAAGTCGAGCCTGACGAATACAAACCGCACGAGGATGTGGACGTCCAAGTGCACAATCCAGAAACGAATGACTTGATGAGTTGGTATCTAACTCAGAACCAGAACCAGGGTCAAGCTCCAGCTCCAGTAAATGGTGCGCCTCATCAACCACACCAATTATAAAACATCTAGTCACTATATGATTTCTCTTCTTTAATGTACTAGCCGTTCTATATGTTTCAAAAGCACAACTTATATATAAATTACTTATGAGTAAAAACAGAAGTCCCTTATGCAAATCCCATATGCAAACGTCTCTTTTATATGTGTCACTACTCACTCCTCATCATCAGCATCATGACCCTCTTCAATAAACCCAAGTTTGGGCACCCATCCAACACTCGATTCTTTCGGTGGTGTTCTCGGCGGTGACAACCCAGCGTGATCAGCAGTCTGTTTGGATGCTGTTGCCGGTGTTTCCTCTCCTTCAGACGACCCATTGTTCGTACTAAAATGTTCAGTAGACGTCGTCTTGTTACAATCTTCCTCTTCAACCCCGTCTGCTTTACTACCATCATTTTCACTAGGTTTCCAAACAGTAACAATATTCGGTAGCGGTATCGGGAGCGGCCTTAGCAGAGTTGGTATAGAGCTCGTCCTCAAACTCTCGTCACGTGGAGGCGGTGGCGTGGCCCCATTATCTAAATGACTATTCCTACTATTATTATTAAAAGGAGTTTGTATAGCAGACCATGCATTCCTAACACCATGAGCTAGTGATGTTCGACGTGTAGGCGAACGTGTGGTATATTGTGGTGGTAGGTTTGGCAATGGTTTCACTGGGGATGGTGGTTGAGTCAGTGATCCATCTGGAGATCGTGGTGCGATGGCACCTGAGGAGGCTAATATATTGCTTAAATGACTGGGTCGTTCTATCACAGGAGAAGCGTTGAATCGGACGGTTGGATTGCGCCGTGGTGGTGCATCTGACTGGCTGTTATCTACCCATCTGTCATCATCAGATTGTGATCTAAGAGGCATTGGCGGTGGAAGCGATGGTTGAGGGCGTGAGTATGCCAACGGGAATGGATATGCGCCCGTATGGCTAGAATCACCCATCGACTCAATATTACTGGTTGGATCCATCAAGTTAGGATTATAATTACTGGCACCACCACCACCCACACCAGCAGTAGCTTCCTGTTGAGCAAACAGCAGTCGTCTAGCCTTCTCATTCTGCATCTTGCGATACCGTATCCAGTCTGCTGCTCTACGTAACTGGATTCCCTCCCCATCAAATTCACCTGTTCGACGAGAATGATCTTCTCCCTTCTTTTCACCGGCTACTTGACGCGTCTGGCCCCAACTAAAGTCATCAAAGTGCCAGAATGCATACAGAGGTAATACGAAATTCCATATGGGTAGCGAGACCAAGTAGATAAACATCCAGAATATGTACATTGGATGATGCGCCGTCATCACAATCAGCAAGGCTGGTAGACCTAATATGGCAGCGAGAAGTCCCAATGGAATGTACGGTGGTGGTGATATGAAGAAGGACTCGATTAGCAAGAATATGGTGAAGGAAATGGCAGCGGGTAGCACGACTGTTCCTACAAGTTCCATAAATATCACAAACTGTGTGGGCAGTGAAATTAGCATTTGTTTCGAAAAGCGCAATGCGGAAAAAAACATAATGTGAAAGATGCATACCTGCATAGAGAAACAGAAAATCCCACACAAGTCCCTCACAAGTATCAACTCCAACAAATTATGTATGGTTGAATTGATCCACCGCCTCCTCTGACTCAACAAGATCTTGAAGGAATCAGGCACCACGGTTTTACATACAGCTTGTGGCACGAAAATCATCTTCCGATGTGGGAAATTCTTGAGCATTAGCGTCGTCAAGAATCGATCTTCTCCTAAGAGTAACAGGTTCTTCTTGTGTAGCGTATCCACTACATTTTCAGAGTATTGTTCAACTACATCTGGATTTGCGAGGAGAGGTACAAATGTGCCTTCGTGTTCAGGTTTGGGAGCCTTGATTCTGTACATACAAAAGCATCCTGGTAGACATGTTACACCTCCAAATACGGATTCGAAAGCTTTTGTCAAGTGATGAGATATGTAATACTCAAACACCTTTGAAACGAAAGAAAAAGGTGAGAACTGGTACAAAAAAAACACAATATGACGGTCGAATTACCTGTATCATAGTGACCCACGACCCAAACTTATTCGCAATCCTCGTCTCACCACACAACCCCATAACTTTTGGATCATTCAACATACAAGCCACCATATGCGTTATACAATCAGGATAAACCTTGGTATCAGCATCCACCATAAGTACACCCTCATATTTAGAAGGATGTACACCACCAATAGCCCACAATTTATGCACCAATTCAAATTCAAGTTCAGTCAATCGATCATCAAACATCACTTTGGAGAGGAAATTCATGACTAGGACTTGTGAATCTCTTTTACCACGATTACCAGGTTTACGATTACCTGGTTCCCGTTCTTCAGGATTGCCACATTTTACAACGAGAATCATGGGTACACGACCATCTTTACGTGTCTTGATGGATCTGAATGTGCCGTGTCTACTTAATTCAGGTCGTTCATCATCACTATCGTCTTCACTGTCGAATTCTCGTTGTTTCGACAAGGCCAGGTTACCTAAACTACGTCTCCACTTCTTTTTAGCATCCTTTTCCTTGGCATCAGCACCAGGCTGCGATTTGGTGTATCGATACCAGCCTGCATAGACTCGAGCAAAGTTTTTACGTTTAGAGCCGTCAGCGATAGCGACATAGGAATATGCTTGTGGTTCACCACCATATCGTGGATCATCGGATCTAAAACGGTCATCCACCTCCATCATATCAACTAAGAAGTCACTTGTAGGTCGACCATTGCCTTCACCAGTTACCATACCGTCAGCAACTACAAACAAGGTTTTGTGCGTCGAAGGGTAATACGTGTTTGCTATCGAGTCCAGCGTGGTTCGTAACGATATATATGGTTCAGAATAACACGTAATCATCACTAACACGTGCATAAGATCTGGGTTGCTCATGACAGTTTCCTTGGCTGCGGCAGCATCCGGTGCTGAAGGATCAGGAAAGACCGCTAATCGTTTACTATCTATTCTCAGGTTTTCAGGAGCCTTTCTACCAAATACAATGGCAGAATGACGTTTACTTTCTGGCATGGCTGACAAGTCTGCTTCACTATCTGGCACGACTTCTTCTGATATTATGCTACGGCTTGAAGCGGCTGACCGTAATCCAAATGACCGTGTACTCAAGACTGGCAGAGACCTAGTCTTGTTTAGGGTACGATCACGTTCACTCGATATCAATCGGCCAGATAGTCCAGATGGAATTACCGGTACACGTTCACGGTATGCATCTCGAGGTTGTCCAGTTTCATTAATCTGAGCAGCTATGAGAGCATCCTGCTCCTTTATTTCCTTTATCTCTCGTCGTCGTCGACTCAATTCGACTGCCGATCGAGTTATACTACCAGGCCGATCACCTAGTCTTGATCCAATCAGGTATGAGAAGGTGATTGCTAGGAAAAATCGTATGAATACGACTCCAACGATAACAATCAAGGAGACATAGAGGACTACGTTCGACACTACACAGCCAAAAGGCTGCGAATCTATCTGTCCGACTCTGAATATCTCGTCGAGACATTGGGCCTTTCTAATGTTGGTGGCATTGAGCGAGAAGGCCTTTGTTGCGTCTCGACCGATATTAGCCATAGCCAAGGCGTAAAAGTCTTGACCTGAGAGAATAAACTTTGAGCTTGTTTTGCACTCAATGAACATTCATCATGCAAATCTTACCAAGGAAGGCCGGGTTCGAACTGAAAGCCGTCAAATCTAAAACCCATCCATTGTACACCAACATGTTGGTCGACTGTTCAACAAATTCCCAATCTACAAATACAGTGCCTTGTACTTTGGTAAGGCCCAACACAGCAATATCAGCTTTCGACGAATGACAACTAGTATAATCGTTGGGCAGTGCAGAGCCATTCGGTGGCCATACATTTGGAATCACACATGGAAACTGCGTATAAGCAGCTCCAAGTAGGGCAACGCATTTGGAAGTATTTGCAGCTGGAGGCCATAATGGCGTTATATCACGACCTTGAGCGACATTGTTAAAGTTAGCAGTGATTCCGGGTATAGGAGGATGGGTGAAATCAGCTAAACTATATATGACACCACGTATCGATGTACTAGCATAGAGCGTATTCAGCTTGTTTAGATTTATATGGAGGCCGTTAAAACTACAGACCGAGTTCTGGAATCCGAATGTCAAGAACCCGACTGCAGCCATGAGGATTGTGATGATTAGACAAAGAGTCAATTTTTCTCTAAATGCTTGAGCTACATATGGATCTCCCTTCCCAAACCATTTGAGCAATGCTCCTGGTATACAACACGTTAAGATCCATGAAGTCCAGACCCATGGCGTTGTCGGTGGTCCATTTTCATGGCTTGGACGCATGGAAATAGCCATACGACCAATAGAATCTAATCTGCCTAGCGTCATCTTACGTTTCATAGCTTGCTGCTGCTGTTCTCCGGCAGCAGGGGCTGATGGACTCGGGCTGGTACTAATGGGAGGACTAGTCGGGCTACGACTATACTCTCGCCGTCTCCACGGCCTCCTTGCATCACCAAGTTTCGTTCGATCTAGTTTAAACAATGATCTCTTACGCCCGGGACCATTTTCTTCTACATTACGTGGTATTCCAACTGAAAGACTCTCGGCGAGGTGTAGATTAGAGACTCGGCCTACTAGACGACGAGATTGCGTGATTCGACGATTATTGTTATTCAGGTCTGGGCTTCGTTGAGCTGGTGTTCCTGGATTACGTATGGGCGGCGGTATCGGAAATACATGAGGTAGCGGCGTTTGATGCAGCAGATCTCCTTCCAGAGTGTTTTTTGGATGGTCTGCACCTATAAGCGAAAAAATTATAAGTATTGGTATATAAAGTTCGTTCTCAGCACACTCCAATAACAAGCTCTGCCCCATGTCTCGGCAGTTCTCGATTACAACTCATAAAGTCGACAAATCTACGCTCTTCCATACTAATTTCCCCGTCTGTTCAAATCTTCACTTGGCACACAACAACCGCACCAAAGCTTTTGCAAAATGTCGCTGTCCGAATCAAATCCCCCAACCTGATGTAATCGAGACAGAACGTACCATGAGGTAGCAAATAATCAGGCAAAGTAGTGCCAGAACTACCCGTTGAGCCCTCATTGCTGTCATCAAGCAGCAACTCCTGAGTCCGAAAGCGTAAAGATTCGACTTCATCATTACAAGGAGCCTCTCGGCCGTTGCCAATAGCTTGGAGCAGCGAGTCGGTGTCGCCCTCGTCCTCTATGTCGTGGTCGTCCATTCGCCGACCGTTATGATTGTAGCTGATCTGGTCGTCGAAAAGTGCTGCTTTGAAAAAAAGACTATTGGAAGTAATTAAACATTGGTTGACGGTTGTTGATCTTGATCAAATGTGGATCTTGATCTTTCAAAGTAAACGTGTTCAATAGAACAAATTTGAGGCAACTCTATTTGGAAGAACAAAAGACCTCACCAATCAAATTGCAGAATGTGTAGGTCGGATCGAAAGACGAACTGGGGCACGGAACACGACCTGTGTACTTAGTTTCTGGTCTATATAAACACTACGTTCGTTTCATTGCACTATAACTACCCTGTGCGGGTGCTAGCTTGTGTAGTATGTTACATATTGTTAGAGAGGAGAATGTCACCAACTGTAGCAGCACTCCAAGGCCTTGCACCGGACGGAGAGGGCTCCTCACGATCGGAAGGTGGCTCACATGCTGAAGCAAGTTCTTGTGGCAACGGCTGCATACATCGTTCTTCAACTGAGAGTCCCGTGGTTGCAAGGCCCAACCAGTCGTGCAAGTACGCATCAAAGTCAAGCACTTGAGTCCATCTGAGCAACTCATCGTCTTCCTCGTCCTGGATAATGTCTTGAATTATGGATTCAAAGACTTGATCTTGCATTTCTTTGCCTTGAGTGTACCTATGAGAAACCAGTCACTACTATGCCTTGAATAGGATGGTCACAGTGAGAGACGTACATTTGTTTCAGCCAGTCAATCTTCTTGGTTCGTCTCCTCTTGACTGCATCTTGATGTCTTACTAACTTGGAGTGGTGGTATTCAACCATCTTGAGAGTTGTTGACCGCGTAACGTCGTCTTGTTTTGGGTCCATCATCTAGACAGAATAAAGAGCTCTGTAAGCGAAAGAAGGCACTTGACGAAGAAAGCAAAAAGAAGAGATTCCAGCAAATACCTTGTCAGACACAGGCCTCCACCCATTATTCTCAACACGTTTATACCAACCATCTACATCAAACATGTCAGCAAACTTCAACCAGCAAAAAGCGCAAGATCAACACAACACACCATGTTTCCTCCTCTCCTCTTCCAGCCTTTCGGAAAAGTACTCTCGAGGCGCAAAACTACCCAAATCCACAATCCCTCGCTGAGTGAAAATCTTGTAGTATACTACAGGAGGCCATGCGATACCACCCAGACGAAACCTCATATGCATTTCGGTTGCTGGATCAATCAAATGTGATTCACGGGGATTGATTACTCGAAACAGGTGGTGTGGTTGGCTGCCTTCTCTTATTCGTATGAGGGATCGGTAGAAGGCGTATACGCGTCGATCCTAGAAGTGGAACTAGAAGTGAGATTCACATCCAATTGTGGACCCTAGCTTTTTTTGCTGTACCTGCCAACCACGGAATGCTCGTTGAATCTTCCGAGCACTTTCATCCTTCATTATTGACATTGCGTCGGTACCCATTCCGTGAAGGTTTGAAACATATTGTAAGTGTAGAATCTGCTTTTGGTAGGCTTGTGCAGACATGTTCTGCTTCTTTGCCTACGTCAGAGGTTAGAGTCAGCAAAAACGAAGCCTCCTTCCTCCTTGATCTACATTGTAGATCACATACCAATATTTTTTTATATTTCTTCCTGAGCGTCCTACTCCTCCATTTCGACTGTATCACCGCCGCACAAAAGTGTGGGAAATCGGGCAGTGGAAGTATCGGCTTGTGTTGCCTCTCTCTCGCTCTCTCCACATACTGACAATATCGATGATATTTGTAAATCAACATATTCTGCGGCCGTAATGCCTCAGTGTCAACTTTGGGCATTGTGGTTACATCACGTTCCGAGACGTCAGTCCCACAATAACTAGACACAGTAGCATCAGGCCTCGTAACGGCAAAATATCGCCGTTTTGTATTCCAGCCTCTCCAACAAGCCTGTATTGTTAGAGCAGCAGCAGACCGACATAGTTGGTCTAGAAGTTGTTCACGTTCCTTCATTTGAGTTTTGAGGTCGGATCGTGAAAGGGTATGGTGGCTGAGAAGGTTGGATGAAGAAACGGTGGGCGATTTACGTCCTACATTGAGACTGCTTCCATGTCGGCTGGGAGAATTGCGACTATAGTTAATGTCCAAGGTGGATGATTCTTGTGGTCCCAGAACGGCAAGGTCCTCAATAGATGGGGAACGAGTATCTGGACCGATCAAACCAGCATCGTTTAGTGAGATCCTGGCTAAAGCAGTCTAATATAAACAAAGATTATCCTTCTGTTTGCAATTGCGTCCAACATCAAAAAATTGAATGTAATGGCTTCAAACAAACCTTTCTCGCTTGTGGCGACACTCTAATGAGTCTCTCATATTTGTCATGAGGAAACTCTACAGTAGCTAGGAGCTGCTCTCCATCAAATTCCCATACATCTTGCGTATTCAATTGAATGCTCAAATGAGCAATTGAACCTCCTTTACCAGCGAGTGGATTCACCACTAGGCTCATTCCGCGATCTGAAATCGACTGAAATACAGCAGATTCACGTCTGCTTTCGCTCGATAAGAAGAATAAAAAAGTCCCGGTGATTTCGTGATTCAATAAGACACAATACCCAACAAGTCGTGTGTTAAGGTTTAAAAGATGGAAGAGGCGTCGGAATTGGCTAGGAAGCCATGTCCGTTTCTTGATTTGCCGGTCGAATTGTGTATTAGGATTGTTGCAGAAGCTTCGAATGTTTAGTGAGTGTCTTTTGTTGGATCCGAGGTCGATTTTTATTATATGATCCTAATCACAACCGATCGAATATTTAGTAATTTAGCACGTACATGTCGAGCTCTGCACTCTTTATCATGCTCTTCGGTCGTAAAGCATGAATGGTTGGTTCGACATTTGGATTCCATTCAGGGAATGTCTTCTCGCAGGGTAGTTGAATGCTATTCAAAGCTGATGGACGCAGTATCATCAATTGAATCGAAAACTTCATTCTTAATTTGTCCTCTCTCAACACAGGTTGTCTTCCCACTGACACTCATCTCATCGGGCTCTTCTCTCAAACTGCTGCAAGCCGTCACCAATGCCAAACAACTAGACGACGAACAACGAAAATCAATCTACTTTTCGATATGGAATTGGACTCGCAAATCCGGTGATGCACTCGCTGGATCCTACATCGCATCCCAGACCTCGACCTTCTCAACACCAAGCACCGTATTCGTTCATGGAATGAGACTACTGCTTGAAGATGGACATCTAGATTTAGCGTGTGCTGTATTGAAGCATGCTATCGAGCTGTGCTTTAGAGAGTTGCCAATCTTTGTGATTGCTGCTCCAGCAAGGAAGGCATTGCCCTGGCTTTTTGCTTCCATCGATCAGGTAAGATATCGAATTATATATTGAGAATCAGCATCCTAATTCTCGCTTTCTTTATCAGGGAGGCCCATTCACTCCATCATCAACCGACGCATACCAACGAGCAATCACGATGCTGATTTTCAAACAAGGCATTCCAAGAGACGTATGGACACTGTTTCTCGTTCAAGCTGCAAGACTCTCATCACAGGATCGGGATGAGACTTCTATAATTTGCTTGAATCTGATTATCAGGTTCGTCAGTACTGGAAACTTTGTAGATTGCATCTGGTCGATAACGTTGGTTTTTTGGCTAGACATCAAAAGTGGGAGCACTTTACGTTGATGTTGAATACCTATATTGGGGATTCTCAGTCGTCATCAGTGCAAGCTCTTGTAATGCAAGTACATGGCCTTATGGCAGGTCAAGCAATACAAGTTGGAGTAGACATTCCTCGACCTGCTGTGAAACGGGAGAATGTGTTTATACCGATGTACGATGCTTGAGCGATTACGTGGATATATCGAGGTCTTGGTGGATTTAAAAGGTTGTTGGATTTTGAGTAGCCAAAACTCGGACCAGTAGAGGTTTTTGGCATCTTCACAATGGTGTTTGTATCAAGGACACTGTTCTGAATACGACGTCTTGCCATTCGAATTTTCGAAACCAGAGATTTGTTTTGGGTTCTCGTTATTTCGTCTGTCTATTCCCTGAAGTCCCTCAAATCTGTTACAAATTTCACACAACGAGACGAGTGAAGACGAACGTCAGCCCACTTATCCAAATGGAATCACGCCTCTAAATCAGGTAATGCATTTGCTGGATCATACATAACATTCCAAACGCCGACATTCCAACACCAAGTACCTCATTTTTCCATGGAGTCAGAGTTGAACTTTGAACGGTCTTTTGGATTTAGCGTCTGCTATAGTGGGACACGATATGCAGCTATGTTTTAGAGAGTTGTCGACCTTCGGGATTGCTACTGCAGTCTAGCGTTGCCGTGGCTGTTTGGAGGCTCATTCAATCTTTCATCAACCGGCGCAAACCAACAAGCAACCACAATGTTAATCCTCAAGCAAGGCACTTCAAGAGACACATACCTTTTCTTCTCTTACAAACTGCACGAATTACAGCACACCATCAAGGGATGTTACTGCTATGATGCGCTTGAAATCTCATGTCCAAGTTTGTCTTCAAAAACCGCCCAGTATTCTTAACCTGGCATCTGACGATCTCTCACGAACGGGAGAAAGTGTTTTTACCGATCTCATCCATGATATACTTGGTGGATGTCGATCGTCGTGTGAATAGAAAGTTGCTCGCACAAAGACTCGATGTGATAGTTGGCTCGTTTTCATAATAAAACAAGCATTGGAGAAAACTTGAGCCTATTACGGTATAGATCGCTGTTGCCTCAAAGATCACGAGCAGTTCATTTTGCTCAGCACGTGTAAGCGAATGTGGGCATTCGTGCTCCGACGCGTCAAGTCCTTCATTAGATTTGGATTTTAATGATTTACTAGTATCTCTCGCGTCTTCTCCTACTACGACTCGTCCTGAGACTGAAAAAGTAAGCTCTTGTCCTTCCTTTGCAACAACTCAATTTTCGCAATTACAGCCTCAACCAACTCAACGTAGTAAATCGGCGAAATCGAGGTGGTGTATTGGGCGAGCTACATACGAGAACTGCTATCTGCACTCTCCATCGCCTGCATCTCTTCTTTGTAAGTAAGCTTTTCTGTTATTGATTTATATGTCAACTTTCTGGGAACTAAACAATGAAACTGACTTTCCAAATCAACGATTGCATCTTGTATAGAAATCTCGATATATACAATCAAAACAGAGCCATGGAAGTCCCTCATTCTCCCGAATCGCCTGATAGAAAGCGAAGCTTTGAGAGTGGACAGGAAGAAGATGATACTCTCGAGCGCAGGAAGCGCCAGGCCATGGAAGCAGCTACTGATACTGAATCATATAGTAACTGGGACCTGCAAGCACAGCCAAGCACCACATCTATGGAAGAAGATATCCGCTCTTCATCGGGTGACAACAGTCTTGTTGAAACGCCCACTGATAGCGATGATCATCACCATATGAATGTATTGAGCTCGTCGAATACCGATAATGAACACTCGCATGATGGTATCCCACATGATCACGATGAAGTGCATGACGATGGCCATTCTGTACAGTCTACTACTTCAACTGGCACCACTACCCATAACACAATCAACCACAATCATCACAACAGCAGCCATCACAATAATCATAGTCACTCGCATAGCAAGCACAACCCCAAAAATGTTGAAACTGGAATGTTGCGTGCTCTCGTCAGTACTGCAGATGCAGGAATCATTATTGGGAAAAATGGTCGTAATATACATGACATACGTCAAACTTCAGGTGCTCGAGTCAGTGTATCTGAACTGGTCGTAACATCGCCTGATCGTGCTATTACTGTCAGTGGTCGTTTGGACGCTGTCGCTAAAGCTTTTGCTTTGATGGCTACCAAGCTGGCTGCAGCAAATAGAAAGGGGTATGAAGTGCAAGACGACGATGTATCATCGCAACCTGTGAATATGAGGCTATTGATACCTGCTATACGTATTGGAGCTCTTATTGGTACTGGTGGTCGTCAAATCAAGGCTATTGAAGAAAAGTCGCAAGCTCGTGTTGGAGTCTCTGATCCGTGTATACCTCCTTCCTCAGAACGTGAAGTGGCTGTGGATGGAGTAGTTGATGCGGTGGGTTGCTGTTTCGGTCAAGCTGCTGTTTCTTGTCCTTTCAAAGCTTGAAGTTAACGGTCTTAACGACTAGACTAACGCTTTTCGTTTACACCTCTAGATACATATTGCTACATATCACATTGCCGCTGTATTGGCTGAATTCCCCAATGGTGGATATGCAACAGGTACAAACTACAACAATAATTATGCCATGCCAACCCCATTACGAACACCCCATCGTGGCAATCACCACCATCATCATGGCAATGATATAGAAGGTTGTGTTAATCCCCACTATGCACATATATCATATCCCCATACCCCATATAATATGATACCACATGAACCCCAACACCATCATATGAGTCGTGGATACTCTCCCTTCTCGTCAATGACACCACCACCACCACCATCCCCAGGAGGAGTCATGGCACCACCACGACCTATACCACCACCCTTACAATTTGCCCCATATGCCCCTAATCATCAGCATCCTCATACTCCCATGACACCACTTACCCCACTGACACCCATTCATCATCCCATGTCACACCCCTTGAATGGCATGGGAAGTAATAGCAACCACCATCTTCACAACAATAATAACTACATGAGTCCCAGTACACCCACGTCACCGTTTGCGTTTGCATATCCCACGACCCCAGGTTTCTACTATCCCGTATCAGCCCAACACCAGATTATAGTACCGTCGGATTTGATTGGATCAGTAATAGGACGAGGAGGAGCCAAGATTGCTGAATTGAGGTTGACTACGGGATGTGCCATCAAGGTGTCTGATCGCCCTAATGAGAGTGGACAACGAATGATTACAGTTACTGGAGCACCTGACGCTGTACAGAATGCCTTGTATACAATCTATGGGAGGCTTGATGCTGAAAAGCAAAGGTTGAATACGAGTCCGGCGGTGGTGGTGTAAAAGTAGTTGGGGAGAGTGGTTATGTGCTTTAGCGTGTATCAATGGGAGGACTGATTGGAAAGTATGTATACAATGTTAAAGAGTGTATTATTGAGCAGAGAATATACAAAATCTACAGCAAAGATATGAATTCATTGGAAGCTCATTATTTTTTGTCAGGCCCCAAAAAGAGAAAGAGGACAGTCTCGACAACGCACCCTAGACTACTACAACTGACGACTAACCATCGCAGCGCGTCCTCTTTCTTGTTCTGTCCTCCAAACTTCAATCAGGCCATTTCATTCGCTGCAAGCCAAGCCAGTCCCAATCACCAACACGAAAAACTTTCAAAAACTCGAATTTCCCATTCAGAGTTCATCATAGACAGAGCACGACACAATGACTCGCAAAATCAATGGCGCAAACGAAACCGAGCGCTTCCTCGAAGTGTATGAAACCCTGCGCAAGGACATTCTGTCCGAGCTACCAAAATACAATATGCCTGTTGACGGTGCCAAACACGTTGAACATGTAAGTTTCAAGGAATATTTGGATTATTGTGGGTGCCATGTAGACACAAGTACTCTTGAGAGCTCGTTTCCGGGGTGAATGCATACATGCATCAAAAACGACGTTGAAAACAACTGAAAGTTTGGTCATTCATTAGGTGCTTGATTATAACATTCGGGGAGGTATGCGGCGTGAATTCTCATGCAATTAGTGTATGGAAATGGAGGCCAATTTTTTTTTTGGTTTCGCTTTCACTAGGCAAAATGAATCGAGGTATAATGGTTCTGACAGCACTTGAAGCACTCAAACCTGGCAAACTGAGTGCAGATGAGATATTCAAGGCTCAGACTTTGGGATGGTGTATTGAATTTGTACGTTATTCAAGTCCTGTATCCCCTTTTGTGGCTGGTGGACGATCAACTTCTAAATTTCTATTTTTATTAGTTACAAGCCTTCTTCCTGATCGCTGATGACATCATGGATGGATCTATTACACGTCGTGGGCAGCCTTGTTGGTACAAAGTGGTACGTGACGATTTATCGTGAAATCCTGTTTTTTTGGACGCTAAGGGTTCTTGCTAATAGGAAAACGTTGGACTCATGGCAATCAACGATGGATTCATTGTCGAGTCCGCCATCTACCAGCTCCTGAGAAAGTATTTCAAGAGTGATGATTGTTATGGGGATTTGTTGGAGTTGTTTCATGAGGTATGAATGCTTATTTTGAATAACAGACCATCCCTTTTGTTAGCTCATCATTCTGTTGTTTTAGGTCACCTATCAGACCGAATTGGGACAATTGATGGATTTGATTACTGCACCTGAAGATCATGTTGATTTGAGCAAGTTTTCGATTCAAAAGTAGGTGAAAAAGCTGGTCGACAATATTGGCAAATCTGCACTTCCACGTCAGCTCCAGCGGACTTGATAGAGTTGATGCTCTGATTTCTCTCATAGGCATGCATGGATAGTAGAGTACAAGACTGCGTATTATTCATTCTATTTGCCAATTGCTGCAGCTATGAGAATGGTGCGTTGTGCTGAATCCGAACAATCGTATGAAGTTCCTTTGTGACCTTTTTTCCTCCTCGTTACATAGGCTGGTGTCAAGGAGGAAAAGGCATACAAGCAGGCATTGGATGTCTTGATTCCTCTTGGAGAGTACTTCCAAGTTCAGGTATGACTTTGCTTCCACTGAAAGGGTCCATCAGTGGAAAATATTGCTTTTTTTGCTCATCGTCATCTTCCACATATCAATTCAGGATGACTACTTGGACTGCTACGGCACACCCGAACAAATCGGAAAAATCGGAACCGACATTCAAGACAACAAGTGCTCATGGCTTATCGTGCAAGCATTGACTCGTGCGTCTCCTCAGCAACGAAAACTTTTGGATGTACGTACTTTGCTTGCTTACTTTCCAGCAGCGAACAAAAGTTCACACTGTTTATTTAGGACAACTATGGCAAAAAGAACGAGACAAACGTCGCAGTAGTCAAATCCATCTACCAAGAACTTGAAATCGATCAAGTCTTTCAAAAATATGAAGCTGCCTCCAAAAAGAGAATTGAAGCGCTGATTGCTAAAGTGGATGGAGAGTTGTTGCCGAGGGAAATGTTGACCAAGTTCTTGGAGCGTATATTTAAGGTATGCATTCACTTTGATTCCAATGAGTGTTTCTTCATTTGCTAATCTGCATTTTCTGTTCAGCGAAAGAAGTAGAGAGTTAAGATTAATAAGTTTGTTGCATCATTTTCAAGCCAATACATATAGAGATGATTTTTGATTTGGATTGTGTGGTTGTTATGACTTGAAGGGAGTTTGCCAGTGTGGTTTGTGGGCTTTGAACTGTTGGGCTTTGTATGAAGTAAAACTATCTCTTCACCTCTCGTCGAGCAGCCCCAGCTGGGATACATATTCGAGATACTGTATTCAACGGATTGAAAAGTTGGGATGGTGCATTGATTGAGCATGTTCGTTAGATATGGGTCGACCCTGTTTTTGCCAGGTATTTGGACGGTCAACCGATCTCTGAACTGATTACTATCATCAATTTGTCAATCGTGTGCATTCCTCACCTGCTGATGACTTCAGTCATGTAACCGGAGGCAGCCTTGTTGGTACAGAACGGTACATCCTGATGGCTAGTCGATGCCTTGTTTTGTGTATGCTCATTTTCATTGCCTTAGGGGGAAACGTTGGACTATTAGCAGCTAAGCATGGTTTCGATGTCGAATCTGCAATCTAAAGGCTCTTTACACTCAAAAGGAATGTGCGGTATGGTGATATGGTGCCACTACACAAGCTCACAAGTTAATACGATGGAGTCAACACAACAGCCAAACCACAGCCAAGTTCTTGATCAACGACATGGAATACGGATTCAGAAAGCGCCGCAGCTTGCTTTTATGATCAATTTTATTGCGAATTCAAGTTTCAGATATTTATGGTATTTACGAGATTTTATAACAATTTTAAACATTTGGTATTTGGTTCTTTGTTTCATCCAACATTTACAACGGTTTGCCGTTGCTCTTGATGAAAGGCTTATTTAATTGTTGTTTGAAGCAGACGTTTTTCAGTCTGTTCAGAGAGGACACTTTTCGGTCCCGACGACTTTGCGTAAAAAATAGGAGACGAATCCCAACACTTCTAAGACAATCTAACACCAATCACCACCACTCTATCTATCCATCAACAAACTTTTCAGCAGCATCACGTATCTTACTAGCAAGCACATCACAAAACCCTCCAAACTTGACCTCATCATTTAATATGTCGGGAGTCAGCTTATGATACAGAGTTCCAGCAGTTACAAGTCCAGACCATGAGAGTCCATGCGTGTCGAGTTTGATGGGGATGACAGGCTTCGAGGCACCAGAGTCACGGTCTGCGGCGAATGAGAGCTCTCGTTTGCAGTTTTCGGAATCCTGTGCGATAGAGAAGGAGAAAGTTGTCAATATGAGAATTGTGGGCGAATCAACAGCGTTGGTGTAGGTAGACGTACGTCGTATTCCTTTGACAAGAAGGCGAGAAAGACTTTACACATTGTGATTCCATGAGCCATTGAATCCTATAAAAAGTACGTTATTGAGAGTCAATGAAATCGTTACGAGAAAGGGTACTGATAACGGCTTGGACTTACAAATATGTTGCCATCCATTTGCTCAGTATCAATCCACGACGTAATACCTCTATCTTCCAAAGCTTGTCGCACGCGTAACACCGTATCCTTGCTATCCCTAAGTAGTGGAATAAGATTAAGTACCCGACCAGATGTACAATGCAGCAGCTAGGCCTACCACTGATAAGAGATATACGCATCCAACGTAGCTCCAGCCCCCTTGTATACAGCCACCACATCTCGAAAAGCCTTCTGATCAACATCCGAGACTCCACTCCTCTTTGCTACACCTCTTCTCGGCAAAACCACACTCAAATTCCTGGCATCAGCAACCAGCAACACTTTACCCATGAATGCAGAAACAGTAGCAGCTTCGATCTGAGACACTCTGAGCTCCTTGCGAGCCTTGTTACGTTTTGCCACGATTGTGCAAAAGATGCAGCACCCGATAATGGCGAGACCTGTGTAAGACTAGAGGTGGTTAGTGACAGTTGTCTCATTCGCGTCGATCAAGTAAAAACGATGAGAAAAAATGAGAAGATCGTGCATACCTAATGATCCAGATATTATTAATGCGGGCGTGCCAGAGCTGACCACAGATAGACCAGCAGTTATATTCGTACCCATTCCTCTTTGTGCGAAGCGGAAACTGTTCAACCTGATGCAAACGTGTTAGATCCACGAAGAACTATAAATCGGCAAGGAAAACACGATCAAATTAGTGCTTACTTGTCGGAACTGTTGGAAAGTATCGTTATCTATCGAATTGGGCTGTGTTGTGCGAAGGTAGTGAAAGATAAGACATTCGCAGCTGACAAGGGTTGGTCAAGTCATACGAAACTTGGATTTAAAATTTCGGATGAAATTCGCATAACGCCACTTAGAAGCCGGAGCAGATGTGATAATAGATCAGGTAGACATGTCTCCAAGATCAAGTTTTAATCGTCGTATACTAGATCTTCCATCCTTTCCGTAGAAACCCGTGATTAAAACGAGTTCTACAGGAACCCGTGATTAAAACGAGAATGTGTGGTCAACTGTACATATATGTCCAACCTTGAAAAAAATAAACACAAGAGTGTTTATGATACGTAATATGATCTTATAAGAGAAGAAAGCGTACAACCCCACCACCTCTAACCTCCTTCACTCGATTCAAATGTCTGAGTATTCCAATAACAGCCCTCCCAGAAGGATCTAGTTTGAAATGCGATCCTTGTGCATATTCCTTTATATCCTTTTCAGTTATAAATGTCTTGCCCTTGACTTCAGAGTTTGACAATTGCTGGTTTTCATAATAGCGATCCCTATCATGTTTATTCATTTTGGTTGGTTGTAGACGTAAGATAGATGTTTTGGATTCAACAATCTTGTTGAACTCGGTTATGAGGTCGTTGATCTTGTCGCGTGTCAAACGGCCAACTACAGATAAAAAGTATGTGTTTGAAATACAACAATGTATTGCGAAGCAACAATCGGTAACTTACCCATGTACTTGGGCACCATATCATACTCATTCATAGTCAGATACGCGACAGACGTAGTCCCGCTCTCTGCCGGTATCGATTCCTGCATAGTCTTCTTCTTGACAGCCTTCTTTGCGCCATCCACATTCTCCTTATCTTTCGATATACCATCACTTCCAGCCAGATTCATCCTCGCACTATTCTTCAACGCGACTCTCTTCTGTCTTTCTTCTATCGGCGAGTTGGCACGACCATTTCCACCACCGCCACCACCGATATTCTCATTCACCTTGGTACCCTTCTTCGTCACTTTAGGCAAATGTTTCGGTAGATTCGCCATGGCATGTTCCAGCATCATTTGTTGTTCATCAATAGCAGCTTCTACTACTTTACTATTCTGAGCTAATGATTCTCGTTCGGCAGCAACGAGACTCCTGGCAGTTTGAATCTGGAGTTCGATTTGTGATAGTGCTGCGTCCAAGTCTGCTATTCGGAATTGGAGTTGGTGGATGTCTGTTTGGCTGTTATGTGGGAGTAGGGATGCTAGTGTTTTGACTAGGGCTGCTTCTTTGAGGATCGCTTGTTCCAGGTGGTTCATGTTGATGTTTGTTTGATGATGGATCTGCTTGCGAGTGAGGCAGTTCTAGTGATTTATATGAGAGTGGAGTATAGTTAGTATATTATTTGATGTGTTATATCTCTGAGAAAGTATAAAACAAGAGACGTCCAAAACATTGATACTTTTTGCAACCCAAAGGTTTACCTGTTCGGATATAAAACGAGCTCAATACAGAGTAGAGGCTATGGCAGCCAAGGGAGATCTAAGCGACAAGGACTTTGATGATCTGGTCTCACAGCTAAAAGGCATACAGCGTGATGGCGACAAGGTGACTATGTGGTTATCGTGTTTTGTGGAAGACTTGCCAGAAGAGCTCGCGATTTACGTGATTTCGTACTTATCGTAATGTCTAATACATGTATGCTATGTAGCTGAAGCTTATAAAGGCTGCTGTTGAAGAAAGCAAGGTCTCATCAACTCAAGTACTGTCCAACGCTGAAACGCTTGCGAACATTCGCAAATCTAACAACTCTAACAGGTAGTGAAATTACAGAAACTCATGCAGTACGGGGACGCTCAAGTATCTGTTGTAGTGGTGTGCCAGCCATGGCTGCGAGATCCTCAGAACTGGAACACAGTTTTGGCGTCACTGCCGTACGAAGAGGACCGAGTCAGTGCTAAAAAGCAACTCGGTCTCTGAATATCAATGAGCAATCAATTTATTATTCTATTTTGCATGTGAATCAACAAACTACATATTCATTCACAACGAAAAGTTTATGCTGGCCAGTTTTGCTGCTAGTTCAGCTTCTTCGTCATCAGTGTCGTCGGTCTTATCAATGGTATCTACAACAACCTTCTTTGGTGACACTCCATTCTCTTCCACAGCCTGATCATGAGTCGTTATAGTATCAACCACATCGACTTTCTTTGACACACCATTCTCTTCAACAGCCTGATCATGAGTTGTACTGTCAACCACATCGACCTTCTTCTCTGCTGACACTCCATTCTCTCCCAATTGATCATGAGCTACACTTCCATTATCACCATCTCTCTGCTTCTTCTTTGGTGACATTCTCGCTTGTTCCTTCTCCAACACCATATTCTGCTTTTCTATAAGTGTATCTAGCTCATCCACCCATCCAAGCAACTCTGCCAGCTTCCTACAGCCTTCATCAGCAGGACCCAGGAATATGGCGTCACGTTTATATTCTTGTCGTGCATGGCTGAAATCGAATCCGAGAGCAGAGCTGCCTTGGTCTCCAACTTCTTCCATGTTTACTAGTAAGCGTGGTATGTGATCTGGCACTTGGTTGATGAGGGATGCGAAGGGTTGAACCTAACGGTTTGAATTGAAATGAGTGCTCGTGTGGACTTCGATATGCGTTCTGAGGCGATATGTACTTGTAATGAGGTTCCAATAACTATGAGTAAATCACATTGACTAAAGTCTGTTTGTGCCAGTTTGAAGAATCGTTCGGGCAGTCCTTCACCAAAGAAAACAATGCCAGGCTAACACATGGTAGCAGTAAAAGTCAGCCAGGGCAAAACACTGTCGTCTACATGATTAACGGTACCTTCACAAGACCACCACAATTGGGTTTGGGACACCGTGGAATCTCCTCGCGATCTACACATTCTTTAACAACTGACACAGGTATCTCGGTGTTGCATTTTGATTTCTTCTTTGTGCCAGCACAATGAGCACTGCCAAATGATCTATTGAAGACAAAAAAAATGTAGATTAGACTGGTGAACCTCAAGTAGCTGTTGCCAATCATTAGTTTTACCCATGCGCTTCCACAAGCAGCTCAGGATTCACACCTGCTACCCTCTCCAAGCTATTTCAAACAAAGGATAGTTTTCGTTGAAGGAGGATCGCATAAGTCGTGCTCCACAAGAAAAAGCGGTTAAAAAGCCCTGGCTCATGCTTTGAGAAACATGAAGCATGTCGTCAAGCACAGAGGAATACTACGAGCATACTCATGCAGATGCATGCCAAGATATAAGACTGGTCTAGCTAGTCAAGCGTGCTTACGTGTCAATGTTTTGCGTGAAATTGCGGAGCAATACATCCTTCTCAGCGAGCAGTCTGATAAAGTAGTGGGATAGAGTTGGTTTGAAGTTGCCAGGCCACATTTCTTTAGCAAGCATGTAGAATGGTTCGGGCTAACAAAAAAAAACGATTAGGACTGTTGAACTACGGTGACGAGGTTATCCATTCAACGAGGATCATACCTTGTCAAGAAAGTACTGAATGTAGAATATCGCTTCGGGAAATGGGAGATCGTACTTTTGTAGATTACTATATAAGCCAGTACCAGGAGTTCTAGCAAGAGTTGAATTGGGTGTCAGTTTCCTGTTCTGTCTCAACACAGCACACCGGCAGGTCAAGCAGCCTCAACCTAAAGTCGGGTATTCCTGCAGAAGTAGATATCCCAGCTCCCGTCATGACAATGATCTTGCTTGGGTTGTTGTTTTGAATGTAAGTTGCAAAGGATTCAATGGTTGAATCCTTCAAGACGGCCTTTGGATTGGGGGTATTGGAGCCCATGGTTGAAAGCAGCCATCGAAAAGGTTGCCTGAGTGCCTCCATATCAGGATCTTCACTGGGTGTTTCCTTCGTCTGATCAACTTTTGGGGGAGTTGGGACTGTTGTGACCACGCCTTCGTCGTTGCGATTCGGGCTATTATCTATTACTGGTGCTTTGGTGGGCTTGGTATACTGAGAGCCTTCAGATCGTGGTGCTGCCTGGTCGCTCATGTTGGCATCCTCTTGATAACGAATTGGTTGCAAAAGCGGTTGATGAAGGTTTTCGAAGAAGTGAGACGAGAAACGACAAGTGAAACTGACAGTGCCTGTTTGAGAGGGTGCTGCTGCTATGAACGGATTCCGGTTGCTCGTTTGCTCCTTCTCTGATCGTGGTGTGAACAGGGACGGACCGACATGTCAAACACTTGATGTTGGAGGACAGTTACAACCACAAATACAGTTTAAGTAGTAGTTTCTGCCGCATTCTGCTTAGACCTAAAGACCGTCTTTTGGTTGCATTGATCAGAGTCTTCATTAAATTTTTGCCAAGTCAATCCATCATACACGTCAGACTTGGAGTTTCTACACGCTTCCTGCTTCCTGGACAGATATACCAATCCAACACGTAGACTAATATTGAACGATCCTATGTAATAACAAAAAGTATCACATTTTCATAGTCAAGGAAGAATTACGAACATGAATAAACTAATTGTTGGCCGAAGAAACATTGCCTGGTAAACTGAGACAGAAAAAAATGTCTGAATAATCTGAATATTCGATGCCAATATTATGTGAAATCGTATAGGTCTTGATAGCCACCACACACGCAAAATAGCCACCACGCACGTGAAAATCTACTGACTATCGGAGAAGTACTGATTCCGAGCCTCTTGACGCGGACGAGTCTTCTACTGCCGAGAGAGTCTTAAATTTAGCTTGGATACACTGTAAATTCTTTGTTTTTGTCGCTCTACCATCTTTACTATCCCTCCTAAGCTCCAAAACTCTTGCCTTTTCCTACTCCCATCACTCGCACTAAGAACTCACGCTTAACGAAGCGACCGACGGTTAACGTGCAAAGAGGTAGGTTTACAGCGTTTTTGCGCATTTATGTTGATACATTTTCCCTCTTGCTTTCCACTGTTACCTCCGAAACTGACTGAGATTCTTTGTTTGAAAATAATAGTGACAGCACGTTCTAGCTTACAGCATCGAGGTTAGTTTTGGCTACTTTTAGAAGGAAGGTCATAGTCTTTACAAGGTACATCTACGCACTGACTGCTCGCAATTCGCTTACTGGTTATTCAAAACATGTTACATCTCGTCAACGCTAAGGACATGCAGTGCAGTAGCTTGTTACCCCAAACTCACCCAGCACTGGAATACTAACATTGGTCCCTCCTCTGATAGACAACCTAAAATATTTTATGCAGTCGGAGCTGACTACTGCTCCTCCTTCAGTCTTATTTTCAGTCACAAGGCTTTTGGTAAGTGCTTGAGATATTTTTGTCTCTTTCTCTTATTGTTTGTACATTGTATCACTCTTCTGAACTTCCAATAATGTCTGATTCCGCTTCTCTAGAATTGTATTTCAGAAGTAGTTCTTACGATGGTCTCCTTCTTCTACTCTGGACCTTCTTCGTCGGCTGAAAGGTCTATTGCTGCTGAACTACCTCCTGTCTCTGAATGGACGCATTCTTCTTCTGGAGGCGTTGTAGCAGCTGATCCTCGCCCTACTGTATTCGACCTCTTTGCCATTGAAAAAGTTCCCGAATCCAAAATGGAAGTGGAAGCATCACCCACAAGCATTGAAGGATCACAGGCTGACACGTTGTCAGTGTCAAAATCACCTGCTATGTTGAATAAAGAGGACTACGTAAGTTATTATTCCCTTAGGTTTGTCCCTTGAATTGCCTCTCATCTTTCTTAATTTTCGTAGTGTTTGGGCAAAATTATTGGCAAGGGCGGGTTTGGAGTTGTTCGATTGTGAGTATATATTTCCTCTATTTGGATTGAAAGTCTGTTCATTGGCTTACCGCAATTGACATAGGGCATTGCACAAATCTGGTGCTACTTTTGTCGTGAAAAGTGTGCAGTTGACTGAAAAATCCATGGTATGTCCATTGTGTCGTTAATTGCTGGTATGATTTCGAAAAGAAGCTTACACGCGTCTTCCCGCATTAGCAAGAACTGAATCTCTTGTCTTGGATCAATCATCGCAACGTCGTGAAATTAATCGGTTACTGGAAAACTGATGACACGTTGTCCATGGTGCTAGAGTAAGTGTTTTTGACCCAAACGGTGTCATTAAAGGCGAAATCTTTAACGATTGTTCAACATTAGATGGAGTGAAGGGGGATCCGTTGCGTCAATGATCAAAACCTTTGAACCATTGAATGAACCGATCGCTGCTGTCTATATCTATGGCCTCCTTGAAGCTTTGTCTCACATTCACTCTCATGGACTTGTCCATTTAGATGTAAAAGTATGTCACATACGCTCTGGAACTACAGCTCTTTCAGGAAACTGATCCTTTTTTGCCTTCAATTTTGTAGTGCGCGAATATTCTAGTCAACAAGGCTGGACTTGTTTGCTTGACTGATTTCGGTGTATCCAAATATGAATCTGAATTGTTGGCTGACCCAGAAGCTTTTGGTAAGGTTTACGTATTATGACAATGACGTTTGTGTACTTTCTCTTACGCTCCTCGTTCGTGTACTTTCTCTTACGCTGCTCGTTCAAACCATGATAGAGGGATCACCATATTGGATTGCTCCAGAGCTGATAACTCTAGAGGGAGGAACACGTAAAAGTGATATTTGGTCTCTAGGTTGCTCTCTTGTTGAGATGATTTCTGGAAGTCCACCATACATCAAACTGGGACCTATGTCTGCATTATTCCGTATCGTTGAAGGTCAGAGTTAAAGCAAGCTCACTACATTACTTACTACTAACTCTTGTTGTTTTGAACAGATGAAGAAGTACCATTACCGGAAGGCATCTCGGTCGTAAGTTTCCACTGCTGTCCCATCCAAATGAGCAGTTACTTTTATTCTAACGAACCTTCACACCATAGGAGCTGACCTCGTTCTTGCGTGCCTGTCTGCAAAAGGACCCAAAGAAACGAGCTTCTGCTGCAGACTTGATGAAACATCAGTGGATCGTAAAACACCGCCCATCTGATCTGACGCTTCCATTGGCTGACGACAATGTGGTTGATCCATTGATTGATTTCGCAGCATCAAAGGCCGTCTCTTTTGCCGTCGATTCTGCCAGCAGCGCTGTTTCCACTGCTACAAGTGACACAGCTGTCTGCAAGGCTCTTGGACCCGATATATACATATTTCCAATTCGCCGTGAATCACTCCCCGAGTTCCGAACCTCAGCAACCCCAACAACCAAAGTATCCGAGTATCCTGTCAGGACAGACTCTTTGGCCGCTACCCGAACTACCGCAAACCGTGTATCATCAGACTCGACTACAACATCCGCTCCACCATCATCCATTGCTTCTGCAGAGTCGAGCTATATTGAAACTACGAATCATGCATCATGTAAAGTGGATATCAGTAAAACCAGACAAAAACGTACACTATGGACAAGATTGAGATGGGCTCAGGGCGGATCCAAGGCAAAAGCAGCAGCAACATCAGCTACACCAGCAGACGGAAATCAAGGTACAATCAACGTGTTGGGTGAAAAGAAGAAGAGAAGGGTTGGTTGGTTGAGGAAAGTCAAGAAGGAATAGTGCTTGGATATTAATGTGCCGCTGAGAAGAAAAGTATCTTGTTTGACTTGTTTGTTTGTTAAAAAGCCTCAGTAGTACGAACTGTATAGTAAACCATATGTGAATCTAAAAATGCTTTGTTATTTTGGCCCCTGCAAACCAACCATGTTCATCAAATTGCGACCTGTTTCCTCTTGACGTACTTGAACTAGATCTTCAGCTGTATACCGGGGGTTTGAGTCATATAAAGCGAGTGGGTTACGTTTATGGTGAATGATCACTGGCAAGTTGTCGAAGCACCTAAGGTGTTGATTGACTCCACGACCCACTTTAAATGGGCATGGAAATACAAATAATAGATAGAATCTTATAAATCTATACATCTTGATAGTTCGCTGTCGAACCTGCATCCCGCACGTGCAAATCTACTGGCTGACAACGTGAGTTCTGAGCTTATTGACGCGAACGAGTCTTCCAGCGCCAGGAGAGTCTTGAAGATAGATCGAGTACTATGTAAGCCTCTTTTTCCTTTCGCTCTACCATCCTTCATGTGGGAGCAAACCCTTCTAAGCTTCAAAACTCCTATACGTCGTGAATCGTTGGCTGCCTCTCGAGCTCAAGCACCAATCCCACCACCATCCGACTTGAACGAATACCCCGTCAGGAGAGAATCGTTGGCTATTTACTGAAATCTTGCGTCAACGGAAACAGCCGAGACCGATATATCATCCTCATCCACTGCTGACCGTATTGACCTCGATGTATCTTGCCATATTGAGGGGAGTGCTAGTAAAAATCAACATGAACGTAACTTCTTCAAGAGTTTCGGCTGGTCTAAAAAGACTCGCACCTCCAACCCAAAAGCAACAGCACCACTGCCAACAACAGATGGATTATCGCCACGTATCGGAAGTGTACTAGCCGACAAAATGAAGTCTGGTGGAATGCGAGGGTGGAGCGGAATGGTTAAAAGGAGCAGGAAAGCCAAGTAATGATTTGATGGAAGTGTAAGATAGGATGGTAGTGTACAGGAAAAGCCTTTGTGAGAGGAAAGACAGAGGATTTGTGTTAGTACAAAACTATAGGAGGAAGAATAAATGTCTACAAAAACATTCAAAAATGTATCAATTTTGTAACAAACGAAAATCTTTCACCTTGTGGCCTCTTCTAAATCGTCATTTGAGCTCCTTTCGTGTTTCTATTTAGATGTTGTCGCGATCAATGCTACATCTATAGGCCTATGGGCTATATCTAATGTCGCGAAAATTTCCTTGACATACACGTATTACCTCTGCTGGTTGCTGGTTGGCCAGTCCAACATTCTTTAAAATCTTCCAAACATCGGAAACAGAAAGAATTAAGGAAATAGCGACGTGGAGCGCTTAATCAAGTCTGATTCAAGTACAGCCGACATCCTCATACATAGGAACTAGACTTTAGCTACATCATAAGCTCAAGATCATTCAAACATGGTATGATATCCTAGGCTTCGTTTTTGGGCTTGCGCAGTTCGTCAATGGGTGCTATTCGGCCAGGACTCGCTTTGAATTTAAGAGCGCTCCTTTCTACTATAATATTTCACATCCAAATTATACTGACATCTCTCCTTTTCATTCAGTCTAAGCGACAAAGGGAGGATTCTCCAACTCGTTCAGGAATTGCACCATCGTCACCCGCTGGAGTTGGAGACCAAGAAGAAGCTCCCGAAGGAGGCGATTTACCCTTCCAAGAAGATGATAATGAGCCTCTACTCGAAGAAGCCTTTGTCAATGACATTCACGATGAGGAAGATGAAGATGACGAAGGAGAGGACTTGTTTGGTGATAATCTAGCTGCGTAAGTAGTACGATATTTGCTAAACAATTTATCGGCAATGAGTGAGATCTATAACCACTATTGTTTGTAGCGACTACCAAGAAAACGAACGACTAGATCGTTATGATGGCGAACTCAACATTGACGATGAGGATTATGATGAAATGGATATGGCAGATCGATTGGCGATTAATGCTAAATTGAATCGTCGTGATCGAGAAGCCGCTAGACGTGAAGGACGAGGAGACGCTTTTGGTGACTCTGGTAAACAAAAACAAGAACCTTTGCTGCTATTATTTCAAGAAATGCATATCTAAACTTCTGCTTGTCTGCATATAGATGACGATGATCATCGCGAACTGCCCATGATTCGCAGACACCGTCGTCAAATTGATCTTGAGGATGAAGAGGCAGATGAAGTACATATCGTCGCGTGTCACTCTCTTAAAGCAGATGCAGTTTCTAAACGTGTCCTGTAATTTAGGACGCAGCCCTACCTCTGGAAGCATTGCAAGAAGTCAAAGGTCCCATCAGTGCCTTTGTTCAAATGAATGGGCCTAGAAATGCCATCAAACGTGAATTTGGACACTTCTTAAATACTGTTGTGGATGAGGGTGGACAATCAGTATATGGACTGCGTATTAAAGCTATGGCTGAAGGTGTGTCATGTGTCCACAGATCCATCTCGTTTTTTTGCGTCGTTTAATGTGATCCGTTTTTGTGTAGCCAATGGTGAAAGTTTGGAAGTCGACTACAATCATTTGCAAAGCAACAAGGCTATCTTGGCTTACTACCTGTCTGACTCTCCCAATGAGATGTTGAAAATCTTTGATGAAGTCGCTCTCGAGATGACTGTGAGCATGTTTGTTCATTACAAAGAAATCCAAAAGGAAATTCATGTCCGAATCACTAATTTGCCATCTGTGGATTCGTTGCGTGACTTAAGGTACTGTCATAGCACGGCTTCTATCGCTACTGTTTTTTTTTTCTCATTGATGTCGACCTAACAACCTTCAACACAAATTACGTAGACAATCCCACTTGAACTCCCTTGTACGGACAAGTGGTGTAGTGACTCGACGTACTGGTGTATTCCCACAATTACGGTACATCAGATACCGTTGTTTGGCCTGTGACGAAGTTTCTCGAGTCCATTATCAAGATCCAACTCAGGAGCTCAGAGTCCGGATTTGTGAGGACTGTCAAGGCAGGAACACATTGAGAATCTGCCAGGAGTTGGTGTGTAGTTTATAGCCACTATAATCCCATTTTTACGCACAGCCATCTCAAATCCTTTGCCTTGAATGATCTTATTAGACTATATATCGCAACTTCCAAAAATTGACTTTGCAAGAAAGTCCTGGAACCGTTCCTGCTGGTCGGTTGCCTAGACACAAGGAGGTTATCTTGACTTGGGATCTTGTTGATTCTGCACGTCCAGGAGAAGAAGTGGTATGCCGTGAGATTCTGGACGGAATTTCTTTGCCCGCCTTCGGCTCTGACACTTTGATCTACTGCTTCGAAGGAAATTACTGGAATTTACCGCAACAACTTCGATATGTCTCTTAATTCCAAGAATGGCTTCCCAGTGTTTGCCACAGTCATTGAAGCAAACCATATTTCTAAAAAGGAAGATTTGTTTGCTAGTACTCGTCTTACTGAAGATGATATCAAGCAAATTCGTAGTTTGGGCAAAGATGATCGTGTTCGTCAGCGCGTGAGTACTACGAGAGCTTATCAGAATAGGGAGACCATTTTTTGTGCGGTTCCTCAAACTCTGTCAATTCTTCTAGATCATCAAATCAATTGCTCCATCCATCTTTGGACACGAAGACATCAAAACCGCATTAGCACTCGCCATGTTTGGAGGAGTAGCCAAGAATCCAGGTGGCAAACATCGTATTCGTGGTGATATCAACGTCTTGGTGTTGGGAGATCCCGGTACAGCCAAATCCCAATTCCTCAAATATATTGAAAAGACGGCACATCGTGCTGTATACACTACTGGTCAAGGAGCATCAGCTGTTGGTTTAACTGCCAGTGTACACAAGGATGTAGTAACTCGTGAATGGACTCTGGAAGGCGGTGCTATGGTGATGGCTGATAAAGGTGTTTGTCTTATCGATGAATTCGATAAGATGAATGATAAGGATCGGTGAGTTGGATGAACATTCGTGGCTTTTGGTCGGCCTTGTTTTGTTTCATTGCTGTTTGCTGTAAGAAAAGAAAGGATTGTGCCTAATTCTCACGCACTCGAATAGAACCTCGATTCACGAAGCTATGGAACAACAATCCATCTCCATCTCCAAGGCCGGTATTGTCACGACCCTACAAGCACGATGTTGTGTTATAGCTGCAGCAAATCCAATCCGTGGTCGATACAATCCACAAATTCCCTTTTCACAAAATGTGGAATTGACGGAACCCATCTTGTCACGTTTTGATATATTGTGTGTCGTTCGTGATACTGCCGATCCTGTAGCTGATGAAGCTTTAGCCATGTTTGTTGTGAATTCGCATATTCGTAGTCATCCAGACAATCAGGATGCTGCGTCCAAGAAGGTTGCGCCTGCACAGGACAAAGAAGTATGCAGAGGCGATAGAATGAATGGATTTTTTTGGTGATGTGGTGGTTGACTTGAAATTGCTTTGATTAGATCATCCCACAAGAATTGCTGCAAAAGTATATCATGTATGCTCGTGATCATGTTCATCCGCGTATCTCGGATGCTGATACGGATAAGATTGCTGCCTTGTATTCGGATCTTCGTCGAGAATCTCAGGTAACAGTTCCGTCATCATGTCCAGGAATCGGCTGCCAGAGGTTTTGCGGTCGCTTTTTTCACTCCAATTATCTCACCATCACTTGTTTATGACTTACCTATAGACTGGAGGATCTGTACCAATCACAGCACGTTCATTGGAATCCATTATTCGAATGGCCGAAGCCTTCGCACGTATGCATTTACGTGATGTCGTGCTGCAAAGTGATATTGATCGAGCTATGAGTATTGTTATTCGATCTTTCATCGGAGCTCAAAAGTATTCAGTCAAGAAGCAGCTTGCCAGAGTAAGTTTCCTCTTTGCTTGTGCTGAGTGTGCGGGAGTTGATAGTCAAACCCATTTGGTCTTGCTAACCCACATTTTTTTTGCGTGTATCTTTCGCAACTTGGAATAATCAACTAAATTCTTTCTCACAAATCTACTATTCCGCATGCAGGCCTTTTCCAAATATGTATCATATGATCAAGATCATGATGAATTGGCAAACCACATCTTGTCACAATTACAAAAGGAGACAACCAACTTCTTTTACTATCAACATGATGAGATGCCTGAACGTGTTGAGATTGATTCTACCGAGTTTGCTACACGCGTAAGTTGTGTCGAACTGTTGAATCTTCAGATGCTTTACCTTTCATCGTTCCCCTCTCTCCCCACTCACACATCACAACTTTGGTATAGTGCAAAGAGGTCAACATATATGACGTGCTACCATTCTACCAAAGTCGTTTGTTTAGAGACAACTTTGTTTATGATCATGTTAAGAGAGTCATTGTCCCTCGTCGTTGAGGAAACTGTAGGATCTCGGTGGAAGGTGTATCTGTTTGGTTTGTGTATATTTAGAAGGAGTGTTTCCGTAATATAAAATGAATGCTATTCGTATCCGCAAATTGACTATTCGTTGTTTCGTTAGAAGTTTGTGTTATTCTTTTGGCAAAGCTGACTATTTACAATTCACATCATAATTCGACTCTCTTCATCAACTGCACCCTCTACACCAGCCGGAAAAGGAGTACCTGACGAAACCTATGAAGGAGGTCGTGACACTTCCAATGGTCAATCATATAGACGTCTCTTGAGACATGTCCATTCGCGTTATTTTGGATTGCTGACCATGGATGTGATTTGCCTGGCCATGTATTAGCATGCATGCAGTTTACCAGATTCAGTACTTGAACATAATATGGATCGAGCAATGAGTATTGTCATTCGAGCATTGCAAGGAGGTAGATTATCAGGATGTAATTCCAGAGCAAGTACGCTAGTTGTGTGTTCAGGTTTCGATGGTGAAACCAATGCTCTATGCTAGGATGTTTTGTTTTTGGTCTTAACGTCGCAAATTGAATAACCCCATCTTCTAGCATCGTACCGACATTTAGCGACATTGAATCATACAATGCACGATTTATGATGACCTGGCAACCTCATACATCTTGTCTCGATTCACGAGACGTGAATGCCAACTTCTTTGAACAGTATGACACGTTTGAATGTGTTGACATTGACTAGTATTGAGTTTTTCTGTATTTGGGTTCAGTTATGATGAACTGGTTGAATCGTCAGATTGGTCTTCTTGAAGCGCGTGCCTTCTTTTTGGCCTCTGTCAAACCACAACTAATACATCCTCTTCACTTCTTTATGAAGTGCAAAGAAGTTGGTATCTACGACGTACCAACCATGCTACTTAAGTACGTTTTGTTTGAGTATGATGAATGTTTCGTTACTCCTCGTCGTGGGCATGTAGGGATTGATGAAAAAGCGTTGAGATAAAACGTCCTTTCTTTCCCTCTTGTTCTTTTGTTCCTCTCTTTGCGAGAAATCGTTGTCCTCGTAACATTGAAACACATATGCCGCCCACATTGTCCAGCACACTGTTCTTTGACTTGAAAAGTGCAGCTCTGTTTATCTCTCCACTCTCTTTTTAGTTACAAGAATATAAAAGTTTCTTCTTAAGCCGACTTTTGAGCAGCGACAAGAGCTTCAAAGACCTCTAGTTCAGCTTTTGCAGCAGCCTTTTCGATTTCCGAAGCACCTGAAGCGGAAGCCTTTCGTGTTGCTTCGTCGGCTCCTCGACGTGCAGCCTATGGTAATAGAGTGTTGGTACAAGAATGTTTATGGGATGACGTGGTGAGTCTTACATCAAAGTCGACTTGTTCTAAAGGCACGGCTTCGACAGCATTAATATTCATTGTCGAGTCTGGGTTGATGATTGCGAATCCTCCACTCACTAGATGGTATAAGATGAGCACAATGCATTGTACAATCCACAATCCAACATCGCTGTACACAACATCCACTACTAGTCTATTACATACCAAAAAACTTTTTCGTCTTGTCAGCGCCCTGAAAGATCTCGACGATACCGGGAGCCAATTGGGCAATCATTGGTACGTGGTCAGCGAGGATACCCATGTCCCCTTCACTGGATGTGATGTTGACTTGGGTGATTTCGACATTTTTGAGGAGAGTGGTATGAGGGACGGCAAAGTTTAGGAGGAGCTTGCCAGCAGCGGGTGCGGTTGTGGGGGCTGTTTCAGTTGCCATTTTGGATACTATTGGGGGAAAGGTGTTAGGGATGATGATGGTGAAAAATATGTTTGGTAGTTTGTTATGCCAGTGCATCCAAACATATAGTATGATGACCTACATTGTATCCTGTTGAATGCGGCCCTTCGGGCGATGGATGTGGCGGCTACTCGCAACATTATGGTATACTAGACTGTCTGATGCAACTCGTCGGAGCTTTGACTGCTGTGTGTTTTTTGGGAGTGAGGATGAAGATGGTGTAGGGCCAGCGAAGATGTGATTGGAACGTGTAGTATCAACGTATATACTATATTATCACGCTCCTGCATGGCTCTACCGTGTTAAGTTCGACACTAGCGATGTAGAATCACGTCCACCACCACATTTGCATCGTTGTGTAGAATACGCGTACATTCAGCCACCAGGACTAATCAAAAGCAACCCATATCACAAATAAAGTATGTATGGAGGCATATAGCACGTTCTCTATCTTGTTCTCTATCTACCAAATCATGCAACACACCCTCCGACTTTCAGTACAAACTTTTTTGTCTTGCCCCTACCAAACTAGAGAGGAAGCTAGTATACCATCATGTTTGCCAGGAGCTTATTGAGCTCGAGACTACAAGCAAAGGCCCTGTCTAGGGCTGCTGCCTCAAAATGGACTGGTACGTATAAACACTGCATAAGTAACAGCAAGTGCTTTTTTCATCCGGTGTGAGTGAATTGTGTATGAGGGTAGAGGACTGTACAAGGCATCAAGCAGAGGATGCATCCTGTATCCTACTGGATGCAGCCATCCATATCGACAATGGATGAAACGCGTCATACTTTGACTACAGCCAGACATCAAAAATTTCCCATTTGCTGTGAAAAAAGGCTGCAAAATGTTATTCCATGAAGAGCACACTGTACATCACACAAACGAAAGGGTATATTTACATACCACATTTCACTAACAATTTCGTCCCCATACCAGCTCGAGGATTAGCTACTTCCAGTGCTGAGGCTACTGGTTATGTCCGCTCGGTCATTGGTGCTGTTGTAGACGTACAGTTCGACTCGGGTAACTTGCCCCCTATCCTCAACGCTCTCGAGGTCCAAAACCACAACATTCGTCTCGTATTGGAGGTATCTCAACATTTGGGGTGAGCATAAAGGGTTGACAATGTTCCTTTTTTTGGTTGGTGCCATACCTGATTGTGGCATATCTCGCATAATATCATATTACATGCGTATATATTACACAGAACATATCACTCATATGCACCCTATCTATCACAGAGAAAACACTGTACGAACAATCGCTATGGATGGTACCGAAGGTCTCGTCCGTGGTCAACCCGTAATGGACATGGGCGCCCCAATCACAGTCCCAGTAGGCCCAGAATGTCTTGGTCGCATCATGAACGTCATTGGTGAACCAATCGACGAACGTGGTCCCATCAACGCCAAACACTCTCGTCCAATCCACGCAGACCCTCCAGAATTCGTAGACCAGTCCACAACCCCACAAATGCTCGAAACCGGTATCAAAGTAATAGACTTGCTAGCCCCTTTCGCCAAAGGTGGTAAAATTGGATTATTTGGTGGTGCCGGTGTAGGTAAAACCGTCTTGATTACCGAATTGATCAACAATGTCGCACAGGGTCATGGTGGTTATTCTATTTTCTGTGGTGTCGGTGAACGTACTCGTGAGGGTAACGATTTGTATCATGAGATGATGACTGCTGGTGTTATTAAGCTGGAGGGTGGAAGTAAAGCTGCTCTGGTTTACGGACAAATGAACGAACCCCCAGGTGCTCGTGCTCGTGTCGCTTTGACTGGATTGACTGTTGCTGAATACTTCAGAGATGCCGAAGGACAAGATGTGTTGCTCTTTATTGACAACATTTTCCGATTCACTCAAGCTGGTTCTGAGGTAAGCTTTGTTGAATTGTTGGATGTGATGTGAGATCGGAAGAGAGGATCAGAAAAGGAAAACATTGATGATGTTGGCGAGGCTCACAAAGAACGAATGACTTTGTGACAAAAGCTATCAGTCCAGATCTGGTGATATAATCACTTGAGAAAGTCCTAATTATGGCCTTTTTTTGTTGCATCTTACATAACCCATCACGTTCCATTCCACTCAACTTACTCCTTTTTTAGGTGTCTGCCTTGTTGGGTCGTATTCCATCTGCTGTCGGTTACCAACCTACTTTGGCTACAGACATGGGTCAAATGCAGGAAAGAATTACCACCACCAAGAAGGGTTCCATTACATCCGTGCAGGCAAGTATCGGAAGTTTATGATGATCATGTTATTGTGTCGGTGGAAATATGATTTGCAATGAGACTCGAACGGTTATGCTCCATTTTTCTTTTGGCTCTTCAATTAACCATCATCCATCATTCCTGGAACTAGGCCGTATACGTACCAGCCGATGACTTGACTGATCCCGCTCCAGCCACCACTTTTGCTCACTTGGACGCCACAACTGTCTTGTCTCGTGGTATTGCTGAATTGGGTATCTACCCAGCTGTCGACCCTCTCGATTCAAAATCACGTATTCTCGACCCCCGTATTGTCGGTGCTGAACACTACGATATCGCTACCAGTGTCCAAAAAGTCTTGCAAAACTACAAGTCTCTCCAAGATATTATTGCCATCTTGGGTATGGATGAATTGTCTGAAGAAGATAAATTGACTGTTGAGCGTGCTCGTAAGATCCAGGTAAATGAGTGCTGGAATTTGTTGTCGTAATTTTTGTTTTTTGGTGGATTAGGCATCAATTCGTGTGTGTATGTGTTTGTCCAACCATATCCTTTCTTATGTAGAAATTCATGTCTCAACCCTTCACAACCGCTGAAGTCTTTACTGGTTACTCTGGTCGATACGTCAAGCTCGCTGACACCATCCGATCATTCAAGGTATATTAGTACCTCATCATGCCCGTTTTTGTTGTTCGGGTATTCAATTTTTCTTCTATTTAGGAAATCTTGGACGGTGTGTTCGTGGACAATAGAATCCGTTCCGTTGTTTGTACTGACTTCCGTTTTCTTTTTCGTTTTTAGGAAAGCACGACTTTTTACCAGAAGCCGTAAGTATTAGATGAAAGAGCTAATGATGCCACTACCATTTTCAGAACGTCTTGTCTGAACTGTGAAACTCATTATCATTTGTTTTTGTAGGCTTTTTACATGGTTGGTGACATTGAAGAAGCGTAAGTTTTCTTGACCTTTGGTTTATTTGTACTCTGTGTACTAACTCATGTTTGTCTCTGAATATAGTCACAAGAAGGCCGACGAAGTACGAACTCTTTGTATCATGCTTCACAAGCTTTCATTTTTACTGATTTTTTTCTCACCTCTCATAGATTGCCAAGTCTTTGAAGCAGTAAAACTCTTTACCCCCCATTAAAAGAAAAAGATGAAATGTGTACACCGAAGTTAAAGATAAAAAAATAAACGCCCAAATTTTTCATTTCATGTGGTGTCTGTCTGTGTTCGGAGCCAAAAAACCCTGTCCGGAAGTCTCCATGATAGTTGATGGCTGGAACAACAACGTGGATTGTACTTGTAAGACTCTCTGTTGAACTTGGTCTTAATGAGCACACAATCTCTATTGAAAAGCTAACCGAGATAACATCGTTGTCACCATATTACCAGGAACATTTCAAACCTTCCACAAAATCACTTTGAAGTGCATCTGCAATGACGCATACCACAATGCAGCAATTGAGAAACAACTGTGAGCTGCGTTTTGAAGAGAGCGCAAAAACAGCAGTTTAAACAGAACTTGAATGCAGCATTCCCAACGTTGTAACTACCTTTAACTCTCGACGTGATCCTCATTCCAATACACCCCGACGAGAGCATGCAACCTAAAACAATAACCTGCAAAACCAGCGAATACGTGCTTTATGAACAAACTCCTTCTCAAAATACTCGTCACTCAAATCAGCAACCATCAGCTCGTCACGTCGTCAAGAAGGAAAGCTGATAAATGTAGTCGTCTCTTGACTCGTCCTGGTTTGATTCCGTTGTGCTGTTTGTTCCAGCGATGACTCGTGACTCGAGATCGTCTTCTTGTGTCCTTGGATCACATCTAAGTTTGCGTTTATGTGGTGAGATATCGTCCATCTAAAAAGGATGTTTCCTATTGTGTGGCTGTACTTTTTCTTGCGAGGCAACGAGTGCGTTCACTCCCAGACCAATGTAGGTGAAAATGCAATATTGTCAGACACTGAAACTCGAGCAAAACAAAAAGTGGGATAAAATCTTGGAATGACGTTTTACCAACACATTTTATGGGTCCACACTGGTTTATGAATGCGTGTACTGGTGTTTCTTGACCCGTTAACGTTTTGACCATTCGACATAAACGAAATCCGTCTGAGTAGCAACACTCCTTTCACCAAAACAAGCCTTCTCTATCCATCTTGAAGGTTTGCGTTCCAAAGCATCATCAACCCGCATCTCAGTCTCATATGAACTTAATGGATGAACCCAGCAGTTTGGCTTGTTAAAAGCTGACAGTTCGCGGAAACTTCACTACAGAAACAGTATCAGTGATAAATGTAGTGCCTTTTTGTGGTTGTGTTCGCAAAAGTACAAGAAATCCAGGCTTACCGACGTTTTGACGATGGATACCAGCACCCGGTAATTCATGCCATGTAAGAATCGAATTCCCGGACTCAGCCAAGAAAGTGCATGATCTCACCCTCGACGTCTCTCCAGTCTGCAGCCTAATCACCTATAAGAATGAAACTTGAGAGCGAGGGTAAGCCCATCCGTAAACAATAGTCCTCCAGATTCAATCAAGATAGCATAGCTGAAACACGAAAAAGACATGCGATAGTGAGATCTTCTCTAAGATTGTTCTATTTTCTTTTTCTCAACAACACTCTTGTTATACTTGCACTCTTAAGAATTACACAACAGATTCAGACCATGATCCACCAACAACCAAACACGAACAACAAACATCATTCAATCCACTGAAGAAGCCCTTAATCCTTCCACAAATTGACTTTGAAATGCACTGCGTGTCTCATTCCAAGTGATGCAGCTATGTGTCGAAGAACAGAGGTGTGAGGCGAGAATGTATGATCACGCATGAAAAAACGGAGATGTTCCAATGCGATCATACATACCAATGTTGTAACGTCCTTGTCTCTTGGCTGGATCTTCATTCCATACACCCTATGAAAACGTCGTTAGTATTCAAGACAGTGGAAAAAATGGCAATAAGTCCCGGCTCCTATGTTACACTCACCCATTTCTTTGGATCATCTTCACCCACAAGTTCAAGGTTATACCTTTGAACGATTGCGCACATGAATATCATTCCTTCTTGTTGGGCCATGTTCATTCCGAGACTGTAACAGAATAGGAGTGATAAGAGTGAGATGATGAAATTCCAGCAACAGAAAGCGACCCCAAACCAAAAGGATCCTGCTTTACTAACCAAATACGTGGGCCACAGTTAAACTGTGGGTACTTGTACTGGTTTATCTTGACCAGACGACCTTCTTGGTCGATCCATCTAAACCACATATCGTTGGTCAGAGTCTCAAGTCACGTTCAAACCAAAAGAAAAAAACCATTTACTCACCGAGAAGGCTTGAACTCCATGGCGTCATCACCCCACAATTCTGTCTCTTTACCCATAACATACGAACTCCATTCAACAAAGTCACCCTTGTATACTTTAGCACCAGATGGCAAGTAATCGTCTTCAGTAGCCATCTTTCGTGATGTGGGGACGTTGCAATCCAATCGTAAGGCCTGAGAAAAAAAACGAAACGTAAGGCAATTGTATTTAGTTACAAGAAGATGCGAAACTTACTTCAAGGAAGACAGCATTAGCAAACTTCAAATCCTTCAAATGCTCGTAGCTGCAAGGACCATCGCCAAGCACTTGACGAATTTCTTCACGTAATTGTTTCATTATTTCTGGTGCTTTGGCGAGTCGCCAGAATGCCCATGAGAGTGTTTGGGCCGTTGTATCACGGCCTGCGATGATGAAGCTACAAGGGAGGCGAGAAATCAGTCAGTAAATGTGACCTGACGATATGAAGTATACGGTTCTTTGCATTTGCAACCAAACAATAGAAGATAACAAGTATAAGAGACATACTTCATAATAACATCTCTCAAATACTCATCGCTCAAATCAGCACCATCGGCTTGCACATTATCAAAGAAGAAGTCTAACAAATCCATTCGTCTCTTGACTTGTGTTGGTTTATTCCTTTGTGCCTTCTTTTCAGCAATGACACGGAGACAGAAATCGTCTACGGTTTTCTTGTATCCTTGAATGATATCGTATCTGCCGTTGAGGCGCTGAGTGACCTTCCACCTATCAGAATTCACGTTATTACATGCTGTGTTTTTTGCGTGAGGAGTACAACGGGCTTCCCGGTTTCTTACATTGGGTCAATGCCGCGAGAAATGCATAGCTCGTTCAGTTTGTCGAATGCCTAAGTTAAATTAACATAAGGCTCTTTCTTACAGGCGAAAAAGATGAAAGTGCTTGAACTTACAGTCATGAATGTGACTTCGGGCAAACTGTACAGTCCATCGTGAACTTCACCCTTGACTTTCATAGCACCCACTGATGTTCCCATGGCCAGTAGTGCGAATGAATCACTATGCAGATAAAGGGTAAGAGAGTCATTCTGCAAGCAAAAGGCCGTTAGTACTTTTCAGTCTTACATTGTAGACTTCAACAAGATATCTTGCAAATCAAAAATAGCACCAGCTTGTCTAGCATTCTCGATATGTGACACAAGTAGTTTAGATTCTTCTTCGAAAATGGGACAGAATTCGTCTCGGAAGTTTTTGATGTTGAAGATGTTTGAAGCTGTCTTTCGTTGAATCTTCCTACAAACGAGCGATGCATGTGATGAGAATCGTCGTGGTTTTCAACTCTATTGCGGTAGTGAGGAGGGAGGAAAGTCTTACCAGTCGTCACCATCGGAAACAAAGATACCGTGACCAAGGAATTCGTAAAAGAAGACCGACCCTTATATACCAAAGCATGCCGTTATTGGAATCTGGGATGGTGCCAATGGAAATACTCTATACTCACCAATGCCGCCCTTGATGTACTTGTATGGATCTTTCATGACGTGTCTGATTTGAGGGTGTGTTGGTGAGTCAGTGGATATCCGACAAAAAAAGAGATAACACATTGACAATGGCACGTACTCGACATCTCGCCAGTCAAAAGTCATAATCACCTATATAGGAACGAAATCCAAGTCAGAGAAAACGAACCTAGGTCCCATCGCAATTTGCTTACATTTCGGTTAATAGTACTAACAAATAGAGGCTTCAAGCCATACTCCTTGTACAGCTCATATCTCCATTCCAATCTCTTTTGAATGTTATTGATAACCATTGGCAAATGTCCATAGATTGGTTTTGCTCCAGGCAAGATGGTAACAGTTTGATCTCCTTTGCGGTTTCGAGTTCCCCATGCGTGCTCACTAGATGATATAAAATGATGCAAGATAATGAGCGTCAAGTTGAGACAAGCGTTTGAATAACAACATAACAAGAATGCAAAGATCGTGGGGACAGATTGGAGATCTAACGTACGCATAGTAGAGACGAACTAGTCCATAACCCACAACCAGGGAAGCAGCGGTAGCAGCTACTACAGCCAATGCACGTTTGGCCTGGTCGTTTGAGCTTGACATCTTTGCCTATAACTGACACATGTGAGCTGATTCATCTTTTTTTGCAATGTCCATCAGAGCAAGAAACATACTCGGAGAACTTACCTCCAAGACTGGTACTGGCTTCTAAAGAGTAGCAAGAGCTAGCGAATGTGAGCTTAGTTGGGTTTGGTTGCGTTGTCTAGCAAGATGTTGTGACAAACGAAAAATAGAGTGTGTGATTTGCGGAAGACGCACATCTATTTCTCCTCCTCTTTTGCTCGGCACGTTTTTCAGCCACAACGTGGTATATAGTACGTGGCAAGCTAAGAGGCAGTACCTTCTTTTAGTTTTTAGTTATCTATTATCTATATATTGTTGGACGTGATCTCGGGTACGCACTGCAAATTCAACACCTTTTACGCCTTCTAACTAATCATATCACATTTCGCGTTGCAGCAAACGATTAAAGAACAGGACTTCATATACAGGACTTTACTCTGCATCCATCTATATATGGTGAAGCCTGTTTTTTCAAAGATTCGCTATTAAGCCTGCTCCTTCAACGTTTACCAAGCCTAATCTCACACTGTTCCCGGCTGGTTGTCGTTTCAAAGTGGTGAAGGATATTCATTGTCTATTTGCAGGCGCATTCTACATGATCTAAGGTTCATACCTTCTTGACTATTTCGTTGTAACATAATTCCAACTATCCCCGATACAAAGTTTGCTACTTGTTGCTTCTTCTACACGTTCACCTAGTTGAACGTCTTGTTCCTCCAAATCATTTGACAATCCCAAAGCAATACCTCCAACAAACAAGAGCATGCCAGTCCCTTCAAGTTTCAATGATGAAGATGTTGCAGGGCGTACTGAGACCAGTGACATCAAAGCGTTACCAGACAAGATTGTAGGAGTAGTTCGATTGATGGCTGGGCATTGTACAGATTCGAGTTCTGAGAGACCTACTACAAGTTTACCAACATGCACATCCGTCAAACCTATATTTCGTCCTGATAGGAGCATTCCGTGCCAACCTGCAGCACCGTTGGTATCGTTCCGTAGTCCAGCTGTTCGTCAAAATTCTCGAAGACTCTTGACGTGTTGTAAGGCACCTTGCGCATATGTCGATTCACTGGAGAAGTGTGGTTCAAGAATGCGCTTCAATGATTTCTCTATACTAGAACATTATGTGCTGACATCCTGATACAGCTTCTTGATTGCTGCCGTATTCCAATCTTTTGATACCAGAGCTGGTGAAAATAAGGTCTTGCTGCTGGTATGCTTTAATATGCCATCCAGCACAAACACTGGCAACAGGAGAGGAGTACAAGCCACATGAATCGACTGTTTAGCGCCCACTGGCTTTTTAGTCTTTTTAACTACCTGAGGTGATTCAAACCATTGCAAATGAGGTTGGTCAACAACACACCAATCCTTTGTCCAAAACAATGGTTGATGTTGAGGTTCAGAGCTCAAGGAAGCAGCAATGAAGATGTTTGCTGAATTGAACATATGAGCTGCATAATTTAAGTAATTAAATTGCTACTTGATGACCCTGCAATCTCGTCCACGAAAAGAGCTTCGCCTTTACCACTTTAAAAATGATTGAAATAATCCAAGAGGCAGCAGACAAGGAACTCTCACCGCGACGGCTTAATATGATTTTAAAAGTCCGGGATCTACTGCGTGGACTGTAATCTCACTCCTTCAAGGCCTGGTGGTGGTTGCAAACGATGTAGTGTTCGAGAACTTGGTAGAGTTACTACAGTTCAATACGATTTCTGACGAGGATGCAAACATGATTTGCAATGTTATCATTGATGGCGCTAAATACATGCCTCCCTTTGGAACCTCGTATCATCGGCATGTTGCGAAATCACACACCAGTTCAATAGTTCAGTGCTACTTCCAGCTCCATATTAAAATCTTTTATCCTGAGAAGCAATACACATTACCACCGCAAATTTCCGTACTGTCCGGCCAACCCAAAGTAATTCCTCTTTGCGCCTTTACAAACAATCCATCTTCAATCCTTCCACAAGTTGACTTTGAAGTGCACTGCATGGCGCATTCCAAGTGATGCAGCTAGTTGAAAGCAGGAGACAGTGGTGGTGTGAGCTGTTTCTCAGCTGTTCTAACGAAGAACGTTCTCGACAATGCGTACCAACGTTATATCGGCCTTGTCTCTTGGCTGGATCTTCACTCCAGACACCCTGATGCAGAAGAGTCAGCGCATGTTAGTCGCTGCACGTAATTCACATACACTGTTGAACGGAGAAAAGAGTAACACTATCAAGAAGCTGTATGGGCAGATACACTCACCCATTTCTTTGGATCATCTTCACCGACCAGCTCAAGATTATATCTTTGAACAATGGCACACATGAATATCATGCCTTCTTGTTGCGCCATGTTCATGCCAAGACTATGGTTCGATTGAACGTCTTAGGTTCCAACTCAAGCCGAAATAAGCGGAGCACGTGGAAAGAAGTCACATGTTACTGACCAAATTCGTGGTCCACAGTTGAATACTGGATACTTGAACTGATTGATCTTGACGAGTCGACCTTCCTGATCAATCCATCTGAAAACAAACGTTTTGGTCACACTCTGAGAACACCGTTATTTTCCTGCCAAAAATAGCGAAAGACATTACCTAGAAGGCTTGAATTCCAAAGCATCATCGCCCCACAACTCTGTCTCCTTCCCCATAACATACGAACTCCATTCAATGAAATCACCCTTATACACTTTAGCACCAGAAGGCAAGTAATCATCTTCCGTAGCCATACGTCGCGCTGTGGGCACATTGCAATCCAATCTTAACGCCTAGTGAATAGAGTGACCTACTGTCACACGTGAAAAGGAGAGGGGAAAAACAGCGGTTCTTACTTCAAGGAAAACAGCATTAGCAAACTTCAAATCCTTCAAGTGCTCATAAGTACACGGCCCGTCCCCAAGCACTTGACGAACTTCCTCTCGTAGTGTTTTCATGGTTTCGGGAGATTGAGCGAGTCTCCAGAATGCCCATGAGAGCGTTTGGGCTGTAGTGTCACGGCCTGCGATGATGAAGCTACAATACGGAGTAGACGAAAAAGTCAGATAGTGCCCTACGACCACCGCAAGCAAATCTTTTCGCGCATGCAAACAAAGGTCGACACTTCAAATCGAAGAAACGTACTTCATAATAACATCTCTCAGATACTCATCACTCAGATCAGCACCATCCGCTTGCACATTTTCCAAAAACAGATCCAACAAGTCCATTCTTCGTTTAGTCTGTGTAGGCTGACTTCGCTGTGCCTTCTTTTCAGCAAGGACTCGTAAGCAGAAATCATCAACAGTCTTCTTGTACCCTTGAATGGTGTTGTATCCGCCGTTGATGCGTTGGGTGATCTTCCACCTAAGAAATGCTGAGACCTTAGGCAATCTGGTTTTTTGTCCGAGAGACGACTACACTGAAATGGACCGTACATTGGCGTAAAGATGCGACCGATACATAGTTCATTCAATTTGTCAAACGCCTGTTGAAAATTGACGCAGGTCAGAATCTTGCAAAAAAGAGCGACTATTAAACTTTCATACAGTCATGAAATCGACTTCGGGAAGTGAGTAGATTCCATCCTTCACTTCTCCCGTGACTTTCATAGCTCCAACAGAAGCTCCCATTGCCAATAGCGCAAAGGAATCACTAAGAAAAAACCACTCAATAACCGAATTCTTCGAATGACGTCTCAGACACAACTTTCAATCACATACATTGTAGACTTCAATAACAGATCTTGTAAATCCAAAATGGCACCAGCCTGTCTTGCATTCTCGACATGTTGCGTAAGTAGTTTGGATTCCTCTTCGAAGATAGGACAGAATTCGTCTCTGAAGTTCTTGATGTTGAATAAATTTGAAGCAGTCTTTCGTTGCACCTTCCTAATGGAGTGTTGGTATGCAAAAAAAGTGAACACTAAATACGACTCACGTATAGCTAATATATCTTACCAGGCGTCACCATCAGAAGTAAAGATGCCATGACCAAGGAATTCATAAAATAATATAGATCCGCCCGGTCCTTTTATGTACTTGTACGGATCCTTCATCACATGCTAGAAAAGAGACTAACAGTCAAAAGAAAGGATGGAAAAACCCCCCTAGATGCACAACTTCGCATGACAAACCTCAACATCCCGCCAGTCGAAAGTGATAATAGCCTAGAACAGCTAAGTTACGGCTGCCTTATGGAAAAATTTCGCGATAATCACGGTGGATGCTTCAACCGGCTAACTTCTACTCACACTTCGATTTGGAGAATTGACGTAAAGGGGCTTCAACCCAAAATCCTTGTACAGTTCGTATCTCCATTCCAATCTCTTGTTAAATGTGTTGATCTGCACGGGAAAATGTCCCCATATTGGGACTGCACCAGGTACCATCGTCACCGTTTTGTCGTTTTTGCGGTTTCGAGTTCCCAAAGCGTGGTCTCTATTGTTTGAATATGGTTTGAATTTACCATCAATAGTTGAAGCGAGTATAAAAGTGACCATCAAACGCTTGAATTCATATCTAATGCTTGCATTTACGTGTTCGGCGAACCGCCATACTTACGCATAGTAAAAGCGAGCGAAACCGTAAGAAGCAGCGATGACGGCACCTGTAGCAGCTATTGCTACTAAGATACGTCTAGTTCCGTCATCAGACATGGTAGAGTACTAGTACTAGTATACTCGACGGGTTGAGCCGATCGTGTGGTTTGGACGGAAGTTCCAAACTATGCACCCACATACCAGTCTGAGATCTAATGTCTGATGAATGAATGGTGATCAAGCGAAAATAATCAACGCGGTTTGTTCCTTGATCAACTGGGTGCTGTCAACGTTGATCGTTATCGAAATGTCGTGGCAACGTTTGACTCGTCCAACAATCTTGTCCTTTGCCGAAGTAACAGAGCGACTGCTTCCTCGAATTTCACGTAGAAATAGATTTATCGGCTGGTTCAGGCTGCGCTGGTTGATTGCAAAACAAGTCAGCGACCATTCCGTTTTTTAACAAAGTATTCAATCACACCGGACACTGGTGATGATGCACTTACGTGATTTAGACGAAAGTATCCGTATGCGTACCCGTCAACCAAACAGCCTTACGTTGTCGAAAGTCTTTGCCTCTGTCTATTGTTCAATAGTCAATCACATGCAGGCGTTGCATTGAACTTCACAGTCACGACACAAGACTATACAGCACGGTAGCCTTAAATATCCATATTGGACGCGTGAATACACGAGTCTTCGTATCAGAAACACTTCTGAGACTTTGAAACTGCCTGCCGCAACTTTCCAACCTCCAAAGCAAAACATCTTTGAGATTGCGCAGGACAGCATGAATGCGCTATTCAATCCGTTGAGAGCTGCTGTCTCGTTACAAAAGAGACGCTTTGTAGACGAAGCCGATGGCTTCAATCTTGATCTGACATGTAAAAAGCTTTGATTTTGAAAACTTGCATTGCGCATGAACAGAAGATCTAACATTTCGCCCTCGTGTATTACAGATATAACGGACAATGTCATTGCTATGGGAGCTCCAGCCGAGAGAATGGATGCCCTGTATCGCAATCCCATTGGTGAAGTCAGAAGGTCAGACATTCGGACTGTTTCATCTTTGATGCGATCTTCACCTTGAGCTCTCCCATTAATCTCGTACTTGCAACAGATTCTTGGACTTGAAACATGCAAATCGATACAAGATATACAATCTATGCTCTGAACAATGCTATCCGTCGTCTCGGTTTCCATCTGCTCCTATCGCACACTACCCCTTTGACGATCACAATCCACCACCGATTGAGATCTTTCAGCCGTTTGTTAATGATGTGAGGACATGGTTGTCGGTTCATGAAAAGAATGTCGCGGTGGTGCATTGTAAAGCTGGCAAAGGTCGAACGGGTGTTATGGTCTGTGCATACTTACTCTCTATTGGGCTGGCAAAGAATGCGGAAGAAGCTATAAGGTTTTATGGAGCTGCTAGGACGAGGAATCAGAAGGTTTTCAAAAGAATTGCGGTATCATCAGGGTAACTTTCTTTGCTTAACATCTAACAAATGCATAATAGGGAGTCACAATACCTTCACAAGTCCGATATGTACATTATTGTGATGCCTTGATACGTAATGGCTGGAAGTATGCTACCAAGACACTCTTCCTCAAATCCATTGTGTTGCACACCATACCTCATTTCTCCAGTATGCATCCACGTAAGACCTTGCAGCGGAAAAAAGAGACAGTACAGCTGAATCACTGACGTTACATCATAATAGATCCCTTGACTATGATTACTATCAGGCATACCGTAGTGTATACTTTGAACTCGAGCACTGTAAGATGCCATTTGGTTTGATAATGTTGGTTTGTTCTCTCGCTCACACCCCACTCGTTTAGCGTGTCTCCAAAACACCAGGCTCCATCCGAATCACTCCAGGCAGTGTAATCCCTCTATGCGGTGACGTCAAGATAGAATTCTTCCACTGTGATACACTTCGAACCATCAAAATGTGCCGAGTCTGGTTCAACACGGCCTTCATCCCTCCCGCAGATAGCAAACAAGAACCCAACATGCATCGTCTAGTACTACGCAAGTGGGAAGTAGATGGTGCACATAAAGACAAGTACTCGAAACGATTTGATGATACGTTTGCTGTCGAGATTGAATTGCTGGATTTGGAGAATAGTGATGAGGTTGAAGAGGTAGTTGATGAGGATCAAGAAGCTGTCGTGCCGGTAATGGATCGACCGACAACACCAGCGTCATCTACTGGTGTTACTCGTAGTACGTCTCGTAAATCGACGTTGCTTGATGCTATTGAACTGAGACGATTGTCTCGAGTCACATCTGTAGAACCGATAATAGCACCAGTAGCTGAAGAAGCAGAAGACGAAGAGGTCGTCAGCAAGAACTTGGTAGTAGTAGATTCGGATGCCATAGTACAAGCCAACGCTGAATTTGACCAGCAGCTTGACTCTGATATCGAGTCTGAAGGGTAAATATGTATAGTAGGACAACAGAAGGACGGTTTTTATTGTAAACTTTGTATTATAAAGCAGTGTTATTAGCTTCAGCATTTTTCATCATTACATTACAACAACATACAACATAGTCATGCAGTCGCATTGTGCCCGTCTTTGATGTATAATGTATATTACTAGAGCACGTGATTATCTGCCTTTGACGCGTCTTGTCCCAAGAATTCTCACTCGACCAAACCATTCTCCATCCACTGCGCAGTTTTCAACAAGAGAAGCAATACGATGACCAAAGCAGCTCGGCCCAAGGCCGCCTCAACCTCAAAGAAGGCTTCAGCAATGGAAAACGATTCTCTGTATACTGCTCTGAGTGTTGAATCGACCGCTACTCAGGCAAGTTTTGTTTTGTGTATTTTGTTTTCGCCGATTGCGAGAGGAAAGACCAGAGATCTGCCCTATAACGAATACCAATTTATATTCAGAATCATTATAACCTTGATTTCATCATCTTAACTCCCACCTATCATTCAAAACAGGATCAAATCAAACAATCATATCGCAAACTAGCATTACAGTTTCACCCAGACAAGGTGCAAACCAAAACCGACCAAGAACGAGAAGAAGTCACTATAAAATTCCAGAAAATCGTAGCTGCTTATGCTATATTGTCGGATCAAGTCAAGCGTAAACGATATGATGACACAGGTGAAGCTGATGATGGTTCTGTACACTTCCCTGATGGAGGAGACTTTGATGCTTGGGATGCATTCTATAAAGAGTTGTGGGCTGGTATGGTCACCAAGGAAAGGATTGAGGAGTTTGCACAGCAATACAAGGGTATGTCAATACTTGGTGCCTTTTTCGCTTGCAAGGCCTTCGCAACCACAGCTCATATTATATCCCTCCGCATTTCCAGAATCCGACGAAGAAAAACAAGACATACTAAAAGCATACACGGAATCAGAAGGATCCATGGACTTTATTCTCGAAAACGTCATGCTCGCCAACGCCATTGATGACGAAGACCGCTTCAGAAACATTATCGAACAAGCAATCAAATCCAAACAAGTAGAACGCTACAAGGCTTTTAAGCTCGACCCAAAAGCTGCAGTAAATCGTAAAAAGGAAGCTGCAAAAGAAGCAAAGGCTGCTGAAAGGCTTCGCAAGGAACTCGATCTCAAGAATAATTCTGATGGCGATTTACAGAAAATGCTGACTGCTCGGAATGCCAATCGAATGAATGATTTGGTTGCTAGATTAGAACAGAAATATGGTGGTAATGCTGGTAGCAGCGGTAGTAATAGTAAAAAAGCAAACAACAAGGGCGCGTCCAAGTCGAGCAATAATAGCCGAGGTGGATTGGTTGGACATACCAGTGATGCCAAACCATCCACTCGAGCAAAGGGCAAGGAAGAAAAGGCTGACGATGAAGAGGATTTGGGAGACGAAGATTCTGAAGTGGATGAGGAGGAGGAAGATTGGGAAGATGAAGAGATGGAAGAGGGTAATGAGGCTAGCGGACAAGCTGATGGTGGTGATGAGGGCGGCGATGAAGGAACTGAGGGTGTAAGTTATTGGTATTTCGTTGAAGGGCTTTTCGCTTCTTTTCGGCTGATACAACTTTCCATGAATAGGAAGATGAAGAAGAGCCATCGGGTGACGTAGAAGAGGAGGAAGAAACCAATGAGGTATGAAATCATTGCATTAGAAGTGTTTTTTGTGCTTAGCTGAACTTCCTCCCAAAATAGGAAGAAGAAGATGAAGAATCAGCTGCGCTTTCCAAGAAACGTAAAGCTGCATCCGAAGAAGAAGAGGAAGCTGATGAATTAGCAGATGACGATGATAACTTTATTGAAGAAGATGAAAACGAGGCCACTACTACGGCAACAACGGAAGCAGCAGCAACCAACAAATCACCAACAACAACAACGAACAGAGCTGAACCTTCCGAAGCAGAATTCTTGGCAATAAGACAAAAGTTGGAAGCTGCAAGAAAAGGCAAAGTCGCAGCTGAACCACCAAACAAGAAAACACGTACTGGTAAATCATAAGGCATATAGTAGACGAGCTATAAGAGAAGGAGGTGGGATCTTTTGTACTGCTTGGTTGTGTACAGATCTTTTTTGATATGTGAATCTGAAAGAAATATATATAGAACCGTTATACATTTGCAAATTCGTGGGTTTATGAGTACCAAATGAAACTAGATGATGTAGACCAACTATAAGTATTACGAAACTATACCAGACTCCGTATCTATAGCTTGTTTCCTTCAGTATCACTACCACTCTTCTTCACTTCTGTATTTCCTGATGTCGACGATTTTTTGGCCCCCAGACCAGCCAAATCAATAGGCAGCCCCGTCTTCAGATCTATTATGACTCCAGGAGCCAGTTTCGGCTTATTGCTGTTGCCTGCTTTAGATTTAGGTACCCATTCACAGACACCGGATTCTTCATCACAAAACATTTCACCATCCTCGTCTTGCTGATCTAGACCAGAGGCAAGTTCAGAGTCCTCGGGTTTAGGCTGTTGGGATTGCTTAGTGTCCATTTAAGCTCTCTACGGGATTTGGAAGTGGGGTTGCTGGAATTTGTAATGATGCGTTTTGTTGCAAAGGACGCCGAAGGGGAGAGACTACTTAAAAAACACACGTTGCATGTATTCATTTTATTGATTTTATGTAATTGTTTGGCGTTTGGCTGACAACTATGTTGATGTAACGAAACCAACGACACGTGCGTGCATTCATATCCCAGTCATTATTGTCCAACAGTTCAGTTTATAACATTTCGCAATATTCTACGTTGTAATATGATGCTAGCCGCGGCTGTCTGCGCCTGTTGCCTGTTGTCAGCCTTACTACCAAACCTCATTCGCCGGTCGACATGTCCAGCCAAGACTCATCGATTGCCGTTCGTGGCGGTAGCGACACGTTCTAACTAACTCTTCATTTGCGTCCTCTGATTCTTCTGACAGCCCATCAGTGATCTTGCCTAGAAACAGGAGAGTTCCATTCCCGTCAAGTAACAGGCTCTGAGAGTCTGGCCCTCGTGATGAGATCAGCGTTATCAAGGTATTACCGAACAAGACCGGCATGCAGTGTCCGCTCCATGAATAGCAGTCCAAAGTCCTGAGCTTTGGCAACCTAACTATTAATTTACCCATATGTTCATCAGTCAAATTCAGATTATTGTTGGCCTCGATTCTCGCATGTTCTAAATTCGGAAAGACGGTGGCAAGAGCTCCATAATCTATCTGGCCAACACGTCGTTTTACCGAAAGCGCCAACCTGGTGACGCCCCTCAAAGGCTTCCTGAAGAGGAGACCCCCTTTACCAGCATCATTATCAGATATGGTGAAGTCTGTCAAGGCAGCAAACTCTTTTTCAATAAACACAGGCTGTGTAAGTACCCGTTCACTTAAAACCCATCTCAACGTGTTTAGAGAAGCAGCAGACTTGACCACTAGGCTCTCTAGGTCTAATTCGATGATCGAATTGGCATTTTATTTTAATACAGAGATAGCAAAACTTGCCTTCCTCGTGCAGCTATTCCTCTAACCTCCTCGTAAGGATTGGAGGAAACCTGCTGGGAATGTGCTGTATTTCGCGTTTACACTAGTTAGATTGGTGAAGGCACCATGGGCGACAAAGGCGACGGGAGCTCGGGAGTGATTTAGGCTAATGCTCCGTAGCGACCCTATGCTGCCCTTTAACAATGAAGTCCACACCGGCCCGTCAATGGCAGTACCCGTGTCGAATTCAATGAGGCTCCAATCGCTTGTAGTTTCATTCACATTCGATAAGTCACAGTTCGAGGGAAGAGTCAGTTCTTTTATGTTTGGATGTGCTTTGGCAAATCGTGTTTCTATTCATTTTTCATTATTATTGCGTACCTGTATACAATTTACTAGACCGCTGAAGCCAATCTTATATATCGCTTCATGCTGTTCTAGACGCGGTGCGACAAATCCAACCATTACCAATAAACAGTTTGCTGCCTGTAGCAGTAGATATCCTTTCACGTAATCGTGTGGCTTGTATTGTTTGATTAGCGTGAGATTTTCAGTAATAGGTCCAACACTGTGGCGGTCCGGTTTAGTACTAGAGCTGGAGAATTTGAGTCCCTGAATGACATGGCTAACAATAATGCACTACTATATAGGTTTCTTGTCACGTTCTGGCAGGTTGTAGAATGTAGCTGAGGCAACCTAGCGAGTTTACCCAAGTGTTATTCGGTAAGATCCAACCCATTTGTTGAAACGAAGCTAATATCCTTTCGATTTGGCAGAAGGGTGGGCAGAGCTCCGTAACCTCTCTGTAAGCCGACTTGTTGTTCTACATAGAGAGTCGTTGAGGTGACTCGTCCAAGGATTTTCTCTAGCCAAGAAGCCTCCTGTCATTGCATCTTGATCGGATAAAGACAATGAGATCAAAACGGGAAAATTGCTGTGGAGAAATACGGAGTGCGCCACAAGGGCGGCGTCGCGCTGGGCTACTACTACCAAAGTCTTCAGGTGGTGGAGGAATTTGCAAACAACCTCCCAAGACCTACTCAAAAATTCAGGTAGTATTCATAATTAGAGTCAGAATGAGCTACTATGGGGCTACCTGGAGCCACCACTCCGTCGCAAAAATCCAGTTTTAAACCCTCCAAGTGACATCCCTCCAAAGATTCAAGAAAGCCTACAGGTAAGGCACTAAAATGCACTGATACACTGGTTAGCCTGGTGAAAGAGCCATGTTCAGCACATGATATGACGGCCCGATTACGATTTAACTCTAGACTACGCAATGAATCCTTGCTGTCCTGCACCAGTGACACCTATCCGCCAGCATCCAATCCACCGTCCCATTTACTTGTAAACCTAGAAAGACTCCATCTTTTCATAGCTGCATTTATTCCTGCTGTAGGTGGGATGTCTGATGGCGGTGGACATTGTAACTCCAGTGTGTGTACCTTGGGATGATTGACAGCAAAACGAGCCCATTCTTCAGGAGAGACTGAGAGAGTATCTAAAAGTTGCATTCTCGAGGCGGCGTGCAGCGTCAACTCCTCTAGCGAGTCCAATAATGCGAGCTGGTCGGTCCTAATTTCGAGAGCCCTTCAAATTTACAGTAGATAATAGTAGACTTTTCCTATAAACTGACAAGCACTTTCCAGCTCAGGTAGCCATGTATTGCGCAATGAGATTTTTGGTATAAATCAATGGGTTTTGGCTTTACAATGTGCTGGAAGACGAGGGTGCTTGGGGCATGCACTTGACAAAGGATATCAAAAAGCCATCAACGTGGGTCTTAACGGTCAGATAAAGCTTCCTAATGGTAGGCAGATTCCAGTCCTTTGACATTGGAGCTGTTGAGCACAATGTGTTTTGGTCTGTATGCTCTACAATGCCATCTAGCACTACGAAGGGCAGAGAGAGAGAGGCAGTTGTAGCTATAGCTGTTTTGTGTTATGGTCTGTAATACTAGATATTGATATATCTCAACCTATTAAATACTGAATATTGGTCAGCAGAGATGTTTGGTCCCCAGCAATGTCCAGAGCAGAGGAACCATTGGCCAAGATGCACCAAAGAATATAACTATAAAATTTGCCATTTTGTGCGTCATGTAACTAATTGATGCCACTCCAATATCATCAAAGATATGTAGCTTCGCTTTCAGCAATGAAGCTCACCTTCAAGATGGTCGAAATCCACGAGGCAGCAGACAGAGACCTCCAATCGCACCGACTTGATTGGTATACTATGGGCACTTGGAGATTGGTTAGTAACGGTGTTTAGTTTGCACGCAAGATTTTAATGTTGATTGTCCAAAAAGAGCACAAGTTAATGTAGATCCAATACAAGAGTTTTAATAGATAACGGATCACTGTAAGAATAATATGGTCACAAGTAACATCCAAATCCCATTGGAGGTATGCATCTTTGCCTATACTTGAAAAGCTCACCTCCGAAATTCTGCAAATCCAAGAGCAACAGGCCAAGAATTCTCACAGATTCCTCAGAATTTATATGTCTCAAAACTACTTCATCGATACCTCCCTAGCCCTTTTACGGCCTGGTGTGGTCGTTCCAAACGCTGCTTCAACAAATTCAAGTCGTCCTGTTAGCTTAAGAGAAGAGGAAGAGGTATATTACGGTATTTGGTATATGAAGAAGGTAACTATGCAGCTCTACGAATAATATATGGCAAGAAGAGACCAGGTCTTTGCTCCCAGCAACGTCTATGTGTTGGCTTCGTAGATCATTGATCCAGCAGTGACGTGGTGTTGCACCGACTTTGATCATTGGCCCTACTAGAGGAGAGCGAAGGACGTTTGCCACTCGAAGAACGCAGCAAATTCCGATCTTATGTGCGATGTTTGGCACCTAAATACACCAGAAGGTATTTTCTGTGTTGACGCCACTTGTACCTCCACTTCATCATTGATTCACGATGTAGGACTCCGATGATCAATGTCATGGCAATACAATCGCAATTTCTTCATATGAGCATTGAGTACCATCGCTGATAAATGACATTGGTTGTTTGATTTATCTGTGTCCTGCATTTTCATTTTGCGTCATTTTTGGAATAATTCCCTTCTTTTCTTTCTCGAGTTTAGCAAGATCCAAAGCTAAGCATTTTGAGTATGAGGCGATATTCCTTCTTGACAACAATCCACCCACGTCTGCTCGTTTGCGTCACGGTTGGATTTTCGTTTCTTGCTTCCATCGCTGTGAGACACGCAGTGTGTGGTGTCACCAGTATTAAGTCTGTTCCCTCTGAAAGTACGAGAGCTGCTTTCTAGGCAGTCTTTATCGCTCGCATGACGATCACATCAGGATTCCGATTGTCTCGTACTAATGTTTCAGGCCTTTGCCCGTAAATTGCTGTAGGAAACAGCCTACAAAAGCCTTCTCGATGCTCCTCTCCATCCGGCTCTGCGTTTCATTTGTCGGTTCAAGTCTCAGCCTGGTTCAGACAGTAGGATGATGGTACTTTTTAAGTGCAGAAAACTCCGCCCGAAGCGATTGACACATTTTTTTCACATAGAGGAGA